GTCAATTTGATATGTTAAATTAGACAAGGTATTCGAACCCGCGGATGCGACATATATTCGTTATGAATCAAGTCACACAGTAGCAATCTAGAAATTATCTTAGGTAATTCAGGCATTGGAAATTTGTTAAAGTCCCGGGCACAGAAATTCAAGATTCAGGAATTGGTAACTAGCTATTCAAATTCTGAACACCGAACAGTCGTTAAGATTCCATGCTTACAAAATAATTAAGATCCCAGTCTAAGGCGCCTGGTAGAGTGAATGCGAGTGCCGACCCAGATCTTATTAATTATTATGATTCCTTTTGCTGGTTAGCTCGGCTTCTCGCATTCACATGGGCCTAACATATCTTAATATATATTCAAGAAGTTGCTATAGTTTCTTCAGTCGACTTTTAATACAGGATACCGATGTGAGCATCTTACGTTTGAGGAGCGGATTAATCGATGGAGAAGGCAAATCAACAAACCGAACGGAACGGAAAACGATGTCTGTTCCCGGTTAGGGAAAGCTCGTTTGAACCATTAGCTCTTTCTTATCCGAACCCTTGACCAGCAGCAGAGACGAGTAAAACTTGGGCCGAGTGGAAAAATGATCTGAATTCCTTTTCCACCTGCTTGTCGTAGAGGGTTTCATTGGTAAGGCTTTTCCCGAAGCTAGAATCAGTCGTTCGAATGAAATCAACAGTTGCTTCGCGCCTGTTCGGCAACTTCCATGCTACAACACACAGAGACCCGGGCTCTTATCCGTCGAATTCGATCGGTTTGAGTCCGGGAAATGGATGTCCGTGATGCACTTGATGTTTTTTGTCCCCGAGACCGATTATAGGCGAATGGTCCGTCATCTTTTTTCAGTTTTCGCACCGGTTTTTTACCGGCATGGCCAGCTGACATACGTGGTGTTTGTTGTGGAGAGTGTTGTAAACTGACAGTGCTTCGCGGTCGACCTGAAAACTTCGAGAAACTGCACGGCTTGCTAGACAATTTGTGTGCATGCAGAAGGGATAAGTTGGGAATAGAAAGAATAGATAGGATGTATTGAAATTTTGTGCACGTTGAAAATTATATGAGAGGTTTGGGTAAAAATGGGATAATCCTGAAGTGTCGTTCCCCCTGGTTTGAACCTGGTTTTTCTTTCTTAGCGGTGTCTCAACCCGTTTGTCCCCAGCAGGGCAAGTAGAGATCGCATGTGAAAGCCTTGGATTCACATCGACAATTGATTGATTCTTTATTGTTAAAATTTCCTTAAATAGCCTGTTAGATGTCACACGACACTTGTGTGACATCCGAAATGTTGTATAGAGTACCCTTAATCAATATGCTAGAGTGAGATGCCTGGAACGGCGGCGTGACAATGTTCTACGTAAGTAATTTTGGAAGTGGATGGTTTCCATATGTTTTGCTTGGGTTAATTTATGCCGAGGATGCAATTTGAAACTGTGCATTTGGACTGTGCTATTGCATAAAGAGGAATGTGTGAAAACTGACGGTCGGGGTACCGCCGGCAAGGCCATCTTTGCATGGATTGCACTTTGCTGGTGGTCGACCTTACTTATATGAATGTTTGTTAAATACAGTATGTCACATTATTGTTAGATCGGTTACGTGGAGTCAAAATATATGACACCGAAGAAGAATACCAAATGAACTCTAATAGCAATTCAAAAAGAATCTGAAGCTGAGGATGGTTGCAAAGGACTTCTAAAGGGTGATACGGTCAAAATTTGGTCAAGGGAAAACGCGTGTAAATCGGTGAAATCGTTTATTTAAAAAATCAAATTAAATTTCTTTTTCAAGTTCAATTAGTATAAAATTCAGGAAAAATATTCAGTTAGGCTTCCGCTTTTCCAAATCCGAATTGCCGGGCCTTACGCTTGACCCCTGCCATCAGATTTTGTACAGCCACCTTGTCCACCTTCTTCGTCGCAGAAAGCCAGTTTGCCTTGAACTGCTGCTCGCCCTTAGCAGTTTTTTTGGTCTTCTTTAGGTTCCGCTTGACAATAGCCCAGTATTTCTCAATTGGGCGGAGCTCTGGCGTGTTGGGAGGGTTCTTGTCCTTGGGAACCACCTGCACGTTGTTGGCGGCGTACCACTCCATGGCCTTTTTACCGTAATGGCAAGATGCCAAATCCGGCCAAAACAGTACGGAACAACCGTGTTTCTTCAGGAAAGGCAGCAGACGTTTATTCAAACACTCTTTCACGTAAATTTCTTGGTTGACAGTCCCGGAAGCTATGAAAATGCTGCTTTTCAAGCCACAGGTACAGATGGCTTGCCAAACCAGATATTTCTTTGCGAACTTTGACAGTTTCATGTGCTTGAAAACATCTGCTACCTTTCCCCTTCCTTTTGCCGTATAAAACTCCTGTCCCGGAAGCTGCTTGTAGTCGGCTTTGACGTAGGTTTCGTCGTCCATTACCACGCAGTCAAACTTCGTCAGCATCGTCGTGTACAGCCTCCGGGATCGCGCTTTGGCCGTCGTATTTTGTTTATCATCGCGATTTGGAGTCACTACCTTCTTGTAAGTAAGTCGATAGTCCGGCTCGTTTTTTGGCTCGATGCACGGTTGTAGACGATACACCCAGCTTATTTGCGGCATCTCGGAGAGAGAGGTTAGGGTTTCGCTTGAAACTACCGGCAACTCTCTTTGTCGTCTCAGCGGCTTCCGCTTTTCGATTTCCCCCCGATCAAGACTTCCTGGCTGTCGACAAACGTTCCCCAAACACTTTAATTACATTTGTAACGGTTGATTTGGCAACTTTTAGCGATTTTGCCAACTTTGCGTGCGAGTAGCTCAGATTTTCGCGATGCGCGAGCAAAATTTTGATACGCTGCTCTTCTTGCTTGGACGGCATTTTGACAACTGAATTTCAAAATCAAAATAGGAGCAACATTCTACATACACACACCTTCAAAATGAGGGGTGTTCAGGTTTTTTAAATGCAAAATTGAAAGAAATACGTCAAGTTGATATTGACCAAATTTTGACCGTATCACCCTTTATCCAAGTAGTTCAGGACGTAGATGCTTGTTCAATTTAACGGCTCCATGTAATTATTTTGCTCAAGCCATTTAATTTCGTTACAAATTTAGTAAATAGAAAAATCTACCCACGTTTGTCACTGACCGTATTGTCATAGACAATTTACAGGGTTTGCTTTGACGATGACTGTCAGCTCAAATGAGTGACCAAATGAGAATTTCGAATCACCGTGTATTGTCGAGATTTTGCAGCACTGATCCAGACATAGAAAAAAAAAACTTATTTTTTTCAACCTTCTGGGACTCAGATTTGTTGGATCTAAAACTTAGGAACATCCTTAAGATCTTGGGAAATTTACGCTCCCACTCTTAGGTTTTTCAGAGATCAATCAATGTTAAGTATGTCACGTTTTGTCTATAATCAAAATAGATTGCCTCAATTAAGGATGATTGTTCAATGAGGGTAAAGAAAGTTCTAATAGAGCATAATTTTTCGATTTTCTATGAACCTTCCATCCAAACACACTACACAGATAACAGTTTAGCTACGCATGCGATGAAATAGCAGATCAGTTGAAAGAAGCAAATAAACGCAAAAACATATGCCGGTGTTTTAAAGTTTTCTCCTCTCATTTCCATAAGTGGTGTGCGGGGATCTCGCGTATATACATTCTCGTTCGCGCTTTCATTCGCTCACGTGGGAGATCTATAGCTACCACGATGCAAAACAAGCAAGGCTTATAAACGATACTAGGAGCATTCGGGGTCAAATGAACATGCTATTGCAAAATTACACTTCCGTATCTCAATATATTTGTAAAATTAAACTATGTATATTTCACTGGAGTTTAGGGATCGTTCATCTAAAACCCCTTCGAAAAGCCCCTTATCGATGGGGATTTTTTTACTATCGGTCAAAATAGGCCGAAGGGAAATTTTGACCATAGGTAGAATTTATGGTTTAATGAACAAAAGAAAATTCAAACAAATTAGGCTGGTTAATTTTCCCGGAAAATTTGAGTTAAAGTTTTCGGATTTTCCCGGACATCACGTAGGCTTTGAAAATTCACAACTCATGAACCAATCTTTGAACGAAAAAACCCTATCTCAGCAATCCATCAAACATATAATCTGAAAAATGTTTTGCACGAAAATTTTCACGGTGAAGGGCAAGGCAAATTAGAAAAAAAAAACATTTTCAGGGTAATGGTAATTTTTGTTATAATATTGTTTAAGACTTTGGATTTCAGATATTACCGAAGACATGAGAAGTGCATTAATTGACCTATACCCATGTAGTGATAGAGAATGCTAAAGGTGTGACCACGAACTCCCCTACATCATGCATCTATTAGCGTATGCATTGTTTATTATCGGGGTTGGAACCAGTTCCAACGCAGTGCGAAACCGAACTTTTTGTCAGTGCGAACCTCAACCTGAGGTAGGTTTTAAAAACAAACGATCAAACTGACGTTTGTCAGAAAACAAGCAGACCCAATCTTGATACCCGATCCAGGTTAGAACTGAATAATAAACGAATTCGCTATATATCTATGGAAAGTAGTAGATGGAAATACCAAGATCGCGTGGTAGCTCGTCAAAATAAATAACACCAAAACCTTATAAAATGGTAATTGGCAGAAAATAAACCGGTAAATTTAGCATATCCTATGTATATCTAAGCGTAAACATAACAGCAAGCCGAGCAGCAAGCAAAACTGTTGTATTAATAAGCGGAAATTAGTTCGCATGATCTTCCAGGCGCATATGGGATATCTCCCCTAGTGGCCGTATCGATTCATGTGCATACACCCAAAAAATTTCACACATTTTGATTGAAGAATTTCCATATGAATGGCTTTTATGTGTACACATATGAATTATGTGTCCTAGGATAACATTTTTTGATCATATTGCAAAAAAAAAAAAACATGTGGGACACAATCTTTGAATTTTCCTTAGTGTATGCTTTTTCGTGAATATGTTGTTTATTTGACTGTGGTGTTTTCTCATTTCCAGTTTAACTATGACGCAGTGACCACCTCTGAGAATCGATAGTCCTCTAATTCCCGTCAACGCAACCGAACTAGTCCACTTCACACACCCTACCAATGTAACGCAATTACAATGCATCAATTTAGAAAATGTTCCCGAAGAAATGTTATAGTGCTGCTGTCGTTAGTCATCGGTTACCTGTTGGTGGACTACGCACTGAACGGCCGAGACTACATAGACAATCGTGAGAAGATGTTAGTACTATTCTTCATACTTTTTTTTTGTACTTTACGCATTCAATTACCCACCTGATGTGTTGTATTGTAGAAGCCTAATTGAAGAATCAATACGATCGCTGGCCAATCAGGGAGCATGCAAGCTGCCAAACCTTCCTGTCGATTCACCGGAGATGATCAGTTTTCTCAAGGATGAGCTTCCGGTCGACTGTGGCGATGGAAATGACGATTGGGTTTCGTGTCACGTAAGTTGAATCTTCATGGTTTTATATATGATACAGGCTGTCCTTATCCAATCCAACTTAATCACTCAATTTCGCTGAATACAATCCCGGTCCTAAGTTTGGGGTCACCCTTTAAAAAACATGTAAATGTGTTTTGCTCTTATCTTTGCCAGTTTAGGACCGATTTTCGATCTTTATTAATAATAGGTATAATTAATTAATCATGTTGTCATGCTTCTTCGTTATTTTTTTTTTTCAGATGTCACTGCTGTTCTTAATGGTGACATCTATCAGAAATTACGCATACACTTAGTTCCATCAATTGTTAACAGAGGGCAGGTGGTCAAAACATGTATGGTACCTCTATAGATGCAGTTAGTTTTTTTTATAATGCGTTTATTTTTCAAGGCTCATTTGCTGTAGCTTTGCGGAGCCGATATTCATTGTTTAGATCACAACATTACTTAAAGCTAACGCGGCTATCTCGAGTTCCTCTATAAATTTTGATCTTACCATGATGCAAGAAATCCATGGAATACCAGATCACCATCGATCGATGGTTGTTCCCTCAATTTCGCAATCAAGTACATACCACCATGTAAGTAACGATAAAAGTTTTTTTCACAGATGGCTCAACCATAAATGCTTCCACTGGATTTGGTGCAGTAAATCAATTCCATAGCGCTTCCTATAAACTGCAAAAACCATGCTCCGTATACGTTTCGGAACTCGCAGCCATATTTTACGCAGTAGAGCTAATTGCCTCACTACCTTCTGACCATTGTTTCATTTTTACGGATAGTCTTAGCTCATTGGAGGTTATTCGTTCAATGAGGCCGATGAAGCACTCCACGTATTTCCTGCCTGAAATACGATCTAAACTGAGTGCTTTATCCAACTGCTCATACTATCACCTTAGCTTGGGTCCCATCTCATTGCTCAATTCCGGGTAATGAGAAAGCGGACTCTTGGGCTAAGGTGGGCGCTATGGAAGACGATATTTTTGAGCGACAAATTGCCTTCAACGAATTTTTCTCCATTGCTCGTCAGCAAGTCCTCATCAGTTGGCACCAAAAATGGAATGATGGTGATTTGGGAATATGGTTACATTCTATTCTCCCACAGGTGTCGAACAAACCGTGGTTCAAAGGGTTGGACATGAGCCGTGACCCATGTGAAGGCTTATGTCCAATCACTGTTCGTTAGACTCGTACTTCTATCTAATTGGGCTCTCAGGCAGCAATTTATGTGCGTGTGGCAGTGCTTATCACGATATCGAGCATGTTGTTTGGTCATGTACCTTACACCGTGTTGCCAGATCTGAGTTATCCACATCCCTCAGGGCTCGAGGAAAACAACCCGCGATACCCGTTAGAGATGTCTTGGCGAGCCGAGAACGGATAGATCTGAGGATTTAGTAGTTAGTGTCATCTTATGTTCTCCCAAGTTGTTTGCTGCCCATCGGTCTACCTCCATGTTTGTCTTTTTCATCAGTATGTCGCTTAGTTCGAGATCAAGAGCACATTGCACTCCAAACCTTGCGTTCTCAATCCCTACCCTGACATCCATTTGTTACAATTTGTTACCAATAACCTCGATATAGCCGCGAGTAATCGGCCCTTCGCTTTACTAAACTTAGTTTTAAATAATTTTGTGATCTAAACAATGAATATCGGCTCCGCAAAGCCACAGCAAATGAGCCTGGAAAAATAAACGCATTATAAAAAAGGTACCAGACATCTTTTGCACTGCACTGTCCTCTGTGAACAATTAGCGGAAAACAGATTATGCCTAGTTTCCCATAGATGTCACCGCAAACAACAGCAGTGACATCTGATGGAAAATTAATGCAGAAGTTTTACAAAATGGATAATTGAGCAATTGGTAGATGCGTTGATTTTTAATGTCACTGGAAGATGATCCGAAGATAGTTCGTGGTGGGTTGTCAAAATTGTGGTGGTCACCATGTTTTTAGAAAGTACAAGGTCCAATGTGGAAGCCCTTTCTCTTCCTGCTGGATAGAACGTTGGTGTTTCTGGAAAGTGAACATGGAAGCCAGAATTCTCGATTACTTTTTCGAAGGGACGTATCTGCTTTTGTAAACAATGCATTTGATCGTCGATTTGGAAAACTGGGAACAATGTGACCTAGTAGGTGTATAAAAAGGGTAATAAACGGAACGTGGATAATTATCGTGGAATTACATCGTTGTGCGCAATTTCGAAGTTATTCGAGTTAATCATCATAGAGCCTCTGCTCTCCCATTGCAAGCAGTATCTAAGTGAAGATCAACATGGCTTCACCTCTGGTCGATCTACTACCACGAATCTACTATGTCTGACATCGTACATCACGCAAAGTATGGTTGAAAGGTCACAAACAGGGCTCTCAACTTACATATAAGCAACACATCTCGTACGTCGTCGACAAGTCGTCAAGGACATTGGGCTTTATCTTCAGAACAGCTAAGAATTTCTCCGGCATCCATTGCCTCAAGTCACTGTATTGTTCCCTGGTACGTTCCATTCTAGAATATTGTTCTGTGGTTTGGAGTCCGAACTACAACAATGGTACTGAGAGAGTCGAGTCCGTTCAACGCCGCTTTCTGCGATACGCGTTGAGAATGTTACCTTGAAGAGACCCGTTTCATTTGCCCAGCTATTAAAGTCGCTGCCAGCTGATCGACTTGGAGCCTCTTCGCACCAGAAACGATACTTCAAAAGCTCTGCTTGTCGCGGACACGTTACATGGCAGAATTGATTGCATAGCAATCTTGGAGCAAGTAAACATTAACGTCCAACCCCTAATGCTTCGTAACAATGTTATGCTGAGAATGCCACTACGTAGGACAAACTATGCAATCAACGGTGCAATAGGCGGACTGCAGCGAGTATTTAACCGAGTTTCATCAGTATTCGATTTTCACCTGCCATGACTAACACTTCGGAGACGTTTCTCTTCATTCTTCTCCAGTAGTTCAGTTTTGTAGTTTTAACGTATGACTTTAATTTTAATTTTAAGTTAAACCATCATTGGGACCATATCGAGTCTGTTGATGCTGACAAATAAATAAGAGGGGATAGTGAGCATCCCGTGCACCAGCTTGGACTTCCGGCCATTCGGAACTAATTTATTGGTGGTAGGATCAATATCATAATGATATTGAACCTACAGGCTTGCTAAAACTCCTCAAACTCATTGGAGGTTTTAAAATTCTCTTGTCCTGCGAGTTTAGCCAGCCCTCACCTTGAGTGAGTGGCGCTAGGAAGAAGAAGTAAACAAAAACTCCTGGAAAGAGAGGGAGAGTGAACTTCAGCGTTGAGTTGATTTGTTTCATGCAGCTAGAGATCCAGGGCTAAACTGCGGGATGCTCACTATGCCTCACCTGTTCACTCTATCCCTCCTCTCCAACGTCACTTTCCGGCAGGTGCTTCCGAAATTTGATATTTTGTAATCGTTAAATTGAACATATTTGAAGTTCTGTGGCAAACGTTTAGGTTCAATTGATCTTAAAAGAACATATTTACAACATCTCTAAGTTGTCAATTGTGTATGAAAATCGACATGCGCTGCTATTATATCGAACAACGCTCTAAATAATTACATGGCAATCTATCATGATAGCTAAAATATACATTTAAAATATTCAGGTCATCGATTGGTATGCTATTGAAAATAAAAAAATCACAGTCGTTCGTAGTATTTTATTTTTCAAGCCTTTTTCGGGTACCAAATCCGTGAATGCCAGTTTATTATGTTGTCCAAAATTCGCAAGTGTCTACGGTCCATACAAATTTCCAAAATTTCGCATGGACGTGCCCCCCTTCTAGAACCTCTCAAAATCGGTCTACTTAGTTTATGAACAGCCTCTAACGAACTTGTTGAAATTGATCAAATATAACCAGTTTCTTTTATTACCGGGTATTTACAGAAATCTCTCTGCACCATCAAGCCGGATGTGGTGAAAGTACGCGGGAAAATCACATGCGACATAGCAGACATCATCCGTACGGACGACTACAAGATTCAATACGACACACCGGTACGAACTACCCACAGGTACACGCTGAAGAAAAGTGATTTTGCCCGAGCAAAATGTTGGACCGAATCGCGCTACCGGTGGACCGGGATCATCGTAGGCATTCGGGAAGATCCGGAACTGTCGGGACGTCGCAGCTGGAACAAGGAAAATTCTCTGAATGTGCTGATTATGGGCTTCGACTCGCTCAGCCGGAATGCCTTCATACGAAAGTTGCCCAAAGCATACAAGTACCTCACGAAATATTTGAAAGCGGACGTCCTGCAAGGGTACAACATTGTAGGTGACGGAACTCCACAAGCGTTGATACCATTATTGACGGGATTCACTGAACTGGAGCTACCTGAAACACGCAAGCGCATGAAGAACTCCGAATACGTCAACGTATACCCGATGGTCTGGAGCGAATACGAAAAGTACGGCTACATTACGGCATTCAACGAGGACGTGCCGCACATTGGAACGTTTTCGTATCGCCTGAATGGGTTCGATGTTCAACCGACTGATCATTACATGCGCACCTACTACCTAGCCATTGAGAGCCAGATGAGCTACTACAAAAGACTGTGCGCCGGAGCGCAGCCACGTCACAAAGTGATGCTGGACTACACCAAAGAATTTATGCTAAGTTACCCTTCGAACCCTCGATTTGTGTTCAGCTTTCACGGTGAACTCTCGCACGATTCGATCAATCTGATCGGAGTAGCCGATACGGATCTCACCAACTGGTTGGTCGAGCTCAAACAGCTCGGAGTGCTAAACAATACGATACTGGTCATGATGTCCGATCATGGGAACCGTTTCTCCGAGGTGCGCGATACTCTCCAGGGTAAGCAGGAAGAGCGGTTGCCGTTCTTCAGTTTCACCTTTCCGGAATGGTTCAAGCGGCACTACAGCGAACTGTATCAAAACTTCAGGAGCAATCTGTACAAACTCACGACACCGTTCGACGTGCACGAAACGCTTCAGGATATTCTGAGTGAGTATTTCCTAGTGTTAGAGAACAACTACTGTCTATTTTTATTCGTCTCAGTTGCTTATTTTTATCTCCCAGCTTCAAGATTCACCTAATTTGAAGGTTATCTTGACTACATTGGGTATTGAGTACAATTATGCTTGTAACACAATTATATAAACTCATGCAATACTAGATTTAGCATGACTCTCAATTACTTAGTGTGGAAGAATAGAACACTTAATTGTGAACAGGCATAGATAATAGATATTATTATATTTATTCAGAATAGAAATCTCGTCTAGATCTAGAACACTTTCCCTGTAAACACATCTAATCAACATGTGTACATTCTCTCCATTTAAAGATCTCCAAACGCTGAAATCCAAACAGCGCCCCTCGCACACCCGGGCCCTGTCGCTGTTCGATGACATTCCCCACAATCGATCCTGTGCCGATGCGTACATTGAACCGCACTGGTGTGCCTGTCTGAACTGGCAAACCATCGAGGACACCTCATCGGAAGAGGTATTTCGTGCCGCCATGGCCACCGTAGATTTCATCAACAAGTATACGGAACGACACCGCGGCCTCTGCGCAACCCTCAGCTTGGACGAGATCAAGTGGGCGGCAAAACTGTCACCCCACGAGGATCTGGTCAAGTTCAAGAAGAACAAAGATACCGACGGTTTCCTGGGGGATTTCAGTTCAAGTGGGACGAAGATCGTGCACGATATGTACCAGGTTAAACTGGTAACGAATCCGGGGAAGGCGATCTACGAATCCAGTGTGCTGCATGACATGACCAGCAATCAGTATCGAGTCAAGCTGAGTGACATATCGCGAATCAACAAATATGGCTCTCAAGCTAACTGTATATACGACAAGGATCCCGAAGTGAGAAAATACTGCTACTGTAAGAATTAGGTCACTAGGTGTGTGTAGGTACGTGTGCAGTCAGCAAATAACGATTTGTCTGACTGTTTTTCGATGTTAGTTTTAGGGGAAAAGTGTTAATTTCGGTTGGAAATTTTTGAATCTCAGAGAGACTTATGCAGGCACAAATGCGATATTATTATTTTTTTAGTTGGCACAAAGTGACTACAAACCGTACTGAAGGATGTTAGTTAGTTTGTTGGTAATTTTGAGGTTTTAACTAAAAAAAAAATCTAGGTTACTAGTTCTACCAAATGCATCGAAAAGATCTGTACAGAAAACAATTCTCTCAAATCACAACAACAACAAAACGGTAACGGTGCTAACACCGTTTCGGAACAATAAAGTTAACCGAAACATTCTAGACAACTAAGTCTGTCAATTCTAGTTTCCACATGGATATTTTTTTCATAAGCAGTGTACAAGGTTTTCTATATCGTTTAGTCGACGGTTAGCGATAAGGTAAATGTAAGAGCAAAATCAAAGATTTTTCTGGTATTCTTTGAAGAAACAAGATCTGAAATCTGTGAAGCCCATAAATGTTGAGTAATAAAAAGTGTTTACAAAAAAAGTATTGGAGGAGAAAAAGCAAATGGAAGTGAAAGAAAATTTATGGTCTCACAGACGGGTTTGAAGTGCTTTCAAATTTGATCGTTTACATTTACAATTAACAATGAATCACGTAGTCAAGCTTTTGCACTTATTTTCCATCAGATGTCACTACGGTTTTTTGTGGGGATATATATTATTAATTGACCACTTTGTCAAGCAGTTTTGGCGTGACTTTCTACCAGCGATTTCACAAAACTGGACCAACTAATTTCTATTTTTTATGAAACGCACAAATGTTGGCTACTTTTCTCGAGGTTCTAGAAGAAAAAATCTCAAAGTAATGGTTTATTTCAAAGTTCTAGTGGTAGTAAACGTCATTTTAACTGCTCGAATGAAGTGATTAATTAACTGTTTACTGACCTTACTAATCAGGCTAAACCCTTGAGGTGCTCTGCTGTCCGAAGAAGTCGTCTCCGTTCTATTCCATGGCCACACGTCGCCAGCCTCGAAGCCTGCGAAGGATCCACAGGTCGCCTTCCACTTGGTCGATCCACCTCAATGAGCTGGATTACCGAGGTGAAGCAATCACTCACACAACCACTGTACGATACACGCAAGTACACGCAAGTAGTGACGTCACTACTTGCGTTTACGTTGATTTTTTGGTTTACTAATACAACCCTATTTCACGATCTGCGCCACCTCTCTCTGTACCTCATTGGATCCACCTTGCTCGCAACGCACCTCTTCTTCTTGTTCCTGTCCTTTCGAGAACCATTTTCACGGGGTCCTCGTCCAGCATGACTACGGTGTACCCAGCCCACTGTAGTCGCCCAATTATTGCAGTGTGGACGATGAATGGTTTTCCCAGCAGCTGGTGCAATTCGTGGATCATTCGCTTCCTCCACGTACCGTCATCTAGCTGCACTCCACCGTAGATGGTACGCAATACCTTCCGTTCGAAAACACCTTGACGAGCATAGCCAAGGTCTTCTGGCCATAGAGTACTACCGATCTAATCAGCGTCTTGTAGATAGGCAACTTCGTGCGGCGGCGAATTTTATCGATCGGAGTGTCCTCCGGAGTCCAAAGTAGACACGATTCCCTGCCATAATGCGTTTTTGAATTCCTCTGCTGGTATCATTTTCGGCGGCCACTCGTGTCTATTCTAGCTCTTTTTGTCACATCTTATAATGCGATGTTAAATGGCATACCCGAAAATCCATCACCTTGTCGTAACCCTCTTCGAAATTAAGTATATGATTTGAGTAGTAGCTATACTGAAGATCCGAGAGATGTCGCCCCTTCAGTGGTAGGAAAGTCATTTTTGCAGTATGGAGAATATCAGAAAATCCACGATTTGTGACTAAACATGCTTTCACAGAAGGAAACAAATAAACGAGTGTTTACCTTATCACCATAGTAATGTACTCGCGCAATTTTTGTGCATCTAAAACTGCCCATAAAGTGGATAATGAATAAAAACTGAAAATTTCCATGCATTTTCAAATTGTTTCCTACCATTCCCATACATTCGAAGTGACTGGCCCTCTGGATGTGGATGATGTCAAAAACAACAAAACATGATTAATTGAAAGGAACTTGAGAGTGTCCCCGTTACTCGAACAACGCACATCACTCGATCCATCGTCGCCTTGACCAATCGCGTCAGGTTATCCGAAAATCCGTACTCGTGCATAATCTGCCATAGCTGATCTCGATCGATTGTGTCGTATGTCGATGAACAAATGATGTGGGCACACCTGGCGAATCGCGAAAATCTGGTCCGTAGGCGCGGGCACTCATGAATCACGCCTGTTATTGCCCTACAAACTCTCTTGCAAATGGTGACAGGCGGCGGCATAGAATTTGGGAGCGTACCTTGTAGGCGGCACTCAGCAGTAGTTGCGCGGTAGTTGCAGTAATCCGACTTGTCGCCCGTTTTGTAAATTGGGCGGCATACGACACCTTCCATCAACTCCTCCGATAATATCTCCTCCTCCCAAACGTTGGCAATTACCCAGTGCTGCGCTCTAGCCAGTGCTTCACCACCGTATTTTAAAAGCTCGCTTCGAATTTGATCAACACCAGTTGCTTTGTTGTTTTCAGCCAACCGATCTCCTCCCCAACATCTTGGAGATCAGGGGCCTGTCGTCGTCTGCGCGTGCTCCCAGGTTTGTTACCGTGCCATCTTCGTTTTCTGCTGCATCACCGAGAGGTACTCGTCATAGTACTGCTTCCACCTCTCAATCGCCTCACACTCGTTCGAGAGAATGTTACCATCCAAGTCCTTACACAAATCGGCTTGCTACCTACCTATCGACCTAACAACTCATAGACCAGAGACCAACGGCTTTACCCCACCCCCCGTGATCAGAGATTTTATGCCTCAGAAAATCCCGGCAGCGCCGACTGGGATTGAACCCAGGCCTTTTTGGGTGAGGGGCAATCACGCCCACCACTACACCACCAGCGCCGCTGACATTAGAAGTTTTATAAAGGTGTTAAGGAATCTTCAAGACCAAAGTATGGCCTACAAGGCTATGATAAAACCAAAATTATTTCCCGGTTGGATGGACACCCTGAGAATTCATCCGGCCCCCTCCACCTTACATAGGAAGCATTTGGCCTTATTCCCAGCATACAATATATTCCCCTTTCGATCGAGGAAATTAAGCGAGGGAATCTCTTTTTCCACGTCAATGTCGGAACCATCTACCATGTACCATCTACCTCGTACATGTTCCCAACTTTTTTGAATGTATGGAATTTCTCTCGAATGACACGCTTCACTTTCCCATATATTATGCCTTGAAGTTGACTACCTATCCCTAGGCTTAAAACATAGGAAAAGGCCATACAATCTCTAATAAAGAATATGTACTTAGAGCTACGATAGCAATATACTTACCTATCGAACGCTGCTGGGGAATCAGGGAAGAATTGTTCTTTTCAGTTCCATCGAATGTACGAATACTATCACTTCTAAATTGGTTGTATATATCAATCAGTAGATTATACAGAACGCGCATACTTATTGGATTAACCCCTGCTCCTCGTAACGTTTTCAATTCTATAGGTTCTAGTTTCGGTTCAACACGCTCTTTCGTTTGATTAAATAACGGGCCTGGTTTGGATGTGTGTGTATTTTCTGCTCCCTTTTTCTTGTCCTTGTGTCACTTGCTTCTCAATTGTTTATATAATTGCTTACTTCTTCATAGGATCAATAGTAGTGCCACCACGAATCTGTCCCCATCCAATCAAACTGAAAAGGAATGAAATGAAAATTTAATATGGGGTTTGAAAGTGGCATTCAAACTTGGTCACTTACCGCCAATGTTTCTCGACACGCCTGCTCAGTGCAATTTTTTCATCCTTCTCCGTACACACGGGATTCGTCAGTGCAATTTTGGCCAAATCGGCCTTGGAAGCAACCACACGTCCACCCGTACTGAGCGAACCGATGTTGACCAGCAGCATCTCGTTCCTCGTCAGTTTCTGCACCTTGGCACCCTTTTTGTCGCCCTCGGTACGAACACCAAGTAATCGCTTCAGCAAGTAATACGAAACTTCTAGTTCGACAAATATCTTCGGCAGGGCACCGACAGCACCCAGAACTTGTCCGACCAGACGATCGGCACGACAGAGTGTCGGTTCAATCTTGGTACCGACACCGATCAGACCACCAGGAACAGCGAACTGAAGATCGTTCTGTTCGGCGTACAGCGAGACGATCTTGGAGAAGATAGGCTGGCAAGTCAGCTTGCCATCGCCGTCTTTGCTGACCAAGCCTGGTCTAACTTCGATTTCTTGACCAACGGTCAACACACCTCGCAGGATAGAACCACCCGCGACTCCACCCTTCAAGTCCTTCACTTCACAACCCGGTTTGTTCACGTCAAATGATCGAATAACGATCAATCTTGGTGCAGCGATGAAGTTTCTCGGTGGAATCGGGATCTTCTTGGAAATGTATTCGCACAACACCTCAATGTTATATTTCAGCTGTGCAGAAATGGGAATAATCGGAGCACCTTCCGCCACCGTACCCTGCACAAACTTGACAATCTGTTCGTGCTGTTCCTTAGCCTGGGTATCCTTGACCAGATCGATCTTGTTCTGCAAAATGATTATGTGCTTCAGCTTCATAATCTCGATGGCAGCCAAGTGCTCCGAGGTCTGTGGTTGCGGGCAAGATTCATTGCCGGCGATCAACAGCAAGGCCGCATCCATAACGGCTGCTCCGTTCAACATGGTAGCCATAAGAATGTCGTGACCGGGGCAATCGACGAAGCTAACGTGACGCTCCAGCTGGAACCGACCGGTACAGGAAGGTCTGTAGCACGGGAAGCTATCATCCTTGCTCGATCCACCCGACGTGTAGCAGGTCGGACGTAAGCACTTGGGATTGTCACATCTGTAGATCTTGGCGTTGGCGTAACCTATACGGATAAGGTGGGGTAGAGAGAAAAATGGGATACAAGGTTCAGTCAGGGGTATTTCTGAAGCAATTCTCAACAACTTTCACTCAACGTACGAAAGTTGAGACCGAATAACGAGACTTGTTAGATACCTCTGACATGGAAATTCACAACCGCAAACAAAATAAATCCCACACAGTTCTTACAGATGGTTTTATTTAGGCACAATTCTCTATCCATAAAATTGAATTGTAAAAATACAATATTTCATCTTACATGCTATAACCGGCATGAGATCCGGGGTTGCAAGGCAGCTTGTCCAGCACCAACTTAAAATACATACTTCTTACAATTGTCCGCTCCGCATCGGCATTCGGTTAAATTCTCCGGATCCGGTTTACCCCTTCCCGGGCCTCCATCGTCCACAACTTTTGCCTGGTTCTCCTCGTTTTCCTGACTCACGTCCAGCGCGCGACTTTCGTTCACTTGCGTTTGATAGTTGATGGTCAGTTCTTCGCCGGCTTCGATTTTCCGTTTGGCAAAGAACGCTAACCGCGGCAGGTTCGGATCCAGGCAATTCACCCAAACCGACCAGATACCACAGTTCGGATCACACGAATGGTTGATGAAGCGTGCAATGTTACCGTAGTGGGCAGCATCGATTGTGTACGGATTGTCGCTTCCGTTGAAATCCAGATCAAACAAGTAGGTTCGACCGACGGCATCATATTCGCGGCCACGTTTCTCCGCTTCCTCGTATGTGATGACCTCCCCGATATATTCCGTGATATACCAGCCCTCGTAGATGGTTTGATTGGTTTTTACACCCCAACCACGTCCGTTTGAGGTTTTGAAGAGAGTCACGTTGAACTTACGTCCGTTTTGCAAAACACGATTGCTACAATCCGAACTACATTTGCAACGTTTGTTGCACTCGTAGATGGGCGTTCCGGGTACAACGTTGAGGCGTTTCTTCACGCTGTAGGCTATTCTGGATCCGGCCATCTTGCCACAGCAATCGCTCCGGAAGTTGCAATGCTCGCACTCGCATCCGTACGGTGGATCATCTGGAATGCTTACGCCTTCGCCAGCGAGATTTTCCTTGATATATTTGAAGTTTTGCTGCTGAGGCACATCGAAATCCTGTAAATTTTCTAGCACTATCTTACTGCTCGGTTCGAACTCGTTGATCATATCTTCAAACTGCTTCATTTTGAGCAACTGATCGTGGCGCTTTCTGTAGGACATTTCCAAACCAATGTTCGCTAAAATTCGGTCGTAGATTCGTTTATTCTTACAATCATTCATGCGGATTTTGGCGAACAGAATCAGGTCGCTATCGAAACCTAGGGGGTCGAACTTTTCGTATTCGTTCAGCATTTCGTTGAAAGATTTCGCTTCATGTGCTTTCAGTTTTTCTTGATAGTCTTCTGTTTTGGCGACATCCTCGCGAATTTCGTTGATCACATCCTGATGTGCTCCCACCTCGTACTGTAGAAACTCCTGGAGAGAGTTGCAGGTTCTAATGTTGTTCAACGGTTCCCAGGTGTTGCTTTTTGAACTATAACCGCGCCACTTAATGTGGAAGTATGGCGCATTGGAGATCTCCTGGATGTCTAGGATTTCCTCCACTGAGTATTCACCAATCTTGTTCGCTTTTGGATTGGTGTGGGATTTGCGCTTCTTGTCACTAGCTGACTGCGGAGTGGATCCTCCCGTACTGGTTTGACCACGAGTTGAAGGCGATCCAGAGCTGCCTTCGCTCATAACCGAAGTGATCGATTTTCTTCTAGACGAGACCCGTGAGGAGGATGGAGTGATGCTTCTCAAGGACCTTCTCGACGTCGACTCGATGCTTATTACCGAATCAACATCGTCGTCATTATGGTCAGCATCTTTCGAAGGCTCGTGACTTCCGTTGCTAACCTCTTTACCAGCACCATTTCCAATTGCTCGGTTGAAATAGAATTCAATGTTACGTTGTTTCAGCTTGGGGTCGGCAGTCGTCGGGGTGCCATTACCATTGAAGTAGTTGCTGATTTTTGCCTGCTTTAATCGACTACCATCCCCCGATGGGCTCGATTCGGGCTCCCGACGACGCTTGCCGCCGGACGCAGCCGGAGGCGTCTCAATTTTGTACCGTTCGTGAGTCATTTTTATATACTGCGCCAACTCGGCGGGACTCGTCGTTAGCCGGTCGATAAGCTCGTCGGACAACGGCTCTGGAAGATTGAGAAAAGGCAAAGGGTGAGAAATTTGTGTCTGGATCAGTTTTGTTTTTTTCAGGTAAAATTTTCAGCTACACAGAAATGGAGTGAAGTTACTAACACTAAATAGTTTCTATCCAATTCAAATATCTACGTGTGTTAGTAGACAAACTGCAGACAAAGGCAGGTGCAGTCCCAAAGGATAGGTGTTTCATCATATAGGATAGGATAATATTTGATTTTCTGCTAGCCCTTCTATAGGAAAGCAACCAGTTTAGTGCTACTTGTTCAAAATCTGATGCCAGATACAAACTCCTCCGCGAGAACTTCATCAACAATCTTCCAGGCACGATTCACAACTACTCACGACAGCCAGCTTTCTGTTGGCACACAGTAGGTAGACATTTGACAAAAATAAAACAACAACAGCAAAAATTGCCATATACGCATAATTGTATAACAGAGGATGATAAATAGAGATCATTGGGACTCAACAGAAAAACAAACATTCTGAATAAAAGGTAACTTAATACTTTTGGTGCAAAACATTTCCTTGATGAACGTGCAAAATAAAACCGGCCAGTGGCCACACTTACCGAGCTTGATGGTAATGTTACGCTCCAGCTCGTTCTTGAAACGGACGGTCTGCACTCCGGAGATGGCCTTTACGACGGTGGACTTTCCGTGGGCTACATGACCAATCGTGCCAATGTTGATAGTGGCCTGGCGGGAAATCACCTCCGGCGATAGTGGCGTCAGCTTGGAAATGTCCTACGAAGGGAGAAGAGAAAAAAGACAATACGTTAATGAAAGGTTTCTTTTTTTTTAAGATGGAGAGAGTATTCTCCTGCACGTTACGTTTCTGTTTGGATGATAATTTAGCTTGACGTGCTACATTAACCTGAATGTTGCTTCACCGAACGCCATCCTAATGTTAAAATACGAGCAGCAATCAAAAGAAGGCTGAATCTCATTTGCATCAAGGAAGTTCTATTAACAACCAAGAATTAATCGTTTGAGGTATACTGAAGCATTAAGAAGGTGATATGTGTCACTATGGGAAATCATCATCGTTGCAAATATAAAGAAATTAAACATAACCCTTTGCTTCAGTACCGTCAACCTCCATGTCCATGGGGAGGGCAAAATCCACAAAATCGTTAAGTTAATTTCAAAATAATACCGTGAGATTTTGGTACGGTTCTATTTTGGATTCCATTTGGTTCGATTGGACAGACGCTTAACTTATCATTAACTCAGCAATTATCGCACGGATTACTCGTCCGGAAGTCCGATTCCAGCACCAGCGAAAGTTCCCTGGAGAATACATCAGTGAAGAATGAATGCTCCCCTATTGCATCTTTTCACCTACAAACCACGCCGCCAGCAGGAGCACTCGAAGAAACAAGGTACCATCGCCGCTATAAAAATCGCCAAACCAGCACCTGGAGAAGTTGGCCTTCCAGTCGACGCAATCGTTTGGCGAAAAGGATGTCATTTTCAAAGACCTCGTAAAGCACGGTGGGGGCCAGTGCCGACAACCGCGGATTGGAATTGTTTTTGCAAATTTGGCCGCTATACTGCAACCGAGGCCAGCTGCCGAGTAAGTAAGTTGGAGCTGAAGAATGTGCCATTTGAGTCATGATGGGTGGAGGAGGCTCGTTCTTGGCTAGAGATCCAGGAAAGGGAATGTACACTGCGCTCTACACGAACATGCTGAATTGCTACAACAGTGGATGTACAGTGCCACTACTTACTACGTTGCGCTAAAGCACAGCTGCAAAGTATGCTGTTGATGAACTTGGAAAAACGACTGGTAAAATTTGAAGACATCGAACGGTATGTTCTGGCCACTAGCGAACGAAGACGCTGTATTATACCGAGTAAGTATTATTGACAATAATCATAACTAGATAGGTAACTGGATCAACGATATTTAACGCTCAAAACACAGTCAATCAATTAGGATTCTTCTTGTTTTTGAAATATTCTTCAATCATCATCATTAGTATACACATACATTCACACACAAGCTATTCGAAAATTTAAAGCAAGTATTTCATGATTTTACATCGTATATTTTCTGAGTAAAACACTATCACTGCATTTACTTACTTGTGTTCTTCGTAGAATTCAACAATTTCACGTAACCGAATACACAAAATGAATAAAAACTGGAGGTCAAATCTCTTGGTGAACAAAATAAAACACCAAGAAAATCACTCCGACTCCACTTCTTTGCTAGGGAACGTAAAAGAATCATTGAACAAGCGTTGCCAGATGTATTACGTCTAGCAGTCAACATAAGTTTATTAAAACATGCAAATACTAAGTTTCAACCAATAACATAGATGAGTGGATGATTTTAATGGTGAATGAATATCAAACACTGAATAAATATAACTAAAGGGACCTTTTCTGGAACATAAACGTTCCAATTGCAAAGGTTAAAAAATATTGAATTAAACACAAAAAGGGAAGATGGCAGCATTGCATGTAGCCTTTTATTGGCTTTCCCGCTCAGGGGTGTAAACAAAATGCCGTACAGCGTTGTCTGGCAGTGTGAATGTTTTGTCTACGACATTCTTATACGCTTGCATGTGTGACGTCACATTTGCTGTTGCATTGAAAAGTAAAAGAATAAAAGAGATGGTAGATTTTGCTCACCATACCAGTTGATATTTATGATTCATTGACTGTTTTGGCACGGCGACGCACACTACCAACAAATTTTACCAATACTTTTAGCAAGTGATGATTTAGGAATACAAGAAGAAGAAGCAAAAGCAAATCGAGTGATGGTTAGTTGCCTCTTAAGGTAGAGAACTATTTCGGCCTAATCGCCCATTTTGGGCCTATCGAGCAGAAAACTTTAAATAAATCCATGATTTCTGAGTTAACAAGTCAATTCGGTACGCGTTCGGTACGATACTTTAGTTAATAAGCTACGGAACGAAGTCAATGAGAACGCGTGATATGAAGGTTTGTAACAATTATTCCCAAAAACAAAATACGCGCTCCGACCGAATCAATTTTTATCTTCATCCGATAGGCCGAAGTGACTTCATTGAAATGAACACCATAGTCAAATAAACAATTCTTTGTTTCACTGACAATCATTGTAAGGCATCTAGCATCAAAGTTGAGGAAGTGAATCTATTACATCTCAAAATCAAACGCATTATTTTATTCTGTCAGTCGACCATAGAATTCCATACTTCTTGGCAATTTTCTTGATGACTTTGTCAATGTGATAGTTGAACTTAAGTTTGTTATCATTAATCATGCCAAGATATTTTATCTCCCGAACGCCATCAATAGTCTCATCAACGTTCTCATTTACTCGATTCATCGAAATTACCATAAATTTAACCATCTACTTAGAGAACGCAAATCTTCATTCAAGTGTAAAACGGCATCATCTAAATCCGTAGCTGCAATTAAAAACACAGTATCATCTTCAAAAAGATTAATGTCGCAAAATCGTAAAACAGGTCGCCAGCCATTAATATACATAATAAATAACAGGGGCCCTAATACACTTCCCTGGGGCACTCCACGGTTATTCCCCACGGGACAGAAAACATAATCATTAAAAACCTGGGGGCAAGACAGCTATCGATCATGAGTTAAACCGAAGTTAATTTTGAGTAACTCTGAGTAACACACGCTGCTCAATGTCTTATAGCAACCTGATTGTTATATTAAAAATAAAGTTGAAACCGACGCTGTCAAGCAAAGTAAGTGGACTTGCTATCTTGTAATTTCGGTGTAGGGACTTTTGGGTCGGTCGATAGGTTCGGATTAGGCTAAAATAATTCAATAAATTCAATTCTTAGAGCAATATGTTTGTGGCACTGCTACCATCTCTCCTGTTAGCGTTGAATTCAATCTTCTGTAAATGTTGGACCGCTAAAATGCCTAAAATGGTATTTTTTTAAATTTATTCAGTTTCTGATATTTATTCATCAACCTTCACAATTGTTGTTTTAATAAACTTTAATTCATTGCTAGAGGCAATACATCTGGCAACGCTTTTTCAATTATACATTTACGATTGCTGGCAAAGCGCTAAAGTTGAAGTGGTTTTCTTCCGCTGGCGAAGCTGACCAGAGCTGACCTAATCTGGCCTAGAATCAGCAGCTACATAATTTACCACAATCAGCAGCCAATTATATTGACCACGAAGGAAGTTTAAAGCTCAGGTTGTACCTCAGGTAACCGAAAAGGAGCATTCCCCTTTTGGAACGGCTCTTTCCCGTCACTCCTGTATCGTCCTAGGCCGTGTCAATCGTCACAAACAAGGGAAAAGGCGCCTGAAAGGCATCCAAGCCCCGTAAAACCGTCGTGCAGTCAAACCACGACAGTAGCATTTGTCCACAATTCGATTTGTTAAACGATTGATTCGATCTGTTGCTTCAAACGAAATATGCTGTCAGGACGATATTTCTTTGATCAGAAAATCGAGACTACTTTGATCATTTTTGAGTAAATATGAGTAACTCAAATTTACTCGCTGCAAAATTTGTCTCAACGCGGTTTCACAAGAATGACCTTCCTGTTATCTGATTGTTCTGGTATCAACAAACTATTACTATTTAAATACGCCAACAGTTGGCCTTTAACAACAAGTTATAAAATTTTCTCTAATGTGTGCAACATGTTGATGGAAGGAAACTCTTTGGCTTTAATCGTTCCAGCAACTTTTTGAATAGGAACCACTAAGGATTCCTTCCAAATTTGTGGCACATGTCCAGTTTGCAATGATTCATTAATAAGGTCCAGCAAGATGTGGCCAATGACACGAAAGCAATCTTGAATAACTCTAGCATTAACATTGTCTACTTCAGCTGATTTTCGTTATGAAAAACAAATAACTCTAAGTTCATCATTTCGACATACTTATACAACCATTAAAAGTTGGGAAATGAGCTTCCGCACGAGGGGGGCGACACATCTAAATCTCAAGTTTAGATGCTCAACAAATCTCACACTAGCGAATCAATCTTCGAACAATCTTCTTTCATTTGTCGCATCTACTTGCATCGCTCATCAATTTTTTGCAGGAAATCTTCAGAATCGTCATCAATCTTCTTTCTATCTACTCAGCGTGCGCGCAGCTAGCCACAGCAAAACACAATCTTTTTTGCATCGTAGATAGAGTCGTCCCCCTCGCTTCCGCATCCCAATTCGTGCGTTCTATTTTGTGCACCGTGTCACGTACTGCCAGTAGGGTAAGAAAATAGTTCGAGGTTTAAGAAAGAATTTCCCTTATGGTAAAGAAGCCTTAATAAATACTCCTCCGTCAAGATCTGATTCATCTTCCTTCTTCTTCTTCTTCGCATTTCAAGCTTATTGCATATCGCATATTAGCTTATTGCGTGCTCTCAACTTAGTGTTCTAGATGCACTTCCACAGTTATTAATTGAGAGCTTTCGATGCCTGTACCATTTTTGCATTGGTATAATTGTGTGGCAAGTCCAATCATACTTCTATGCCCAGGGAAGTCGAGAAATTTTCCAACCCGAAAAATTCCTAGACCGGACCGGTAATTGAACCCAGCCACCTCCAGCATGGTCTTGCTTTGTAGCTGCGCCTTTACCGACTGAGCTAAGGGAGGTCCTTTGATTCATCTTCCACCAAGGTGATTATTCTTCTAACAGGTCTGCTAGAACTAGAAACCGTGGTGCTCATTCAACGAGCCGCGGGTAAAGGGTGTTAAACTTGACGCATGTCTTTTTAATAATCGAGCATTTAAAAAACCTGAACACCCCTCATTTTGTAGGTGTACATATTGATGCCTCAATATTTTGATTTTGACATAAACATTTCAAAAGGTCCTATCTGCATTGCTCGATTCTCTTTATCGACTTTTTCTTCCGTTAATAACTAAACTTCAACAGCATTCCCTGCTGTGTACGAAAATCCGAGCTTCTTGCACGCCGGCAGACTTCAAACAGCTTCCTGGGCAGAAGTTTTATACGGCAAGTGTAAGGGAAAAGGTGGCAGACATTTTCAACCATATGAAACTGTCGAAGATCGTTAAGTAATAGCTGGTTTGGCAAACTATCTGTACCTGTACCTTGAAAAACGACGTTGTCATTGAAACCGGGAGCGTCAACCAGGAAATTTACGTGAACGAGTGCCTGAAAAAAACGTCTGCTGCCTTTCTTAAAGCAACATGATTGTTCCGTGCTGTTTTGGCCGGATTTGGCTTCCGTCATTTAAAGAAATGAACTAGCCTACGACTAAAAATCTCTAAAATAAAGTTTAAAAAAAGCATTCTGTAATTACAGAAAAAAAAAGGCCTTGGAGTGGTATGCCGTCAACAACGTGCAGTATTTGGGTGAAAACCTTCAAATCTACAACTACTATTACCTGGCTATTTTATTTCGTCAGGTTCATCGACCAATTCAATCACGCAGAGAAATGGTTTTTAAGTTCAAATGGATATATTTTTGACTCAGGGCCTAATATATTTTTGATATTGTTTCAAATGTATTATTCGGTTAATTCAAAGAAAAATATTTTTGAATCAACAAACCGGTTGTAGAGTCAATAATCTGTTTGTTGATTCTAAAAACCATTTTGTTGATTCAAAAACATGTGTTGTTGAAATAGTGATACAATATGTTTGAATCAATAACAAAATACATTAGGCCCTGAAACAAAAATCCATTTTTCTGCGTGATGGATTGATTAATCAATGAAACACTGTCGACAAAATAATCATTAAACTTATATGCAATTACTTGTTCTGACTATTCTTATGTGCCATTAAAAGTTATGGACCGTGGTTTGCAATTACTAGGTTTTAATAAAGATTTCAAAAATTTTCATAACTCTTTGCTGTGGTTTTGATTTTGATGCTTATCAATCTTCCTTCCTTTGAACATATTCACAACGAGTTTTCTATATCGATTGTAATTATTACGCGCGATTGTGTACCTATTCCAATGATTGTCATTGTCACTTTTGTACCAGTTGTCCCTAGTTTCTGAAGAAATTTAGACCAACACTTGAAATAGGCGGAACAACCAAACGTAAAAAAAATATTTTAAACGCAAATTTCTCGAGACACCCGCGCAAAGTAACCATTCGATAAAGGAAACTTGCTCCATCAGATGCTGGTGTTAGATTGCTTAGATGTATTTTGATTCTCGAGAAATTTGCATTTATAGTCATTGTTTACGTTTACGGTTTGTTTCGCCTATTTCAATTGTTGGTCTAGAAATATTCCAGGAAATTTGAATAAGAGTTTCAAGTGAATTTCAAGAACATGTCAAGAGTTTTTTTTAAGGGAAATCTTATGGAAATTCTGAGGTGAAAAATTATATTGGTCTGGGTTGTGACCAATAAATTTCCAAGAAATATTCCGCGGCAAAGAAAATCATAGCATCTTGCGAGAATGATTAAGAATAATAAAATAGTAAAGTAAATCTCAAGAGTTTTCTGGAGAGAATTCCTGAAATCTTGTAAATAGTTCTGAAGAAATTTAGGAACCATCATAATGAAATCTTTGAAAAAGTTGAGATATGTTGCAAAGAAATGATGAATGTAGTTAAATCAGACATTGAACATTTTTTAAGATCAAGCACTGATGGAATCACTTAAGCAAATAATCACGGTCTGGACTTGACAAATTTACGAGACTCTGAGAAATTGCTATTTTTTTTAGATCTCAGACCTAACTTTTGATATACCGTACTAAAGCAAGCACCACACGAGCAAAAATATTCTTCATTCCTTTATTTAAGCTGGTTGTGATGACTCGGAATATTCCATGTTAATGTTAGTGAGGAGCGACCCTGTATTGATGACCCTCTTAGAAAATATTGACGAAACTTCTATCGTGTGGGGTGCACTTTAGGAAAAGTTAAGAACCCCGAATTAAAAAAAAAAAAAAACAGATTCTATGAATGAGAAATATTCGAGATATCGGGCATAAAATTTTATTATGAGAATTCGATAGAATAGACTTAAAAAATAAGGATCAAATCAAATTCCCGGTTAATGGCTGTGCCATCATGAGGAAGCAGTAGTCAAAGACGCAACAAACATTAAAATACTCACTGTTCTAGATTGTTTACGAGTATTTACTACATTATAAAAATTGAGACAAGCGACTGTGAGTATTTTTGTTTGTTTTTATTTATCACAACGTTAGCCTATGGTTTATGACTTTTTCACAGGTCAAGTAAGAAAGTGACCTGCTACTATGGTCGCAGGTTACCTGTATCTGGAGAACCATCAAATAATACTTTATTATTAATGGTTTGTCACCCATCACACAAACACCTATGTTACTTTGGTGAATATGGTCCTTATAAAGCTCGCAATGGTTTCTGGAAAAGCATAAAACGAACGAGAGGAGAGAATCCTAACCTAAAAAAAAAGAAGCAGCCTGCCATCGTTGCATCAGCTTGCGGGCTTCCAAAAATGTAATCAAATCCTACTTGAGCCCTTCCAAATCGATAGTTTTTAACAATTAGTGCGCAGAAAACGCCACGTTCGACCTTCCAATGGTGATCTTCAGAGGAAATATAGCCTCCGGAAACAGGAATTTCATGGCATGTTGGCAGTTTTCTTGCTAGGGTAGAAAAACTCGCACCCGAATGCTTTCACTCCGCCCCGATACCCGCAGCTAGTCGAGTCCACGGAAACTTACCAGCTGAGAAAGGTCCTGTTTCTGGAGATGCGGCTGGCCAGTGGTGGCCTGCGTTTGCTGTTCACCTGAAGACATTATCGCACTTTCGCTAGCGCTCGCTGGTGATTAGTTTCGACCGATAAATTAACTAGATTTCACCGAAAAAGCACGACAGCCACTCTGCGCGAAGTGTGTGTTGCCAATTTGACTCACTTTGAAAGGATCTTCTTACTCTTCTTCTCGGTCCTGCTCTGCGTTTGCCCAGCCGTCAGAGGCGGCTTCACCGCGCTCGGCTTATGCGTGACAGTTGTTTGCGGTTCATACCGGTTGGGAGCGTGTTCCGTTGTGAACGCACTCCTCAATGCACTCAAAGAGCGATTCACCAAAAAACGTTCCAATGGTAAGCTTCAACTGAAATTTACTTTTAAAATCGGCCCTGATTGAAGGATTTGCCCGGGGATCTACGTAACCCAACAAACATTAAATGTTGAATAAGAGCTTATTCCGGCAAAAATAAGCTTCTTGAGCGAAAAAATTGCCTTTTCAGCTGTTAATCAAAGCGGCTCCGGTGGTGTAGTGGTAAGCGTGATTATCTCTCACCCCAGCAGGCCTGGGTTCAATCCCAGTCAGCGCTGCCAGGATTTTCTGAGGGAAAGGATAGTATTGATTAACATTAACGTCAACAAGATAACAGCCCTAGAATTTTCCAACGGCCACAGATCGTAGATGTAAACCTGCAAACGTGTCGCATTGAATTTGTTAATTTACGTTAGTGATTTGTCGACATTTGATCTATTGTAGTATATCCCGTGTCCTTAGTTTAGTGCATGTCGTATTACCAACAATCAATACGAAACTAACGATTTTAAATTGGCTCACTACTTGACTAGCCTATTGGTCCCAAGCAAACGATTAACGTACCCCATTCTAGTCGAAATTCTAGTACTACGCAATGTTTGTTTTGATTCGCTATGAAAGTTTGACAGATAAAATGAGGGGTTATTGGTTTTTCCTATGTTTCGAGGGGTGAATCGATTAGCTTGGGACCGAAGAGAGTACCAGAGCTGAGCCAAAAAGTTGAGCATGTTATTTCGGGACCTTCTGGTCTTATACCCCGTTCACATTACAGCCTATATCACGTAATATAGGCTGTCTTGCAATGAGCACTCATACATAGGATTTCCAGTGAAAACTAGATGTATGAGTGCTCATTGCAAGATATCGTATATCACGTGATATACGCTGTAATGTGAACGGGGTATTAGAGTTACCTCTATGGTATTACTCCATCACTATTGAGAAATGATGAAGTATTCGGTTTTGATACAGTTGTCATTCTTGCCTTCATCGCAAGGAATCGATTCTAACTGAAAGGTTCCGCTATTTATACCCTTCGGAGTTGGAACACCCTCCAAAGGCGCGCCCCTTTGTCAGTCAAAATTGGATTCCTTAACAACAAAAACAAGCTATGACACCGATAACTAGCGAATATATTCAGTTGACGTTGAAGAAAGCGACAGTCAGCAATAGAGCAGATTCGTATACTATAGGAAGATTTTGAGGTCATCTGCATATGATAACCGAGGAGCTTCGATGACCAGATGCTCGTCGTTGAAGTACAGTATAAAAATTAACGGTCCCATGTGGCTTCCCTGAGTATACCTGATGTGGCGAAGAAGCTAGCTGATCTGCAATCTCCTATGGCAACCTTTAGTTGCCGACCGGTAAGATATGATCGAAACCAACTCAGAAGATTACCTCATACACCGAGCCTGCAGAGGTTCCCTAATAAAAAAATACCATACACGAATGATAACCCAAATAATAGAACTATTCCACAAATGGTTTGGATGATACCCCGAACACGTCGTTAAGCAAAATAACCATAACAATTTTATTAGGGTTAGTTGATAGTACCTTTTCAATGGTTGGTCAACAATGTATTGAATTGGTTCCGCTTTTTGATAGATTGCAATTCTATCCGCCAGACTAGGGTTGATGCATATATTATGTCACGCTCTAGCGGGGGGGGGGGTCTAAGATTTTGTGACAGGCAATGCATTAGGTATAAGAAAAACGTCACGATAGGGGGGGGGTAAATTTCTCCTCGATTTAGCGTGACATAATTAATGCATGTTATCGTTTCCGTGTACTGCTCGCCGCAGCGCTGGCATCGGATCACTTTGGCGTTTCTATATATTCGGTTTTTCTTGCATGCAACCGAGGGGGACGACTCTATCTCACACAAAAGACAAAAATTGTTGCTTTAAGAATAATGCATGATCAAATTAAAAGTTTCCCAAATTTCGTAGTTTCAACTATGAAATTTTTCAAATGTAAAATATTTTTTTTGATTTAAAAGTGTTATTTTCACTTTCGGCTTGTAATTTTAAAAGTCTATTTTTTAGAATAAAAGTTGTAAAATTGTCAAAAAATCTCTTCCTTGCGATGTTTTTGACAGTACTGGACCTGTGTTTCCCGCCAAATTGGACATGCAAAACAAACAAACAAAACAAAAGCAGCTGTGATAATTAGCATGAGCAGCAGCAGTTTCTTGAACTTTTCCACATTTTCATCCACCGGTGCGCTTGTTTCTCTTCTGTAATATACAAATAATAAGATGAAGACATTCGTGGTGACGCTATGAAGTGGAAGGATTGGAAGGATCCTCCAGCTACGGGATTTGGGTAAGATGATGAAATTTTCGAAGAGTTTGCTTGGTTCCAATTTTCCTAATTGATATGTTTTGATTTTCAGCAGCCTCGTCAGAATTGCCGGAAAGGAAGGATACTCCCACCATCACCATCACTAGCTGTTCAGCCAACTGTATATATATATATGTAATATATATATTTGCGCAATACGCTTGCCATGCTTTGAAGTTCCATAATGCCGTGCCCTTTCAGTCAGCATCATATAAATAAACTAAAATATATTAAATTAAATATTTCTATGCTTTATTTCTTTCAAAGTAAAAAGCAATTGAATTAAAAAGAATTCATATTTGAAATGAAAACATAAATCATTGCGATAAAACTGCCCATCTTTTAAATTAAATCCTTTCATGAGTCTATTTAACAAAATAGGTTTTCATATTGACAGTTCTACAATTCGATTTGAAAGTTTCAACTTTTAAAAGTAAAAAACGATTTACTTTTGAATTGACAGTTAGCTGACTTTTGTTTTGAAAGCTAAAGACTTTCTACCAAAAAGAACCAACGGAAACTTTTAATTCTACCAATGGATTTTTCAATTTTACTAACGATAATTTTTTGTGTGTACGATGCAGAAAAGATTGTGTTTTACTGTGGCTAGCTGCATGCACGCTGAGTAGATATAAGGAAGATTTATGGCGATTTTGAAGATTTCCTGCAAAAAGATGAAGCACGATGCAAGTAGATGCGAGAAATGAAAAATGATTTTTCGAAGATTGATTCGCTAGTGTGAGATTTTTTGAGCATCTGGAATTGAGATTTAGATGCCCTAATAAAAAATAACCATAAACGAACGATAACCCAAATCATTGAACTATTCCACAAATGGTTTGGATGATACCCAGAACACGTCGTTAAGCAAATTAACCATACAATTTTTATTAGGGTGTGTCGCCCCCCTCGCATGCAACATTGTTTGCGAATCACCGAACATGCTTGTTTTCCGCGAGAAGCCAGCGAGATGTCGTTACTGCAGTCCTATGTTTGGCGGTACGATCACAGACAAACAGACATAACACATTGAATATTTCTCACTGTAAAACATCGTCGCAAAAACATTACCGCCATCTGTTTAGTACACTGTGGTGGGTAGCACGCTGAACAGATGGCGGTAGTGTGTAAACGTCAAACGCAAGGGAATTGACTATGCGCGCCACAGGTGGCGGTACTACCAACTACGATACTTTTAAATTGTCCGTTAAATGCTTATTCGATGAAGAACTTGCGAGTGTTATGTCTGTTTGTCTGTGATTTGTTGATCACATTGCAAAAAATCATGTGTGGGACACATAAAAACAATCTTTGAAATTTTATCAGTGTAGGTTTTGAACAAATGTAACTTTGTCATTTATAGATTAAATTAAAATCCAAATACACCAATCGATAGAAAATAACTCTACAAATCTGCTGAAATAAATACTTTTCTTATTTTCCATAAATTTGTTTTTGAAAATATTTAAACTGCAAGGTGTTTTTATTAGAGCAACCGTAACGGTCATTGTCATTTGCGCGACTATTTTAACAGCGCACAGCGCTCTCATTTTAGTTTAGTCACTCTTCTCCACACCGGTCGCTGCTATCGCGGTTATCAATTTACTCGCCGTAGTCCGTACCGGTAGTGAGCATTTTGACATTTCTACACACAAAAAATTATCGTTAATGAAATTGAAAAAACCATTGGTAGAATTAAAAGTTTGCGTTGGTTCTTTTTGGTAGAAAGTCTTTAGCATTCAAAACAAAAGTCAGCCAACTGTCAATTCAAAAACAACTCAATTTTTACTTTTAAAAGTAGAAACTTTCAAATCAAATTGTAGAACTGTCAATATAAAAACCCATGTTTTTAAATAGACTCACGAAAGGATTTAATTTAAAAGATGGGCATTTTTAACGCAACGATGTATGTTTTCATTTCAAATATGAATTATTTTTCAATTCGACTGCTATATGCTTTGAAGAAAATAACAATAGAAATAATTTATTTAATATATATTCGTTTATTTATATTTTTGATGATGACTGAAAGGGCACTGCATTGTGGAATCTTCCATGAGAAGCATTTTACGCAACTGATACAGTTGGTGATGGTGATGGTGGGAGTAGCCTTTCTTTCCGGCAAGACTGACGACCCTAATAAAAAATAACCATAAACGAACGATAACCCAAATCATTGACCTATTCCACAAATGGTTTGGATGATACCCAGAACACGTCGTTAAGCAAATTAACCATACAATTTTTATTAGGGGAGGCTGCTCAAAACACATAAATTAGTAAAATCGGAAGCATGATCGAAAGTTTTCGAAAATTTCATCAACCTACCTCCAAATCCCGTAACTGGAATATCCTTCCGATCCTTCCACTTGATAGCGTCAGAAGAGAAACAAGCGCGCCGGCGGATGAAAATGTGGGAAACTGCTGCTGCTCATGCATGTTAGCTGCTGGTTTACTTTCTTTTTCACATGTCTAATTTGGCGGGAAACAGTGGTCCAGTACTGTCAAAAACTTTGCAATGAAGAGGTTTTTGACAGTTTTTCGACTTTTATTCTAAAAAATACACTCTTAAAATTACAAGCCGAAAGTGAAAGCAACACTTTTAAACCAAAAAAATATGTTTTATTTTGAAAATTTTCATAGTTAAAACTACGAAATTTGGCATACTTTTAATTTGATCATGCAATATTTTTATAGCAACAATTTTTGTTCTTTGTGTGTACGAATAGCAACCTTTCTCTCGCGCTGCTATCGCGCTGCTAAATTTGATAACGCGCTTCTCACCGAGAAGCCGACTGCTATTTTAGTTACTCGTATGGCAACCCCCGATACGGTAGCTGCGCTATGATGAGGGCTGCTAAAATGAGTTTAGCAGGGTACCGTTACGGTTGCTCTTAGGGCACAGCGTAATTTCGAGATGCAAAATACAAATTTTATTTTTCTGTGTAATTAGCATCAGATGAAGGATCACGTTCACACAATAATGGTTCATGTTCAACGCACATATACAACCCTGCCCTATCGGTTGAAGCGGTTGAAGCCCCAAACGTCCCTACCTACTGTCAAAATTTTTTAGCAAACTGCAAAAATCGCGTTTCTGTTCTCGTTCGACTCGAAAATACACACAGAGCGAGCCGGCATTATTTGGAAAAAGTGGAAATTTCACCAATTTTAGCATTCGGCTTCGCAAAGTTATTCTTTCCTCCGTATACGTTCATCGTCGGAAGTGTCGCGCCCGGGTGAAATGGCTTCGATTGCAAAGAAAGTGAAGAAATCCGACGACGCGTTGGAGGACGAGTCGGAAGCGTTGGAGGCAATCGACAGCTGCCAAAACGAAATCGATGCGCTCAACGAAAAGGCGAGCGAAGAAATCCTCAAAGTGGAGCAAAAATACAATACACTGCGAAAACCATACTTCCAGAAGCGGAACGAAATCATCAAGCGGATTCCGAGTTTCTGGGTGACTGCCATAGTGAACCACCCGCAGATATCCGGCATCCTTGAGGAAGAGGAAGAAGAGTGTTTGCAGTTTATGGAGAAGCTGGAGGTGGAGGAGTTTGAGGATATCAAGAGCGGTTACCGTATCCATTTCTACTTTGACGAGAATCCGTATTTCGAAAACAAAGTGCTAACCAAGGAGTTTAACCTCGGGTCGAGCGGAGGTAGTTTGTCGTTGAGAGTTTGGTTATGGAAAAATAATGAAATATGTTTATTCTTTTCAGAGACGCCGGTATCGACCAGCACAGCTATCAAGTGGAAGCCGGATCGTGATTTGACCAAAATGCTGCCAAAAAAGGCGATGGCCAACCGACGGAAGCGTGGTCTGGAGTATCGGACCTTCTTCGATTGGTTCACGGACAACAATGATCCGATCAACGACGACATTGCGGAATTGATTAAGGATGACCTGTGGCCAAATCCTCTCCAGTACTATCTGGTGCCGGACATCGAGGTGGAACCAGAAGCGGAGGAAGATGGGGGTGAGGATGACTTTGGCGATGATGGCGAAGGGGAAGAGGAAGAGGACGAAATTGAGGAGGAGGAAGAGGAAGCCTAAGATTTCCTCCGGAAGATAGGTCCAAGTAGGTTCTATGTCTCCTTTCTGACGGGTGTGTGTAGAACGACATTGTGGATCAGAATTTTTGGTATAGATGTATGTGTTTCTTGGGTTTCAGGAAAAATCTCCCTTCAAGTTATTTTTTTCTTTTTGTAATGCCTGCTAGCCACTGGACAAGCATAAAGTTATATTTATTATTTGCTTCGTTGGCTGAAGGCCAATTCAAAGACAGCAAATCTTACGTTTCCATGTTTGTATGACGAAATCCGTTATCACTCTCGAATAGGATGAATACTATTGTTCCATTTTTACGAAGTTGATCTTAAGCTAATCACGATAACAGAGGTCTTTTTATAGCAACATTATGTCTAGTAGAACATTGTGTTGAACCAATTCTTTTCACAAACAGAAGAAATGAAGCAAATCAAACATTTATCGATAATTATTACACTATAGTAAAGGAGCGAAGATGGTTCTCTCCAAAACAGGAATTATGACAAAAATTATGAAGTATTATTGGCAGAAAGTGGTACCACATTTGAAATATATACGACTAATAAACACTACTTACTGGATAAGAACAGAATAGTAGAAAATGAAAGCTGCGCGATTCGGTGAGGTATATGGTTTTGCTTCGAAATCCCTAAAGCTTATAGTAGTTCAACGTTGGAGATAACTCGACCACCAGCTACAGAAACATGGGTTGTGTGAATTTCCCCGAGCGCTAGAATGAAACTCTGGCTTTTGATTGCAGCTCACAAACACTTGTAATGCCCCTCCCGCGTGAGAGACTTAACTTCCCGATAGTCCCGATAGGTGAGGTGACTCGCTGTCACTAGTGAGGTGACACAAGTCATCGCGAGTGAGGTGACTCTCCGTACAAATCAAATGAAGAGTCACCTCACTCGCGGCGCAGAATAAGGGGGAGTGTTCTTCGTTTGCTTTGGCGAACTTCGGTTCACACTAGCTGATGGGTTTGTTTTTCAAATGGTATACGCGAATTCCTCGAATGTCATTAGTCTCAAGTGGTACTTGATTGCTAAATGCATTCAAAGAAGTGACATTGGCGGTAATGTAACACAATCCTGTTATTTTAGAAGTAGTCAAATGGATCTTTTTTTTCTACCAACTCGATGTGTAATAGGCACATTCGCTCGATCCGCAATTTATCGTATACAATTCCTGGAAGCTGAAAACCAGGGGCCTCATGGTGGAAGTCGAAACGACAGACTTGTTCATACAAAAAATGCTCAGTTTCGAGTTCCTCCGATCGGAATTAGAGCATCTCCACCGCTGGTTCCCATTTCGGTCGTTAAATGACGCCCTAAATCGGTCACTATTAAGTTTAGCAACCCGACAAAATCCGAGTTCCCACCGCTGGGTTGGTATAATTATAGAAACTCAAACTCCCACCGCGGGTTGCCAAATCATATCTCCATCTTGGTTTTGATTCGTTTTGTTGAGGTTTTTCCCCCCTATTCTGCGAGTCACGTGACTCTGTGTTACCGGTTAGATGACTCTCCATTTGATTTGCACGGAGAGTCACCTCAATTGTCATCTCACAAGTGACAGAGAGTCACGTGACTCGCAGAATAAGGGGGTTTGTTTATAGACATTTAGGCCTATTCTGCGCGGCTTGTGAGGTGAGGTGACAGTGAAGTGATGGTGAAGTGACAATTTTCACCTCGGGTGAGGTGAGTCTCCGTGCAATTCAAATGGAGAGTCACCTCAAGCGAGTTGACAATTGTCACTTCAGAAGTGACAGCGTGTCACCTCACCTCACACGCCGCGTAGAATAGGCCTAATTACAAATTTAACTTTAACTTCAAGTTCAAGGCCCCCGATGAAAAATTCGGACACGTATCCCGATGAGGCTTCCGAACGCATTTCCTGATGCGAATCCGCAGTCAGATCTTGATGAGGATTTAAGGATCTTAATGAGGAATCCGTAAACGGATCCCGATGAGGAAACTGCAGACGGATTCCGATAGGAAATGCTTTAACGGATCCCGATAGGAAATGCGTAAACGGATCCCGAAGGGGATAGTTATGCGTAGAATTTTAAATGGGACAATTTGGCTGATGTTGTTTCTATAGAAAACCAATAAGAAATGATATGATTTTCTATTTTTGTTCGAAAAAAGTGAAAAACGTCCAAAAGTAACATGGAACAGATATGCTTAGGACGGCAGGTATGTCCTCAGAAAAAAGTATAGCGGTTTTGAGCCAATAGATGGAAACGGCTAGCATTTTACTGTCGTTATACACAGAACTGTCCACGCGTGGGACTCTTATGTATATAACGGTAGTTTAACAATCGCCCATATTCTTGTTTTCGTTCGAACCGTATTTTCCATACAAAAATACTTGTTTTGGGTATAGAAAATACGGTTCGAACGAAAACAAGAATATAGTCTCAGTTAGGAGGAGACGCGTTTAATAAAAAAAAAATAGGTACAAACAAAGTAACAGAACTCATGTTGCATAGAACACTCAAAAGCTGCAGCTATTCATCAACTGTTGCCAGCGATACCTAATTCGTGCCTGGTGGCCTCACATTTGGAGCTCGAATGCTGAGCTTCATCGTCGATCTCATCAGATGCCGGTATCAACTGAAATTTCGAGAGTGAATGTGGCTCAGCCACACACTACGAAGGGGCGCAAAAGAAATCTGCAAGCATGCGCTGGATTGGAAACCGGCTTGGCATCCCAGCAGAGGCAGACCCATAAGGTCATGCCGGCGGAGCCTCAACAAGTAAATCTATAGGAATATTACCAGGACGCAGCATGCAGCCACCCAGTATGGAAACCTTCCACGGTGCCCATGATACTGAAGTAAGTAAGTCACATAACTTTAAGAACTTTTCGGTCTTGTATGGATGCAGAAGGGAACATCATATTTACCATTTTTATTCGCTTTCGTTATTACACATGTACTGCATCATACTACAAGGACTCCCTTGCTTCGAAAAAACAATCACTGGAAGTGTCGTCACCGTGTTCTGTACAGGATGTTCACATACAAATGACCAATTTCGACACATTCCACCTGTCGCCCTTCAACCTTCTCCGAGACCGCCTACCGCGCTGGAGCTTAGACTGGAGCGGAAATGATATCGGTGTACTTCTTGATCTTGCTGGCAACGCTCATGTCAACGTATTTGTCACCAATCGAAACAATCATACCGCCAATCAACGCTGGGTCGACCTTGGCAGTTAGCTGAATGCTCTGGTTTGGCTTCAGCAACGACTGCATCAGTGAAAAGAAAATATTGAGTAAGGCATTACATCGAAATAATCTACAGCTATATTACCTTCAGGGCACCCTCCAACTGCTTGCGCTGCGAGTCATCCAACGCCTTGGCAGTTGTGACCTCACATACAACTTCACCCCGCTCGGCGGCCATGATCAGCGTATAGGCATTGATGATGCCATCCAACCGTCCGAGGCGGCCATTCTCTGCCAAAATCGTCAGCAGATTTCCGGTGGCAGCATTGTACTTGACGCGGGAGGAAACATCCTTCAAGGCAGAGGCCTTGAGACTACGCTTGATCGTTGGGTTGATCAGCAGATCGCGCAAGTTCGGATCGGCACGCATCTGACGCTGCAGACCCTTCAGGTCCTTTTCGACGGCTTCCAGCGCCTTGGTCTTGGAGGCAGCCGAGTACAGGGCACAAGCATAGCGACCCTCCAGTCCGAAGATCTGTACCGGAGGCTTAACGAGCTGAGCGGAAACCGAGCTGGTGCTCAGTTGACGAGCCTGGAACGGAAAAACATTCGGTGCAAAATTACATAACCGAATATTCGTGGACTGCATAACCTTCACCGGGAGCGGTACGAGACGATTTGTTTATTTCCATTATCAAGTCATACAAAGGTGCACTTCGAAACATTGCTTGATGGTGATAGTCATCAGAAATCAAGAATGAGCACTTACCAGAACCGAAAGTTTTCCCGATGCAGCCATTTTCTGTGCGAATTCTGGAGGATTTTTCTTCTAACTTTTGTCGCTTGCCTTCCGAGATGACTGAAAAGTTGACAGCTGTGTCAAAACGTCAAAACGTGCATGCATGACTCTATACACACTAATTTCAGAAATACTCATTTTCGATAAACTTCGTGATCCACGTTATGCCCCGTTACATGTTTGTCCTTTTCGACCTGGCTTACCAAATCCGGTATTGCAAGCTGTCACCCTGCACCCACCGCAGATTCAAAACATTAAACCGATTTTTTTTTCCGGAAAAAGGACGCTTTCGCGTTTTGTTTATTCCAGAAGCGGAATGAACCGTACGAAAAAGTGCTGCGTATATCATGATTGTAATACCAATAGCCTGAGCAACCCGGATCTTACGTTATTTCAGTTCCCAAAAAACGAAGAACGTATTGCCAAGTGGTGCGAGCTTGGGGCCGTCGATCCGTTTGACACCCGGCCTCGGTTTATGTGCGAATTGCACTTTCCACGGATCTACATGTGCTTCAGTGCTCGTCGGAAGATGCTACTGAACACGGCTATACCACGCGCCTTCGGAACCAACGAGGAGGACGAACAGGATCAAGAGCTGGTGCAAAGCTCATCATACGAAGCGGAGGACGTCTCAATAGAAGAGCACTTGGATGAAAGTGGGTATCTCTATGTCGTGAAGGATCTTTAGTTGAACCAAACTGATCTAATTGTATACAATTTCAGACATGATGGATGAGAGCGACGAACTGGCGGCGGAAATAATCTACGTGAACCGCCCACAGTCTCTTGAGCACGACCAAGATGAACCTACAACTTCTCGAAAACGTTCTCGTCCAATCGAAACTACCCCATCTACAAAAATTATCAAATTAGAAAAACTAGCCTCCACTTCGCGCTCCATGGTGGTTTCTTCGTCTTCGACTAAATCCGTGGACGCCTCAAGGAATCCCATTGCCCTTACTCCGCCGCATGGTACGATTTTGCGTAGGGTCAAGCTAAAGAAGCGTCCTAGCGCAACCAAAACAATAGTCGTCAAAACGATCGAGCCAAATGCGATCGAGCAAGAAGTTGCTGTAGCTGCTAAGGTAGCCGTCAGTTCTTCACCGGAGAAGAAGGCTTCCCCGTCCGACTCAGATGCGAAAGAGGAGGATGAATGGGCATATCCGGTGAAAACTACGTCCGCTGTGGCTAGTAGCAGCAACAGCACTGCCGTTGAAGCAGTCAACACTACTGAGACAGAGAAGGAAGAGAAGAAACCCCAGGTGGACAAAAGTCCCCCAAAGAAAGAAGAATCCATCTACGAGTTTATCTTCAAAGGCGAAGAGTATGTGCAAATGCCGAAGGCTAAGTATTATGGTGAACGGGAAAAGCTGGAGAAGCAGGTGGAACAATCCGCGAAGGCGCAGGAGCAGTTGGAGAAGAAAATCGAATACTACCGACGATCGTTGAAGGACTTGAAAGAATTTCTACACAACGTCTGTGAAGAAAACGATTATGATGTTGATTGAGTAATAATAAAGCCGATAGCTAAAAAAGATAAGTTTAACTAAGATCTGAAAAGTCCATAAGTAGATCTCACTTCAACTAGACTACACAGCGCTAATAAAAAGGCGACACCGTAATTCTCACGAGTATGAAGAACCTTGTCAAGCAGTTGCAACTTGGAATATTGTTGACTTAAAACATTTTACGCAATTTTTAGGAATGGTGGCGAGCAAGGATTTTTGATTAGGTGGCGAACTCTCAGTTTTGCCTCCTGTCTATTTCACTTTTACGATGCCCTCATCACATTTCATGACGGTAGCGTAAAAGAGATTTCGCAACAAATTCTCCTGTTTTTTTTTTTTTTAAGTTAAGATAACTTCATTAAGTTGAGGCAGAGGTTGCATTAGAATAATTCGGTAGGTAGTAGACGGACTCGCCGATTGTGATTATAGTCGCTATATTCATAGTCTGGCGGACAGCATCTCGGGAACCAATTGAGCTGTCAAAAAGCGGAACCAATTGAGCAAATCATGACCAACAACTGAAAAGAGCACATCAGCTATTGCGAACAAAACTTCGGAAACCCTTTTCTCGTGACTCAAGGCTCACCTACGCAAACTAACGCCATCTTTAGGTAGAGGAAAGTTTCCCCTATCCGATGATGCCGGTAATTTGCGTTCGATTGGCGAGGAAAGAATAATCAACGTTTTGTTCATAACAGTTGATAGTGCCTTTTCAATTGTTGGTCTACAATATATTAAATTGGTTCCGCTTTTTGATCGATCGAAATTCTATCCGCCAGACTATGAATACAGCGACTATAATTGTGATGTGTCCATGGGGTGTTATCAGCTCAATGCCGAACAATTCGATGACGGCTAAACGAAAATCGTACACCGTCCTGAACTCGAGTCCTTTACGGATGGCGATGGCAACACTACAGACAAACAGACATAAAACTCGTTGTAAGTCGTAAGATGTTCATCTAAAATGCTCTTCTTCTTCTTCATTCCTTTATTTAACGCCAGTCTCAGTTCCGCAATCTAGTGCCAATCACCGACGGACATCGATTGCCATCCATTGACGGCAATCTAATGTGCAGGAAGGCAGCTTCCACATCTGCGTAGGGTCTGAACGTACACTGAAACAAGGACCATAGTTAGGAATACTATTTTGCAGAAAACACTTATTATCAATATAACCACGCTTATTACTGTTAAATCTACTATGAATTCAGTTTAGTTTACCATGAATGTTAACAAATTTACTATGATTCTAGCAAAACTACTATGCTTGCTCAAAATGCGTAGTAATTTTGATAGAAATAATAGTAAAATTAAATGAAATTGTTTTCTGCAAAAATCTATTGGTGAGGGTATTTAATTTAAACCAGCAATATAGTATTTTTGCTAATGGATTTTGTTTCAGAGTACTATTAACTGGGGTGAGAAAGTAGTCGCGCTTACCACTACCACCGGCACCGCCCCCCAACATTCAGACGCTTATCACGCCACTGATTATAGGCAGTGAAACACGTTTGTTTATATCGTCGGGCAGTCTTGCTGACGTGAAGTGGCAGGTCTGGCAATACCTCTTTCATTCCAACGCTGGCAAAAGCGTGTGACGTACTCGCTGTTCCATTGAAAAGCGTGGGTTTGAAAAAGACAACTTATTCACCAACCAGACCTTTTATTGAACATTGTCTTAAGAAGATTGAAATTATTACAAGTTGCATGTACCTATCAAAACGATTTTAATTTATAAGTTATGAATTGAATCTTCTTTCTTACTGCTTTATAATGAACAGATTATCCAAAATCTTCCAACCTTCGTTGATAATCCCAAAGAATGCGGTCATTAAAAACCAGGACATCACATCTAAAAGTCAGCGGGTAAGCTTGCACCCATTTTTGGCTCAAGAAAAAAAAAACCATTGTGTGAAATTTTCCATTACAGCTTATGCTCGAGCAAGGTTTGATCCGGCAGGCCGGCAACGGCACCTTCTACATCCTGCCGCTTCTGCAACGTTCGGTTCAAAAAGCTATCGACCTGGTGGATTACTACATGCAACGGCATGCGGGAGCGGAGAAGCTTAGTCTGCCCATTCTGACGTCGGTTGATTTGTGGCGCAAAAGTGGTCGCCTTGAGATGGCAAGTGCCGAACTGATGACCACTACTGATCGACACGGTAAAAAGCAAATCCTTGGGCCGGTGAGCAACGGAAGTTTAAATACATTGCAGCGTTTGGCTTAAAAATGTGTTCATTTCCTTACAGACACACGAAGAAAGCATCACTGCTCTTCTGGCCGCAATCTCGCCGGTATCGTACCGGCAGTTCCCACTAAGGCTGTATCAAATATCGACCAAGTTTCGTGATGAGATGAAACCCCGATTCGGTTTGCTGCGGGCAAAGGAGTTCCTGATGAAGGACTTGTATACGTTTGACGTCGGATTGGTCGAAGCCCGGCAAACTTACGACGAAGTGAATGAGGCTTACCGTAAGTTGTTCGACGCCGTTGGGGTTCCCTTCGTGAAGGTAAGTGGAGATACCGGAGTCATGGGGGGATCCGCTTCGCATGAGTATCACTTTCCCAGTGAGGTCGGTGAAGACCAGCTAGTGTGCTGCAGCGCCTGTGGGATGGGATGCAATCAGGAAATGTTCGATGCGAGTAAGATCTGCGAACGGTGCAATAATGCAAATATCGTGCGGCAAGCCGGTATCGAGGTGGGTCATGCATTTATACTTGAAGATAAGTATAGCAAAGCGTTGGGGGCAAAGTATTTGCATCAGAATGGAAAGCCTGAAACGCTTCAGATGGGTTGCTACGGCATAGGGATAACTCGACTGATAGCTGCCGGGATTGAGGTTCTTTCCAGTGAGAAAGAAATTCGCTGGCCGCTTGCTCTAGCACCCTATACAGTTTGCTTAATTCCACCCAAGAAGGGAAGTAAAGAGGAAGCCCAAGCCGAACCTTGGGTGCATAAGTTGAATAGTGAAATAAGCAAGCTAAACGGTATCGGTTCGGAATTTGTGGTAGATGATCGAACCGGTCTTACGATAGGGAAGCGGCTCATGGAGGCTAAGAAAGCTGGCTTTCCCATAGTGGTAGTGATAGGACCGAAAGCAGCTTCGGAGGGTAATGAGCAGTTTGAAGTGCATAACCAAATAGAGGAAAGCCAGAAAATGCTTAGTTTCAGTGACACACTCACGGAAATTAAAAGGAGTTGTAATAAGCAATAATAGTCCAGACGATAGTTTTACATCAATGCATTTAGAAATAAACTGATTTCGGTTAGAAAGTAAGTCTTGAATATCAATGCCAGCAGCACGATGACAGCCGATTTCGTCCAGGAACAGTAACTGATGACGGAGTGTATCTGAATAAGCGAGATCACAAAATAGGCCACCACGAGGGAGATGTGTATGGCCATGGCCGAGTCGGTGGCATTCTGCTTCCAGATGATGATCGGAATGAAGAAAAATTTGGCAATGCTGGCTAGGATCATGCCCTGCAGAAGAACCAGTGGGTAGGACTTACCAGTGTCCAGTCCAACGTCCACCCGGTACAGAACTCTCGTGAGCACATATAGAAAGATGTAGAGAAGGATGGTCCCTGATTTGGGGCGAATATGAATGTCATAGTTAGGCAGGAATGGAGTTTTTTGATTTACCTATCAGAATATGCAACGACGACACGTAGAATCCCTTTTCCGCCAGGAACGGATCTACGTGGTCAGATCGATAGCGCACGTTGGTAAACTTGCTGAACGTTTCCGTCCATAGACAGTATGCTTCTAGAAGTATCAATATGATGCCGATCTTCCACAAATTCTTACAGTTCGAGTTGTACAAAATGTGGCGGTAGGCTGCTTTACTCAGCAGTATCAGATCGATTAGGATGATGAGCACTTCAAACTCGATGTACTTGTCCGCCGGGCCATTGCAGTTTGTCTAGAATAGAATTCAAACAATCCGTGACTTATCATTGAATACCCATTGTTGTCAACTCATTTACGCATTCGGTTATTTTCAGCACGGTATTACTGATCCTTCGGTATAATTCCGGAACAGATCTTCCGCAGTTGATGCACACATACTGCTGGTTGCTGCTGGTTTTGTTTTGAAGTAGCCGGAAGTAATCCTGTAGCGGCAGTTTCATATCTGTGTATTAACAGATTTTAATGTTGGTGGTGGGGTGAAGTCGAATCCTTTTCGTTTTTCGTACTGAACTGAACAGCTGTTTTCTGTTTACAAATTGTATAGTAGAGGTGACAGCATGTGCTGTCAAAGGAAGTGAACATCGCCGAAATTTAGCGCGCGCGAACCGAAAATTGATCTGACAAAAGTTGCTTGGAAGCTACAAATTATAATTTTCTGTTAAAAAATGTGAATCAATCCACATAAAAAAAATGAAACTCATTTGCGAAACCTGCATCGTCAATCGAACCATCCCGTCCGGGAAGAAGGCATTCCAGAAAACCATTCTGGCGATTGGCAAGAACAGTGAAAAAAAATCGGACGAGACAGTCATTATGCTCATCACGAATGCCAACAAAGGAGGAACCAAGTATGGACTGAAGAAAAACATCAGTAAAATCTTCACCCGTTTCCTTGCGGACGGCAAAGCTACCATTTCGTTCAACATCCCAGAACAGGACCTGCAGATCAAAAGTGAAGTGATTCAGTTGACTAGTTTTCTGAAAGTGTTGAAATCGGTTCTTACAGGCGAAACCACCCCTGCTGGAGCTGGTTCCAGTAGCGTTGCGGCTGTCAAATTACCCTGTCTAACAGTGGCCAACAAAAACAGTTCATTATTGTCGTCCACCAAAGTGTTCTCTACTAAATGTGTGGTCAAAAGCAGAGCAGACTACCCGTTGAAAGGATTCAACCGGAATCTAGTTTCGCTCCAAATATCCGACATCAAACTGGTTAGATTCGATCCGCAGATCTTTCTGTTAAAGAACCTTCGAACTTTAAACCTGTCGAACAATTGTCTGGAAAAGATTCCCAAGGAACTCGGGCAGATGCGGTTGAACGAAATAGATCTATCTGGCAATGCCTTGCACAAGGACAAATGGGAATGGATTCAGCAGTCAGCCGTGCAATCAAGTCTACAAAGTCTTAACATTTCCACCAACAATCTCAGCTATTTCCCGATCGCCCTGATCTATTCGAGAGTTCTCATCCGACTAGATTTACGGCAAAACCATATCCATAAACTCCCGTTCGCCGTATGGAAAATGTCCCGACTTCGTTTTCTGAATCTGGCGAACAACCAACTCGGTTCCGTGCCAGAATCCATGATCCGTATGAGGCTTGACGAGCTGGACCTATCCGACAACCAGCTCGATCAGAAAGCGTCTACAGTTCCGGATTTACGCGTACCATCCCAGGTGGGTCATATGCCTGCACTGTGGGAGTTGGCCGCTCGGGTCGTTGTTACTCGCAAGGTTCACTACTCACCGGGGTTGATTCCGTTTCTGCTGGTGGAGCTGATGCACCGCACCCCGACTTGCAGCTGTGGATTGCTTTGCTTCACGTCGAAGATTCACGAACGAGCAAAAGTGATACGACTGAACTGTCAACACCTGATCCTTAACAGTAATCAGCAGCTGTACGCTGACAGTGTTTTCTGTAGTCAACGTTGCAGCACCAAACAGTAGTTAGGACTTTTAAGCTATTTATTAATAAAGACACTATTAAATTATTCTTATATATTTATTATAAACATAAAACCTTAACTATCAGTTCACCAGCGTCTTGAACGCTTCCATCGTTTTCATCATCGCGGCATGTGCGGTTTCAAAATTGGACAACTTCTTCGTCAACTCTGCCAGACGATCATCCTTTTCCTTGAGCTGTTTTGCGAAATCCAAACGACTGTAGCCTGCGTACTCCGGATAACATTCGTCTACCATCCGACGATGCAGCTGATCCTCATGGGAAACGATCTCAATATCATCCGTTTGGACCAAGGAGTTTCGGTATTCTATCGCAGGTTGCAAAGCGATTGGTATCTCTTCGATCGTGTCGGGCTGTTCGTTTAATTCTGCGTCGATTTCCCAGCTTTCCAGTTTGAATCTTTTTGCTTTAGATGATTCAATTGGGGAGCTTTCCCGCAATCGATTTTCAACGTCCGGATCGGCTTCTGTGGTTTCGGTTGGAGGGACCTCTTCTTCAATAAAGTAAATCATGTCCTCCTCACTCTCAACTTCCACCACAGCTTCCGGCGGCTCAACACGTTCAATAATTAAAGAACTGCTGATTAATATACCTTCTTGGTCGTCACTTTTGGGGCTTTCGATCTTTGGCATAAATTCTTCTACCGGTTTCTTGGTAGAATTTGAACATGTTCTTACGTTGCTACTGCCACCAGCGTTGCCGGTACTACTACAAACAATACCGACTGCGGAAGTGGGTGCGTCGTAGAAGGCAGCTTTGTTGTTAATCGACAACGTAGGAATAGCTACTGTGTTAAGCATACGGGAGGTTGAATTCCGATAGTCAGAAGTCTTGAAATGTAACGTGCACACGACGAATCGTTGCATTAGTAGGGTCGCTTCAGCATCGTCCAACTGAAGGGAACGCTGCCACTGCTCAAAGGCGTCCTTCCGCTTCGGAAAACGATGGCACAGGGTAGACATATCGGTATTGTTGCAACCCCGAACGGCGCAGTGGCGAACCATTTTGCGGATGTTTGAAGATGTACTTAATCTGTTTCTGCTTTCCTAAATAATAGATCCAACACTAGATGAGCACTGCCAAAATTTATAATAAAATAAAACACCTACAAGACGCCTGGTGTGAAGCACTGTCAATACTGATGTAAACAATTCGAAATGCATTTTGTTGATGCATTTTTGCTGCATTAACTGGTGCTGGACAGAAAGTTCGAATTGACAATCCTATAAATTATATCCATGACGCGTGACAGTGGCTATAGCCGTTACGGTTCTCTTGTTCATGCACGGACGATGAGATCGCCTCAATTTAAAAAAAAAAGTTGATTTACTCACAAAGTGAGTAATATTTTCCGACCTTTTAGGCATAACATTTGATAACGGCACAAAACCATAATCGGATAGAGGCAACTATCACCTTTCCGAAAGTGGTATTGGCTTACGTGGGCATGCTTTGGTTCACGTGTAAAGGGCCTTAGAAAGTTTGTATACAAATCCTTTTGTGCCGTTATCAAATGTTATGCCTGCTTTTTCCAGGAAAAGCTTCTTGAATATGAGGTTTTACTCAGTCTATTACTGTATATTTGAAATTGGAAGATTTGTACTACTCAAGTACCTATTTCATTAGACTGGAGCCTCTAGGATTTATATCTGAGCTACCCCCAGATCATAGTTCATTTTTGGTAAACAAACTAACACTTCTTCCTTCTGTGGCACCATGGTATTAGACAATAGAGCTAATAAACTAATAATTAACTCTATTTATTAGACACGCCTAGCCCCCAGAGGATGTGGTGGTGCATCACTGCTTTCACTTACTTGCTATCAAAAAATTGTTTTTCGGAAATCTGAAATCATTAGATATTATAATGATAATTAGTACTTGTAAGATACAAGAAGAGGTTTTAAAGTATGTGTTCGTCTAATAAAACCTCCAGAATTGGTTGGAAATGCTATTCTAATATCAACATGAAGCTTTAGTGTGATAATTTATTAACTAGAGAAAGTTCTGAAGAGAATAAGGTGATCCAAGAGACGTTTCTCAGTGGAACTGACAGCTAGAAATCTAGAGTGTGTGAGTGATCTGGTGTTAATGGTGCTGAATGTACAAAGCAGAAATTCATATGAGAATAAACTGTCAGTTCTACTGTGATCTGTCAAAAGTTCTTGGTAAACGAAAAAGTCAGCTGATTGCAACTGTCTCGTGGACAGCCTTAGGTTGATAGTACCGCTAGGGTACGGTAGTGTGAAAATTGAATAGAAGTTGAAAATGAGCGAAGGGCCATTAATGCGACAGTACTAGTCGACTGCACACTCGTTTACCTAACTCATACATTAATGGACGAGGGGACTTGAAGTTTTTCTTAAAATTCACAAATTCATGGATAGTTGGGCCTTATTACGGGTGTCACTTCACGGTGAAAACGAAGTGAAGTGACCAGTTGTCACTCACGGTGAAGTGATTGCCGTGTAAATCAAATGGGAATCACTTCACCGTGAGTGATAAGTTGTCACTTCACCGTGAAGTGACATCGGTAATAAGGGCCGTTATCAACCCACCTTAACTGTCTATGTAGTTAATGAATATCCCCAGGGCCAGGTACTCCACAGGCTCCGTAAGGGATTAGGTTTTTATTAGACCCTTTAACCATTCAGTCACCGTGCCAATGGCTACATTACCACGTGAATTAGGGGCCACCTGTGTAATATTATTCTTAGTAGGCTTAACGGCTACTTCTGACACTACACGGCTTCTCTAGGCTGTTTGGTAATAGAATATAATAACATTTTACTAACTTCTTACGCGATCGATCAACCGGAAGTTCCGGAAGAGTGAAGAGCAGGGTATCGTGGGTTTATACATTATTCCTGTTAATTGTTTAGTACATTATTCCTGTTAATTGTTTAGGGGTAAAAGGGACATAATGAACAGGTAGGGCATAATGAACAACCCATACTCCAGCTTAAACTTACAACCGTTCAAAACCAATTAATTTATAGTAGGGTTCATGATGCTTTTAAACCTACTACAGGTATACCTCGATATAACGTAACTGTCACTTTTGACTTCCATTGCCGATTTCTCGCAAAAGTTCATTTAAACATACTGTTGTGTTACCAATAAAAAATGGAAAAAAAAAAGTTTCATACCAACCAAAATTGTGACGTGTTTAACACGATGTAATACATGGGAGGGGGGCTTATCAATTTGTTACCAATTGTGACAATGATGCTTATACATTTAGGTGATTGTGGCGTTAAGATTCGAATGAGTTGCTAAGGTCGCACCAATTGCTGATTATCGCATGAAAATCGCAAATCTTAATCGCGTGAATTAAGAAAAATATTATCTACATTTTATCATAACTATGATCACATAGCTTATCAAGGTGAATCCTGATTCAATGAACACCACCAAGACTTATGCATGAATTTGTTTTATCTAAAAAAAAATAATCAACTCGTGCTCATCTTTCAATTGAATAAAACATCAGTTAGGCATATGCTTTTTAAAATATGATTTCATCTACCGGCATATATTTTATTGACTCTACTGCTTGGTATGCAACATACATGTATGGTACTCGTGATTAGTATTTTAACTTTATCATATTTCTTCGTGTGTATGTGTTTTGTTCCAATACTTTTTTTGCTACTACAATATTGAATGTTTGGCTGGAAAATAGTACATCTTAATATCATCGCTATCATTTTCTGCTTACTCAAACGATTGTTTGCATCTTCTCTTTTACTTTTATAACTGTGTGTAATAAGAAAAGTTTATTAAATTTTGTGTTACTGTTTGTATGTATGTAATTTACGTTTGTTGCATAATTTTTTTCGTTAGGTGAGGGAAATTTAATCACCTCAATACTGCATTTGCTTTGTTTTACAAAATATGCGTGCTCTTGCTTCTTTGATTATCAGAATACAATATGTATATATATTTTTTTTTTTCATTATCGCGACAGGAAATTTCTTAACAATTAAAACTACACAAGCATTTTGGTGGAGCTCGATGAGAACAATTCATCGAGCCGAGCGGATCGATCTTACAGCTTCCACACCCAATGCTCATGCGTCACCGAATGAAATAGGATTTGTTAATTTCTTATTTAATTTTGATGTGCAGGTCGATTTCAGAATCGGGTACCCCACTGTATTGATGTTTGTTTTTCTTCATTTTGGATGAGACGGGGAATGTGTATATCCCTTGGATAGCATGAGACCCAACCTAGTGATCTGCCGGATCGTGCTCAGGAACAAAACCTTCCATATCAGGAAGAGGATTGCCCCATTCACGTGCCATAATCAGGATAGTGTTCTGATGAAGTTTGGGTCCGATAAGTGGATTCATCTGGGCCATGTAGCAGCAGAGCCAGCTGATAAAAAAAAATGTTTCAATATTTTGGCACATAGACATTTGGCATTTTACACGAATCTACTTACAACAACCAGCAGGTGGCCGCGGTCAATATAAGGACGCACTGCACGATTCTGAAATATTAAAAAAAAAAAACACTGAAGGCCACCCTAAGGTACAAAAAAAATTTACAAAGACTTACCCTCGGTTGGGTCCCTTCGGAGCGATGATTGGCAAAACGATGCCAACCACGCCGAAAATCGCCGAGAAAATAATAATTGGTAAAGCGGACGCGCCCATGATTGCTGTAGAAGTGGAAAAAAATTAGTAACTAATCCAGGGAAGACTGAAAAAACTATTAAATTTTACAGCGATTGCAAATGTACCTGGCGACTTTAAAAATCGATTGATCTGAAGTAAGAAAAATATCACATGACAGGTCCGTGAGTGTTTCGTGCATGAGTCACTCATGTGACGTCCTTGGTGAGTGCTCGTGTTATTTTGAGAACTGTCAATGCTCATCATGACACATAATTAGAAACGGGGCAAGAGAAAAACTGCCACCGGGGTATTTGTTTACATTCCATTGCAGCATTCGTTTCGTTCCGGTCCGGTTCAGGAGGAGGAAAGAATCAAGATGCGGGAGGAGTCGCAGAAAAAATATTCAATCGGCAAAGTTATTTGCGCGGAATGTGTTTGAAATGCAGTCGGAAAAAGTGTTTCAAGTGTGCTGATAACGATCAGGAGTTAAATAATACATAAAACTATATAGTTTCTACAACGATGATGCCAATAATGTGAAGTGTTGGTTCTTGTTCAAATGTTGGTCACGTCTGACGAATTTCTCATCACGTTTGGATTAACGGGATTAACGTATGCTGGACATAAAGGTACATACATAATATTGTTGATTGCAGCTGCAACTGGCCTATCGCCCCCATATTCCCTAATAATTTGTATGGTTATTTTGCTTAACGACGCCCTGATAAAAAATACCCTAAACGAACGATAACCCAAATGATTGAACTATTCCACAAATAGTTTGGATGATACTCCGAACACCTCGTTAAGCAAATTAACCATAACATTTTTATTAGGGTGTGTTTGGGGTATCCTCCAAACCATTTGTGGAATATTTCAATCATTTGGGTTATCGTTCGGGCATGTTATTTTTTTTTGTGTTCCCCGTTTTAATATTGCTGTCAGTATGTCGCATCACTATTATGGGAAGCGACCGACATGGACTGATCAAAAGCAATTTCCCAGCCAGGTAATATATTTCAAATTGAATGTACTGTACTTGGCGGCAATCCATATAGCAAAGGGTTTTGTCAGCCCTGTATCCAGAAAAATGCGCCTTTTATTGAAGATTGTTGTACAAGAGCATAGTAGGCGTTTAGAGTCTTCATTTTCTTGAAGTTTTAAACTGAGATCTTTCTTGAATAATTCAAGCATGAGTCATTGAAATGTTTGGATTTATGAACCGTTTCGACTGCCTAGCAATAAAAGTGTTGCTCCAATTGATTTTTTTTTCCTTTGGTTTTTTTTTTCGTCGATCTTGTTTTCCGTGCTGACCACCAATGCTACCGACGCCAGGGAGGCAGCTCCCACACCTGGACCCTACATATCGATCCATCAACTCATGAACCGGGGACCAACGGCTTTCCTTCCTCCTACTTTTACGCCTTCCTTCGGCGTGATCAGAGATGTTATGCCTCAGAACATCCCGGCGGTGTCGACTGGGATTGAACCCAGGCCTACTATGGTGAGAGATAATCACGCTTACCTCTACACCACCGGCGTCGCTAAGCTCCAATTAATCTACACTTTAATTTTTTCGCATTTCTTGATCTTCATATTAAGAGAACAAGCAGAAACTCCACATAATGGTTCTGGTCCTATGATTTGTTGAGATGATCCAAGCCTTGCTAACATGTCGGCTTTTTCATTCCCTTGAATTCCACAGTGGCCAGGAACCCAATATAGGTTCACTTGGTTTCGGCAGGCCAATTTCTAAAGTGACATTGAAGCACATTCCCATACAAGTTAAAAATTGCATGTTGCTGATTTCAAAGCATTTAACCTTTTCATTCTCAGAAGGTTTTCCATTATTTTGAGATGCAAAAATGTGCTTAGAACAAAAGATGTCTGATACAGTCTAAAATTATCGAATTCATAAAAAAAAAATTGATTTAAAATCAATAGTATTTCAATAGTTACTCAATTGTTACACGTTTTTCCTATATCTAACACTCGTTGAAAGGAACTAAGAAGGCTGCTCTCAGAAGATTTACTAAATTCCGCACACTGCCACTGAAATGCTACTATGTCAGACTCAACCACGAGTATAAGCGGTTAAGTCGTCTCTGTTTTCAACGCTATTAAAGAAGGATTCAACGGCGGCTAAAATCACACCCGAAATCCTTCTGGAACTTCGTAAATGAGCAACGTAGGGAAGTTGGCTTACCCTCTTCCATGATTTTTAATGGTGAAACTGCTGGCAATAACCATAGACATTTGCAACCTGTTGTCAGCCAAATTTGCTAGTGTGTTTGAAGACGAGCAACTCTCCGCTAATCTCAATACTTCCGCCGCCAGTAATGTTCTTTCTAGCGGCATCTTCCCTTCTTGCTGGAAGACTGCGGATATGTTTCCTGTTCATAAAAAGGGAAGCAAACTTGACATAAACGACTACCGGGGAATCACGTCGCTGAGTGCTGTATCAAAACTTTTTGAATTGGTTGTCATAGAGTCAATAAATGCGCATTGCAAGCAATATCTAAGTGTATATCAACATGGGCATTCCACAACTACGAACCTGATGTGCCTAACGTCTTACATCACAGACAGTTTGATAGTTCAGACCCAAACGGACGTTATTTACACAGATCTTACGGCAGCCTTCGAACCACGAAATTGCGATCGCTAAGCTTGATAGGCTAGGGATCGGTGGAAATATTTTGAGATGGTTTCGTTCATACCTTACGGAGCGCCAACTGACAGTAACTTTGGGTACTTGTCGCTCAGCAAGCTTCTGCACAAAATCCGGTATACCTCAGGGTAGCCATCTGAGACCATTGGTATTTCTCCTTTCCTTCGACGACGTTCACCATGTTATCACAGGGCCACGATTATCGGTTGCAGACGATCTTAAAGTTTTTCTGCGCATCCGCTCACTCGCCGACTGCCGTTCTCTCCAAAATCAGATTGACATCTTTGCTGACTGGTGTAGTCTAAACCGACTGATGGTCAACCCAGCTATGTGTACAGTCATTACTTTCTCACGCAAGAAACAACCGATTATTTTCAACTACAAACTACTAGGAACGACTATCGAACGGGTGCATTGCATGAAAGACTTAGGCGTTTTTCTAGACTCAAAGCTGACATACTCACACCATCGTATGTCGTCGACCAAGCGTCCAGATTACTAAGAACTTCACAGACATTTACTGCTTGAAATCGTCATTACAATCTACTGTATGGAGCCTGAACTACAATAATGGGGCCTAGCGAATTGAATCTGTGCAACGGCGTTTTCTTCGCTTCGCGCTCCGTAAGCTGCCTTGGAGATAGATAACCACTTCGTCTTCCAAGCTACGAGAATCGCTGCCAATTGATCAATGTCGAGCCCTTACGTATCCGAAGAGATGTTTTCAGAGCCTTCTTAACCGTTGAGTCCACAAATGGCCGCCACGTAGGCTATACATGCACTTCCACTTAGAATTTTCAACTACACGAATATCGGAAATCAGTTCTCCATTTAATTTAAAATTGCTACTTCATGTATGCTGCAGTGTTACAATCGTGAAGTAACAATTTGAATGTTGCACGTGTCGTAGAAGCTGATATTTGTGCACTTAAAGTTTCAAAGTGGTTCCGAAAATAAGGATGTCACAACGATTCACCTTAATGTTCAACCTCGATCACTACGCAACAGTCTTATGCTAAGACTTCCACTTCTTCGAACTAATTATAGCTTAGGGAGCGCTATTTACGGTTTGCAGCGAGTGTTCAACCGAGTAGCGTCGATATTCGATTTCCACTTGACACCAAGCTTGACACGGAATATGCTTCGCCGAAGATTCTCTGCCTTTTTTGTTTACCGAAGGCGCTTGACGCCCAACTGCTAAGTGTAAAATTTTAAACTTATGCATTTTTAGTAACTTGACAATGCTTTCCTTGTTATTTTCATTTGTAACTGTAGTATAAAGGGTGTCCACGATGAAATTGCCACACACAAAATTGATTAGCAAAATTCGAGTTTTCATCCGATTGCCATCAAATTTTCAGGGATTGAGAAATAACTATTAAACTTCATTTTACCATTTTACTCGTATTTTATTTACAGTCCATACGCAAATGCCCGCACCTTGGCCTTAACCCCGGCCATAAGATTCTGCACAACCTGTGAATCAACCGTTTTTTGCATGTAAACCCATACTTTCTTCAGTTCCTCGACTGTCTTCACTACCTTAGGTCGTTTAAGAAGGTGCTGCTTCATAATCGCCCAGTACTTCTCGATGGGGCGGAGCTCCGGAGTGTTGGGAGGGTTGATCATTTTTGGCACGAAATTGACCTACCATACCACTTCAGCACGTCCTTGGAGTAGTGGCATGAGGCCAAATCCGGCCAGAAGATTGTTGGGACGTTGTGGGCCTTCAGGAGAGGAAGCAGCCGCTTCTGGAGGCACTCTTTTATGTACACCACCTGTGTCCGTTCATCGTGTCCTGGGTCACGAAAGGTGCACTCCGCTTCCCGCACGTGCAGATGGCTTGCCAAACCAGGAATTTCTTCGCAAATTTGGACATCTTCTGAGTGCGGACATGCTCCGGAACGCTGAACTTATCCTTGGCCGTGAAAAACAGGTTGCCGGGGATCTGTTTGAAGTCGGCCTTCACATATGTTTCGTCGTCCATGATGTAGCATTCAACTTTCGTCAGCATGTTGAGGTACAACTTCCTGGCACGGGTTTTGGCGGACTTGTTCTGCTTCTCGTCGCGATTAGGGGCCTTTTGTACCTTGAACGTTCGAAGCCCAGCCTTAGTTTTGGCCTTCTGGACAAAACTTCGGCTTAGGTGCAGCTTCTTAGCCACATCCCTAACGGAGGCGTTCGGATTTCGGTTGAAGGCCCCAACTACGCGGTTGTGATTTTTGGTGTTGTACGGAATACTATTTCCTTCACTTCTGGGCTTCCGATCGGTGGTCAACCGTTCCTCGAACCGCTTAATCACTCGCGACACCGTGGAATTCGCGATTCCCAACGTTTTAGCGATGGAGCGATGCGAGAGATCCTTGTTCTCGTGATGAATGCGTAAGATTTTATCACGCACGAGCTGTTCTTTCGACTCCATTTCCGCGAGTTTTGATCACAGGACTTTAAAACTTGCAGGATGTAAATAATGCAATATGAACTAAATTCACCCAAATTTTCATTAAATTCTACCCAACGGTTAAAAAGTTAGAGCAATTTCATAGTGTGGCAATTTCATCGTGGACACCCTTTATGTAGTCTGTATAATCTTTACTTTTTTTTTACAACACATCATTGGGACTATTGCAAACATAACAAATAAACAAATAATGCATTCCCAACAAACAATTCGAGCTGATTATAAGCTGAATACGCTATTTTTTAGCTGAAGCTGCATATTTTTGCCTAAAAAAGTCCTTTTTTCCTCTGTTCGGGACATAAAACACCTGCGACCAGTAATTTGATCTTTTGTTGCATATCCCGTGTCCTTAGTTTAGTGTGAGGTTTAGTGCATGTTGTATTACTCTATCATTATAGAGAAATGGTGAAGTATTTGGTTTTGATACAGTTGTCATTCTTCCCTTCATCGTGAGAAATCGATTCTAATTGAAAGGTCCCGCTATTTATTCAAAGGCGTGCCCCTTTGTCAGTCCAAATTAGATTCTTCAGCAACAAAAATAAGCAATGACACCGATAATGACCATGCATCAGACCCCTAGTCTTAACCGCTTCAAACTAGGGTACAGCAAATAGAAGATTAGGAATCACATAGATGAAGACTAACTAACTATTTTTTCCTTGTTTCAAGTTCATCCTCGATGGACCAAGCCGAGTATTGTCACGTCAACAAAGCATACAAAGTTACAAGGATTAAGATGCGTTCCTTTGACATCCCGTAACATACCACGAAAAGGTGATCTACCCAAGTTATGGGGTGAATAAGTCCTCATTCAGCTTTCATTGTTAGTTGGATTGCTTGTCACACATTTGTAAACCTCCTCCCCCCTTAGAGCATGACGGACTTAATGGATGATCTCTAAGACATTTTTTTACATGAATTATTTTTGAGCATATTAAGAACGATAAAAGTCTCTCACAATAGTTTTCTTTTACATTTGAGCACAGGCAGTCAATTGAGATTATTTAAAAAAAAAAACGTTATAAATCGGTATAAAATCTACAAAATCGGTATCCTGAGGAGCCTTATCTGTATATCGGTATCAAGTTCGAAAATCGGTATCTGGCCTAAGATTTCAAGTTTTCTAGAGTACAAATCTCGGACGCTGTTACGACACCGCTCATGATATTGAATCTCCCTTTTTGCTACACTGCAGCAAACGTTATGTTCCAGTTTCCTTGCTGTATGTTTCATGAGAGCTGATTTTTGTGCCCTTGAAATTGAGGGATGTAAATGAGATTAATGAGAAATAAAGCTTCCCCAGCGATTCACCTTAAATTATTGTGCGCGTAAAAAGCCGGATACTTGGAAATGATTTCTGAATCATTGGCCTTTCGTAAATGGATGAGTGCCAGGTGATTTACAGATACAGTTATACCAACAATCAATACGAAACTAACGATTTTAAATTGGCTCACCACTTTAGTAGCCTATTGGTCCCAAGCAAACGATTAACGTACCCTATTCTAGTTGAAATTCTATTACTACACTATGTTTGTTTTGATTCGCTATGAAAGTTTGACAGATAACATCAGGGGTGTTTGGATTCATGCAGAACATGCAGGGGTGAGTGAAATAGCTTGGGACTGCTTGGGACCGTTGTTCTGGTACTGAGTGAGCCAAAAATAATAATGATTTTCTTCGGGACCCAGTGGTCTTAGAGTTACCTCTATGGTTATACCTTGATATAACGTAAATGTCACTTTTGACTTCCATCGCCGATTTCTCGCAAACGATCATTCAAACAAGCAAAGTAATAACACCATCGGACAGATAAGATAATCTCCCATCTATTGGTAATATTAATGTGTGTGATTCAATTGTTATTAGCGAGATAATGACGATGGAAGTCAAAACTGACAGTTACGTTATATCGAGGTATACCCATAGAGGTAACTTTAAGACCAGAAGGTCCCGAAGAAACATGTTCAACTTTTTGGCTCAGCTCTGGTACTATCTTCGGTCCCAAGCTAATCAATGCACCCTTCGAAACATAGGAAAATCCACGAACCCCTCATTTTATCTGTCAAACTTGCATAGCGAATCAAAACAAACATAGTGTAGTACTAGAATTTTGACTAGAATGGGATACGTTAATCGATTTGCTTGGGACCAAATAGGCTACCCAACAAACATTGAATGTTGAATAAGAGCTTATTCAGGCAAAAACATGCTTTTTCAGCTAAAAAATTGCTTATTCAGCTGTTGATCCACTCAAATTGTTTGTTGGGTAGTCAAGTAGTGAGCCAATTTAAAATCGTTAGTTTCGTATTGATTGTTGGTATACCTGTACAGATTTTATATAGCACCTGTGCACACAATTTTAACATTTTTATGGGACAAAACCCGGGAATTTGAAATGCATACATTTTGAAAAGATTGTAGGACCAAAATACGACCAAAGAAAATAACCGTGCAAAAAGGGGGTATGTGTAAATCATTGTCAAAACAAGTTTTGAAACAAAAATATAGCTAGCTTTTCTGTCATGATGTTAACCATGACTCTGTATACTATAGGGGAGGTGCACCAGTTATGACACTACAAAACATGTTCTCCAGTTTTGGCATGTACCCAGTCATGGCCGAAGTGATTTAAATGAGTAGCGCCAGAAAGTGGTACCATAAGGTATATGGGATTGTGCCATAACTGGTTCACTTACCCTAGTTCAATGACATGCAAATATTACGTAACTTTGTTACATGTGGTGATCTCCAACCACCGGAGAGTTCACTGAACTGGTGTATTTCTGCTACACTTAAGAGTACAGTATTTACATTGATTAAGCTTGTGAGTGCACCATCAAAGGTCGACCCAGTCAACGCAGCATCCATTTGAATGAACAAAGGACCGGATTAATAAAAAAAAGCTGTGGTTTCCACAAGTGGATTATGTATGTCGCGGCTTCTGTTCTCTACCTGCACACGATTTTCTTCTCTTGCGATCCTTGTCGCCTGTTGCATTCTTTCTAACTATGTAGGTACATATATACCCTATTAGGTGGTTAGGATAAAATCTGGCGCAACCTGCGGCTTTCAGCTTCCAGTTTGTGCATTCTATGTGCTCGGTATGTTCGTAAAGTTTAAGTCTGTTTTAGTCTATTCGTGGCATTGGCGAAGCGCGGTTCGGTTTGAATTTCGGAATTCTGTTGTTGTTGTTGGTATGGACTGTAGTAGTTTTACGGATATTGAATTTAATATTTTTGTTTATGTAGTCTGGAAGGAAGCAGTTTGAAGAAATTTTCTTGATTGATGTATAAAAGAAATGGGTAGGACAAATATGTATAGTGTTTGTGACTTCATAAACTGGCCACATTTAAGCGTTGTCACTTTCAAATCTGAAGATTACTTTTTTTACAATTAGAGGAGTATGGAGACAGTGCATGGCTGCATGGACAGAGGATAATTGTGCAACTGATTTTTGTCACGTGCGAATTCACGATGGCTTATGATGATGATTATCTGTTTTTACACATCTTTCACCTCATTTAGCGTCTCAATTTTACGTATACAACTGGTGGTAGGCTCCGGGAGGAATCACACCAGAAGATTACAAGAGGTGTGTGGCGTATAACAATTTGAACACCGTAGCGTTGATCGGAACCTGCTATAAAAACCAATACGCAAGAAGAGTTAATGTGTGTCGTGCTTGATGTGGTGAGGTAGAGGCACGTGCGTGTGAGCTCAATCAGAAATCGAATATATCTAAATGAAACCGGTTGAAACCGGTTTGTGAACGTAAACACAAGATCGTAGGATGCAGGAATTTTAATCAGCATCCTTGTTTTTGGGGTCTGGGGTTTTGAGGATTTGCTTTTATTTCAATTTGCGTCATCCTGCATTCTTAGTTTAGTTTTTGGTCACTATGTTGTTGATAGTGAATATGTTAGGCTTAATTTAAAACAAAAGTATCAATGAGAATTTAATGAATTTCAGAGCGAGCTCGACAGTCTTAAGTTCCTTTGCTAGGTTCATTGTTGCATTTCACCATATTCGATCCAATGACTCATTCAGCTATGTGGCTTCGTCCTAGTGGCCTAACGGCTCAATACCATTCGATAATAGTGTTCTACAATAGGACAGACCTTGCGAAAACTTTTTGTTGCAATTTGACTAGTTATTTCTGGATTTGTTTGGACAAACTCTACAAACAGAACCGGATCGACTCAAGGTCGTTTGTGCAAAAATTGTTAGATTGATGTCGAAATTAAAAGAAGTGTCGAAACATTAAAACACACACACTAATTGTATAGAGTAGCGCCAGCACTAAATCGAAGCGCGCTACATCATTCGCGACATTAGAGACATAGGGAGACCAGTGATGCCAGCTAGAAATGTCGCTATGATTTTCATAAAAAACAATCTAGATTGCTTTGGCAAAACATTTCTATTACATTTTGGTACAGTATTCTAGTTACTGTAAAAACTTGAATTCTTAATCACAAAACAAACCATGAACCGCAATTCAAAGTCTTCACATCTCATTAAATTAATATTTTGCGTTAACTACTGTACCCTTTTCCGAAACAGGTTTAACACTGCGATAGCAATCGAATTTTAGAATGTATAAATAAAGCCAGAACATTTTGTCAGGCTTATTAGCATTCCTTCAGTTGAAGTAAGCGATCGCGCGTCTGTTAGCGCGTGCAAGCCTTTGATTCAAGTAATCTTGTAAACGGTGTGTAGTAAAACAGGTTCTTCTGAACTACCGGCCGGTATTACCACGAGACTTTCACGCGATAAAGAGAGATACGGTTGTTGCTCTACAAGTAGCAGGGATTACACCAGACATAAGTGTGAGATATGGGTCTCACGCAGATCGAGAAGTTCATTCCTGGCGCCAGGTGGCTACGAGGATACAGCGCGCAATTTGCAGTAGCTGATCTTATCGCTGGTATCACTGTCGGCTTAACAGTGCTGCCACAAGGATTGGCTTACGCTACGCTAGCCGGTCTGGAGCCACAGGTTTGTAGAGTGATTGAATTATATACAGCGGCAATATAGCGGAATGATAATCTTTCTACTTTGTAGTATGGATTATACTCGGCTTTCGTAGGTGGTTTGGTGTACGCTCTGATGGGTGGCTGCCGTGAAGTGACGATTGGACCAACGGCCTTACTTGCATTGATGACAAGTCGTCATACGGGACATGGTGGAGTATCCGGCCCTCATTTTGCCATTCTTCTATGCTTTCTCTCCGGGATTGTGGAACTTCTAATGGCAGTTTTGCGACTGGGTGCACTAGTGGATCTGATTTCATTGCCTGTAACGGTTGGCTTCACATCGGCCACTGCTCTAATTATTGGAGCGTCACAACTGAAGGCTTTGCTAGGCATTCGTGGAGGATCTGGATCAGGATTTGCGGAAACTATCAAAACTGTCGTGATGAGGTTTGGAGAGGCTCGAATTCCAGATAGCGTCCTAGGCTTTGTCTCCATAGCAATTCTACTTGCACTGCGGGTGAGTCGTACCAGTAAAACTTACGTTTTTCTCCTCTACAATATTTCGGCATACATTGAAGCAAACAATGCTTATACTAGCTTCAACATTAATGATATTCAAAGATTTTAAATCAACCAATTTGAAAAGTGTGAATGCGTTTTAACATAAACTAATTTTCCAGAAACTCAAGGACATGAAGACGCCTCAGGATGCCAGCAAAGGACGGAAAGCTCTCGGTATTGCATTCTGGGTCATTGCAACGGCAAGAAACGCCTTACTCGTACTAGTAACCAGCTCTATCGCATTCTACTTCGATCGAAACGGTCAACGGCCGTTCATGCTAACCGGGACGGTTAAAAGCGGAATCCCTGGTTTCCATCTGCCTCCATTTTCAACGCAGATCCCCGGCCCAAACAACACATTTGTTGATCTGAACTTTACAGATATGGTCTCTGAACTCGGCGTCAACATAGCACTGGTACCGATCATTGCCGTGCTGGGAAATGTTGCCATTTCGAAGGCATTCGGTGGAACTGGCATCAATCCAACGAAGGAACTGGTGGCTCTTTCACTGAGTAATGTCTTCGGATCATTCTTCAGCTCGATTCCTGTGACCGGGTCATTTTCCAGAAGTGCAGTCAATCATGCTAGTGGAGTGAAAACGCCGATAGGAGGCATATACACCGGTACTCTAGTCCTCCTAGCCTTGGGCCTACTCACTCCGTACTTCCAGTACATACCGAAAGCTGCGCTTAGCGCTGTCATAATTTCAGCGGTTATATTCATGATCGAATACGAAGTTATTCGACCTCTGTGGCGGTGCAATAAAAGAGAACTCATTCCTGGAGCTGTGACTTTCCTTCTGAGTTTGGTCGTCGGAGTAGAACTGGGACTGCTGGCTGGTGTTCTAGCTGATCTGGCATTCGTCGTTTACCGCACTGCACGACCTGTCCTGAGCGTTGACGTCATTTCCTCATCAACTGATGTTCAGTACATCATAATTCGACCGCGCCACAGTCTTCTCTATTTCCCAGCAGTAGAATGGGTACGAAACGTCATCTCCAAAGCAATCAAAAAACATGGAAATATCCCGATAGTATTAGATTGCCGGATAGTGCATGGTACATGATTACTCAAACCATACCGTCAACATAAAATACTCACAAAGCTTCCAATTTTCAGAATTTGACTACACGGCAGCGACCGGGTTGGGAGCTCTACGGAAGGAGCTCGATGCCAAAAAAGTTCCTTTAGTAGTACTAGGAGCGTCTCAAGAGGTTCAAAAAATGCTGAAAGAAACGTTAAAAAGCACACTTCTGGAGGCAAACAATGAAGATGAATTGGAGATTGTCCTTCAAGAACTGTGTGATGAAGGTAAAAGGGCGGAACTTCGGGAAGTAGTATCCCCGTTACTGTCGCCAACTGCTGAGCACCAAAAGTCCTTAGATGCCTTAGATGAGGAATGATGAATATTTCATCAAGTGAACGTAAACTCTAACCACCGAAAAACCGACGTGAAAGTTAAAGCTCACTTTAACTTGAGAATCTCTAACTTTCAATTCGAATGAACAGCGATCCAATTTTTCAAAAACTATAGAATTTGTTAGTCTAGATCCAAAATTTGAATCAGACACGAACAGATATAACAACAGATGGCGGTAGTGTTTAATCGTCAAACCCAAGTAAGTTGACTTTTAGCGGCGCTGGCGGTAACACCAACCGGCCAGCAGAACTCGTGCTTTTTTTCAGTTACCGTGGGGACGTCATTTGTGATTAGCCCGGTCTCTTTCAGATTGTCTAATTATTTATGAACGGCTACTTATATTTGATATTGACGGTGGACGTCAGCATAACGTTTCCCATTCATCTAATGGTGTCCATAGTAGTAAAATTACGTTTATTTCTGTTGATTATAATTGTACATTGATTTAACACTTCAATTGATTAGCCTACCTGGCTCTACATCTTTCTTTTATTGGATATTCTAATTCAATATTTGCGTTTTTACGTCTAGCTTACATTGATTCGTTTTAATTGAAAATGTGATAACCTACCTAACGTGCTAGATCACGTATGATCTGATGATCTAATCTCAGACAGGTTTCTCTGAACCTTCCCAGAGACTGAAGACCATCCAGGTGGTGGACCTCAGAATTTCGCGTCCGTGGAGGACTGTTAAGGGTCATCCTAAAGATCTTGTTCTGGATCCTTTGGAGTTTAAGGTGATGGCATTTGGCGCAAATTTTTCGGAGATGAACAAGCCCGTAGCTAAAAATCTCCTCAATACAGTTTGAAAACAAAAAATAGCGCAAATCTCCCAGATTGGCATACCGTCGATCATGGGAAGGATTACATATTTGCTTGTAGACAGCATGCTTGTTTTAAAGGGACAAAGTGGATCTTCTGTTGATGAGTGGATACAGGAATCTCATCAGGAGGTTGCATCTGGTTTTCGTTTTGTCAACGTGTCCGATTTTTATTCGTTTAACGAACCGAAAAATGATAGTATAGCGAACAAAAATTAATCGAGTAATTACAAAATGGGACATCTCTGATTTTTTATGTGATTATTTTGATTAAAAAAGTGCAAAATTTCAACTCACAAGCACCAAAACATCTTGCATACGGGGTATTCATTAGATGAAAGGGACCGTGAAAGATGACACTAAAATAGAAAGTTTTTTTTTTCACTTTCGACTGTTTTATCTTAGCATTATTTGGTAATGCTACCAGATAAGAAAAAAACCGTTGAACATGTGTTCGGTTAACAATGGGCGAGTGTTATGTCTGTTTGTCTGTAATAAATATATCAGTAGTGTGCTATAATATCAAACATTTTGTTGTAAACCTTGTCGGTTTGTCGGTGCAGTTTTAACATTAAAATATGCTTACCTAAAATAAGTAATGTAATGTGTACCTCCTTAAGAGCAACCTACCTCTGTGTAGAATTGATCGGTGTTCTCTCTGTAAAGTATCTGTACTGGGATTGTTTAATGTTCCTGTGTTATGTTTATATTTCTGTACGTTTTTTAAATGTTAGATTAAGCAACTTATTGAATAGGAAGTGTAATGACTATTTATACTTCTGGAGCAAATCATTTCTATCCGAAAAATCCGATGATAGATCTCCATTCACCAGGAAGTAGATTTTCCTCAGTCGCTGTTCAAATTTCACCCATTGTTCGACAAACTTTGCATTACTTCGGCATGATCTCATAAAATCGTTTTGGATACACTTCAACCCTCAACGGCGACGGAATATTCAAAAAGCTGCTTTTGTCGCCAAATAGCTGAATGGTGAAGTTGACAGTCCCCCGTATTTTGCGTGTCACGTGACTCTCTGTCTCCGTGCAAATCAATAAAAAAAATCACCTCACACGGTAAGAGAGAGTCACGTGATTCGCAGAACAGGGAGGAGTATGAAAACTCGGCTCTGGACTTTTGAGCTAAACCAAGGATATTAATAAGCGGATCTACAACCTCGTTACCATCTACAGTACGGTTTCTATGAGCCGATAATATTCGCATTTTAACGACTGTGGAAGCATTGCACAAGTTTGGAGAATCATCTTCCCGCTTTGTAACCCGATTGAAAATTTCTTGCTTCTCTATATTAATTGTTTATTTTTAAGTTTTAGTTCGTGGACACGATTTTTCAGATGAATGTGTGCAATAAAATACATTGAAAATTCGAGAATTGCCAATAGGCATTTCAAGATTTTTCTCCCATACCTCGCCGTGCAACTTTTTTCGAAACCTTTCGTAGTTCTAACACAGAAAAACAGACGTCAACCGTTGTACACACATTTAAGGATCAATTTTAATATCATTAGCTTCGCAAATCTCCCACCTCAGCGCTAGCATCGGCTAACGTTTCTATACATTCTGCATACATACTTGTATGCAACACTTTTTGAGACATTGCCCAAGTATCATTTTAAGTTTTATGAAATACTACAAAGCAACTATAAAACAACATTCATAAAACTCTGGTCAAGGCTATTTTGTCATTAATGCATCCACCAAAACCTCATTAAGACTAGAATATGTCTAGTTTGGCCACCCTGGAGAAGGTTCTGAAGGGTATATTTTCGAAGCTCTTCAAGATTGATTTACTGCAAAAGGTTGTATGACGAACGCATTGAGAACCATTTGAAAACTACAACAAAAGCTATTTAGCAACAATAAAACTCCTTTGCGAGCCATTTCCCCAAGCTACTTGCTAAATCCTCTAGGAAAGCATCAATCAAGATAGAAAAGGATTTATGAATCCGAATAAATCCTTTTCTATCAAATAATTAGAATAGAAACTGATGGAAAAAATCTTGTTGAATATCCAAATTTATTACAATAGTTCACATTAAGTGGTCTAGTTTTAAGTGTCTTATTAAATTTTATGTGAAATGTAAAAATAACAAAAAATAAGTCCGCTCTCGTAAAACGTCGATTTGACTAACTATTAAACATTGAAAAAAAAAAAAAATATTCTTCAGATCGAGCTTGGCCGAGATTTTTATTTATAATTTTCGCATTTAAATGTTTGCTCATTGCTAAATTTACCAAAATATAGTTATATCTAAGGAAATATAGATTGAAAATCGAAGATTGTAAAAAACAAGCCAACTAATTGTAACATGGCGGTGACATAAAATTTGATTTTCATGGGTCATATGTGAAAAAGTTGTTTTGCTTTCAAGAAATCCTTAACAAATTCATTTGGTTTTAAAATGGCTTTTATGAAGAAAACTTGCAGGCTGAATTGTATTTATCTAAAGCCATTTTGCTTGATCCTAACCCGTTCAGATTTATGACAACATTTATGGAGGCAAAGTTGCCTGCAAAAAGTTAAACGTCAAAGTTTGTTTATTTTTCGATATTTAGTTGCGCTGTGGGATCCAGGGTTCTTCCAGGCGGTTTTCTTCCGATGGATTGGGCGCAGTTACTCAGATAGTTTGCAATACTGTTTTGCAACATTTCGCATTTCGAACAGCTGGAAGCGCAATCGTTCCCGTTCGGCTGGTATGTTTTTCAACTTTCGACAATGTTTTATGAATTCGAGGGCCCCGCTCACTTTACTCTTCTCCGCCAGATGGTCAGTCGTTGATGGTGTGCTGGTTCTTCTAAAGAAGTAAAATTTTGCTCAAATCGACTTGAATTTTTTATCCTACTTCGTCTATCCTTCGAGATTTCCTTGTCATAAATTTGGCTTTTATTAACTATGAGGAACCATTTTTTAAGCTCAATTTGTAAACAGAGTAATTGGGGAGTTTATGATGCACTTTAAAAAGCATAAAAAGCAACAATAAATGCTTTATGCTCTAATGCAAAACCTTATGGTTTTATGGTTGCTTTTATAATGATGGAACATGTTTATAAAGTATTTTATCAAGACATTAATAAACAATTGCTAATGACGTTTATGCTTGAATTACAGAGCAGTTTTAAGGAGGGATTGAGAACTGTTTTAATTTTTTTTTTTAACAAGACAGTTTTTGACTTTCTTGTCAGACTATAAAAGGTTTTTAAAACAGCAAAAAGCTGAATTACTAAGCAGGAATGTTTTACACTTTGAAATGCTGTATTTATACTAAATGGATTGTTCATTGCCGTTATAAAACCATCATAAATCAGAGTGGATGCCAAATAGTTACTGAATTGTTACTTGGGTGGTAAGCAAGCTTTTTCCGCTAGCGAGATATTGTTAGAGAATTCCGTGGCGATATTTTAAAATAACATGTTTTTAAAGGGTTACGCTTATTTGTTTCTGATTCTAATGCACACCAAGAGGTTACTGTTGATTACCAATTTTCCAAAAAAGGGACTCAAGAACTCGATAGTCATATTACATAATAATATTTGTTTTTCTAAATTATAACTGAAAGTACCTAAGATAGGTAAATTATAACTTTTGGTAATCAGATTTTTTATCCATCTCACTTCTGTTTTAACTGGTAGAAACTTCCAACATTTTGCAATACTCCTTATTTTTTTTTGAGTAAATGTACAATGAGAATTTGACAGCAATATTAATGTAAACAAACAGTCATTTTTTATACAAACCAAATTAAACTGTAACTTTGTTTGTACTAAAGGTATTTTTGATAAAATTGGGGATAAATGAAAGATCTATGTGCGTGTTTTTTTTAAATAAATGAGCAAAATTTCAGCTCATTTACCTCCTTGTTCTTATAAACATAGCAGTTTGAAAAAAAGTTCTCAAATAAGAAAAGATTTACTAAACTTTCTCATGCTGCCGACAGAACCAATCGATCAAGCTCAAAATAGTATAGAACCTTGCATATTTGTTAAATCAGTAGTCGAAATTTCAGGAATTTGATTCACCTCGGAAACCTTGAAAATCCGAAATTTTAAATAATTTTTCAAACAGTTAACTTTATATTTTATTAAAGTGAGAGCAAGAGTGAGAGTTGATTGCATGCTTGGTTCGCTCGGCCTTATAGAGGGTTAAAGGATCAGCAGAGACTCAAAAAGATGTTATCCAAAGATAAGTATTCCCAAACATATGGTGTATTTAAAAAACAACAACATATATGTTCGGCACGAATGGCAGAGGAGTTTAAACAAGCTGTCCCGAGCTTGTTCGATCACGCGAAGGTTCACCTACCACGCCGAACAGTTTGGGATGATGCGCCGATGCCCTGCCGGGACTGCTGGAGCGAGTGCCGTTTTTTCTCGATTCTATAAAAAAAAATTGTTCGAGACGCTACGACAGTTACTCTACTAAATCAAGAGACTTTTACAATAGCGTGGTTCAGAATTCGATAGACCGAAAAGGAGTGCCTTTAGCATCAGGTTTGGACTTTGATTTTAGACTGAGGACTGAACTACTCTCTAAATTAGAAATTCTGGTCCCAACCGTTATCTAAGTTTAAACCTGATGAAGGTGCTGGCCGGAAGGAATTTGGATCTTGAAGATCGACAGGCGTCTGAAGGCTGACGAAAACATTCGATTTAGAAAATTTTCCTTATAATATGGTTTGAGCCTAGAAAGATTTGTCTCCTGCTAAGATCGTCCTAACGTAATGTTGACAAGAACGAAAGAGACAGAAAGTACTTCTAATCTAAACAATGAATAGTATGTGTGGTTACACATGGCTTTTATGTGTACACATATTAAGTATGTGTCTGACACATAGATATCATTTGTTGATCACATTGCAAAAATTCATGTGTGGGACACATAAAAACAATATTTGAAATTTTATCAAATTAACGTGATTGCATAAATGTTATGTGAAATTCACATAAAAATGATGAATATTATTTGCGTTTCCAATGGAAGCTACAAGAAAACTATTTTCGGTGCATCGTTCTCCTTCAAGCCCATGTGAAGCATTTTCAGACCAACGCAATCCTTCCAGAATAATCTCGTATGTCTGCATACGTCCAGGATGCATTTGACTTCTACGCGCCTATACCTTAGTTAAACTGGTGCAAGCGTATAGTTTTCCCTATGCTGAGTTTTATTGTTTGGACCTCCCCTACCCGTGTCTATTCGAAATCGTTGACGATGCCAGAAGCACATACAGCGCTAGAGGTAACAACAGCTGCAATATCCAAACCTATCGACTAGATGCTTGCGTCAGATGACGACTTGAGTGTGAATCAATCGATAGAACTGTTTCCACACATCGCTAGTGGTGGCAGAAGGGGATACTCCTCACTATCCCTCCTCAGCGGGGGAGTCTGAGAAAGGGGATGATCCAATTCGTACCTTACCCAAAATTGTCCTTTGCTAGCTTTCTACTTTCTATATGGGTCATTCCAGCTCAAGTGGGTACAGAATTTAAAAAAAGTTTTGGTCGATGTCACTGATTTGAGCTAAACTTGGCCAAAACGCTTATTTTGGCATTCTGAACAAACATCTCTTTTTATTTTGCTCGAAAGTACCTAGATCCTTCTGGGCTACAACCCTGGATTTTCGAGATTTTTAAAAATTTCATCTTTCAGAAGAGATTACTCCACGACCAAATAAGCTATTCATGATCTTAGAACGAACGGCGCCGGTGGTGTAGTGGTAAGCGTGATTACCTCTTACCCCAGTAGGCCTGGGTTCAATCCCAGTCGGCGCCGCCGGGATGTTCTTAGGCATAACATCTCTGATCACGCCTTCCTTCGGATGGGAAGTAAAGCCGTTGGTCCCCGGTTCATGAGTTGATGGGTCGATAGGTAGGGTCCAGGTGTGGGAGATGCCTTCCTGGCACGTCGGTAGCATTGGTGCTCAGCACGGAAAACAAGATCGACGGAAAAAAACAAACCAAAGGAAAAAAAAATGATCTTAGAACGCCAATTTGAAGGTTTTGACGTAGGACTACGTCTGTGATTTCTATATGGGGGTACACGTTGTGAAAACCGAAAATGGAACATGTAACAAAATTATGAAAGATTTTGAACGTTATTAACTCAGCTGCCCCTGGACCAATTTCAATAATTTTATCACCAATCGATCAGAAATATTTTGACGCATCTGTTAAATTTAAGACTATCATTTTTCAAAATGTCACTATTGAAAATTGCATGAATGAATATTATCGCCGATTGCCTTCGAAAAGCGATTTCCCTAACATAGATTTCAAAGTTGAATTCCATCCGGTCTGACCAAACGGTGTTTATTTAATCACTGCGTGGTGAGTGGTGGTGTTCTCCAGTACACAACGAAAGGCTGCCTGCAATCAGCGAGCTGCAGCCGACATGAGCATCCATAGAAGGAGGAAGAAGCCACACAGCTATTGATCGCAATCAGTAGCTCTTCGTGAGTCATTGTGGGGCATCTATGTCAAGCGCGTCATACTAAAGAGTATAAACAGAGAGAACCCCGCTCAAATTCCGATTCCTACACAAAACACAAACTCCTGCTGCAGTTACAAATAAGATTTATTATATAAGTCCACGTAGTCCTACGTCACCATTGCGTACAACCATAGAGGTAACTCTAAGACCACTGGGTCCCGGAGAAAATCATTATTATTTTTGGCTCACTCAGTACCAGAACAACGGTCCCAAGCAGTCCCAAGCTATTTCACTCACCCCTGCATGTTCTGCATGAATCCACACACCCCTGATGTTATCTGTCAAACTTTCATAGCGAATCAAAACAAACATAGTGTAGTAATAGAATTTCAACTAGAATAGGGTACGTTAATCGTTTGCTTGGTACCAATAGGCTACTAAAGTGGTGAGCCAATTTAAAATCGTTAGTTTCGTATTGATTGTTGGTACAACCCCGTAGGGCTGTCCCTTGTAGTTTTTGTAATGTTAATTCTCATAGGTGTACCCACATTTTGTTTTTGTTATAGTAACTACAGTAAACAGACTGATTACCGGCAGGTAACCAGATTGTCAAAAAATTGTCACCATGGGTGGGATTTCGTATTTCTTAATATTTTGGGCTCAAATTTTCACCACACTTTGAAAACTCTTCTACTTGATGGGTTTCTAAAAGGGGACATGATTTGGACAAATAGTTTTTGAGTTATGATCAGATGAGTGAGAGGTAGTTTTGAACTTTTCTGTTGAAAAATCAATGCTATTTAATTATTATTTTTTTCTTGAATTCATTCACGGCGATGGCACAATAATATTTTTATGTTATTTTTCTCATGTTCTGGGCAGGATTCTCATTATATGAAATCTTAACTACCTCATTTATTTACTTCTACCATAATTTAATTGTGGTTCTAAAAGTGAAAAATGCGTTCCTATGGGATACAGCCAAAACATTGTGCTTTAGAAGTACGATGAAATCAAAAAGATTAGCAGGTATATAAAATTTCAGTTGATGATGACAGCCGGCTGGCAAATGTCATTTTCAATGAAAGATCTCACACGATATTTACAGAGATACTTCTGTCACTATCATCGGATGAGAAAATGATGATAGAGATTTTCTTCAAAATCTCATCGAATTTTTTATCATGACAGAACGTGACAGTGTTGTGTTCATTGTAATTACTAGCTCATTTATTGCTTTTAATGTTACTAGTTCCGAGGAATATATTGCGTATCCAGCTTTCCATGCTCGGTAATGGCGGCCTGTTTGTATGAATAAATGTATCCTTCACTGTGCTTTTTGACACTAACTGGAGGGCGTATGTTGTTCCTGGGAGAGGGAAAGGGAAGGGGTTGAAATTCGAACATCCAGATAGTGTCAAAAAGCACAGTGAAGGATACATTTATTCATACAAACAGGCCGCCATTACCGAGCATGGAAAGCTGGATATTACATTAGATGTACAATACGTCCAATACGTCCCATATAGTATGAATTTTCAACAATAGAAAAACAATAAAATAAATGGTAAACGGCTCAAGTTTGTTCAGAAAAAAATGATTTTTTGTACGGTTAAGATACATAACAACCCCCTTGTTTTATTGTAGATTTCCCCATTTACCATAGATTATATTGTGCAAACAATAAATTCTAGGGTTATTTTATAGTTGTGGACGATACAATTTATTTTAAGTACAATAAATTCTATTGAGGGGGTGACCCCAGCGTAGTGTTTAACATCCATACCTCTTACGTCAAAGTCACGAGTTCAATTCTCACCCCGGACAAGTCACGAATGACCCAAGAGTTTTTTTTTTCTTTATTAGAGTGACTTTCAGCCACTGGCTGGTTAGTTACTTAAAAAGGGATAGAGTGCTTCAGAGAGCGCCCCCCCCCCCCCCTGATTGTAAAGGGTACTCTAAGACCAGAAGGTTCCAAATAAACGTGCTCAACTTTTTGGCTCAGCTCTGGTACTATCTTCGGTCCCAAGCTAATCGATTCACCCCTCGAAACATAGGAAAATCCACTAACCCCTCATTTTATCTGTCAAACTTTCACAGTTGAATCAAAACAAACATAGTGTAGTACTAGAATTTTGACTAGAATGGGGTTCGTTAATCGATTTGCTTGGGACCAATAGGCTAGTCAAGTAGTGAGCCAATTTAAAATCGTTAGTTTCGAATTGATTGTTGGTACAATTGTGTTGGACAGAGTTATAACATAGAGGTAACTCTAAGACCACTGGGTCCCGAAGAAAATCATTATTATTTTTGGCTCACTCAGCACCAGAACAACGGTCCCAAGCAGTCCCAAGCTATTTCACTCACCCCTGCATGTTCTGCATGAATCCACACACCCCTGATGTTATCTGTCAAACTTTCATAGCGAATCAAAACAAACATAGTGTAGTAATAGAATTTCAACTAGAATAGGGTACGTTAATCGTTTGGTTGGGACCAATAGGCTACTAAAGTGGTGAGCCAATTTAAAATCGTTAGTTTCGTATTGATTGTTGGTTATAATAACGGAGTTTGTTTTGTTGGCAGATATTCAGATAACTTGCGGTGTGTCTAGTAGTTGGTCCTTGTTATAATCCATTGTCGTCGCGTGGTCTTGTGTCCGATTATTGTGGTAATTTTGCTTTTATGTGTAGTAGTTTTCCCATAGAGGTAACTCTAAGACCACTGGGTCCCGAAGAAAATCATTATTAATTTTGGCTCACTCAGTACCAGAACAACGTTCCCAAGCAGTCCCAAGCTATTTCACTCACCCCTGCATGTTCTGCATGAATCCACACAACCCTGATGTTATCTGTCAAACTTTCATAGCGAATCAAAACAAACATAGTGTAGTAATAGAATTTCAACTAGAATAGGGTACGTTAATCGTTTGCTTGGGACCAATAGGCTACTAAAGTGGTGAGCCAATTTAAAATCGTTAGTTTCGTATTGATTGTTGGTTTTCCGTTGTTGTCGCTGTGCGTAATTTTGTGCCATCATCCGTCCATTTTCGTGTCCTTATTCGTGCATCATCTTAATATAGTCGCTCGTCCGTTTTGAGTCAGTGGTTTTTGCCAATAGTAGTTCAATCCTTTGTCCGTTGTCGTTGCTTGTGACCCAAGAGTGTTAGAGTGACTAAAATCTATTGTAAGGTTACAATACATTTCATTGTACCTAATATCGTTCTTTTTTTACTGGCGTTCTCTCTGAGCTAGCCTCATCGGCCGGGTTGATCTAAAGTGGAAAATGTATGTGGACCCCTTGGACTGGAGAAACGTTTTTTTTTTTAATTTTGACACTTGGTGAGTGCTTCCAGTTTCCAGCTCCGCAGTGAACTTTCAACACAAACACCAACGCACAAATAAAAATTGAGTCGCAGTCGTTGCCTGTGTTGGTGTTCTACACAGCGCTGCCATTTATACAGATTTATCTGTATTATACAGATTTTTTAATCTTAATACAGACCCGATACAGAATACAGATTTATCACAGATTTTTAAATTACCATACAGATTTATACAGATTTTTATAAAATGCTTGAGAAAAAAAAATTCAAAATTTATAAAAACAAAATAATTTTTTTTGATTGTATGGGGATTTACAGTATAAATTGAATATTTCCAATATAAGCATGTATGTTAAATACAAGAAAAGTGCCCGAGCACATTAAAATGGTACAGATACAAGTACTCGTAAACATTTTACTTGCATTGAAAATGTATATCGTAAGAAATTGCGGATTTTCTGATATTCTCCTTACTGCAAAAATGATTTTACCAGCACTGGCGGGGCGACATCTCTCGACTTTTCGGTGTAACTACCACACAAATAATGTAATTAATTGTATTCATCTATATTAAAAATATCAAATAGTAATGAACTCGTGCACTTTTTTGCATTTAAAACTGCTTATCAGGAAGATAATGAATAGAAACTAAAATCTCTATACATTTTCAAACGGCTTCATATCACTCTTATAAATAAGTACGGACGATATCACAAATGGCGCAATTATATCCCGTATGGTTAGTACGATAGCCCGAATAGGTGGTTAAGCACTTTTTATGGTTATTTTGTATGCACTGTATTTGTAAAACAACAAAACATGATTAATTAAGAAAAAAATCGTCAATACAGAAAATACAGATTTTTTAATAGAGTGGATACAGATTTTTTATAAAACCACCTGGCAGCTCTGGTTCTACATCAAAAGTGGTTGAGTTGAATCAGCAGCAGCGCGAGGCAAAGGCGAGCCAAAGTACGATTCTTTTCCACCCGCAGTACGTTCGAACCCGTAGTCCATTTCACACAGCTCCAGGTAATTTATGATACATCTGCAGTGGTTGCATTTAATTAGGTGCACTTACATTGGATAATAGTTGTCTGAGGTGATAAAAGTGATAACAACTTGAATTTCAGTGCAAAAGTGTATTGGCAAAGCGAAACAAGAGGTAGAAAGTGAGCGGTTAAGATCAACTTAAAACGCATGGTTGAGCCAGTTTTCCTGGGATTTTTTTTTGTGGAAAATAAGGGAAACTTATAGAATGTAACTATTTCACCGGAACATTGAGCTAACTGTAAAGAAAAACAAGGAAAAATCGAAAGACTTTCGGCATCGATCGAAACGTGAAACCACCACCACGCAATGGAGGAATCACTGGAACTTTCCATGAATGGAATAATAATGAACCGCTTGCTACTGGATTGAAATCGTCGCCGGCGATGGCCTTGCCAAATTATGTGCTGTTACATAACAACAAATTGTGTTCCAGCAATGTCGATAATCGATCGAAGTCCTTGTTTCATGCTGTGGTGTCCTATATTTACACCACTGTGCGATGTGCATTCTTTTCAGGGCCATTCAAAGCCACGTGGCGGAACAGATGTGCACCTAGCTTAAATCTGAACACTGTCTGCATGGAAAATCCAATTATTTGAGTTTGGCCCGTGGCCGTTAGTACCAGAAATAACCCCTTTATCGTTTCACTGACCCCAAAGTGTAGGGTGGTCTTATGGAGTCGCGTGTTCTCCCACTGGAACGATTTTCGCATTTATGTAATCAAATTTTAGACACAGGAATAAAGTAAAGTACCGTTATCTTATCGTTGATGAGGTTACTTACTCTCCGAAGCTGGAGCTCAAATGCTTCAGAACAAAGTGGTTGCGACGCAAATTTTGGAAATAATTTTATTCAGGCGAATTTCATAGCTGTAAATAATTATGCATTATGCAGTAAGAAATGGTCTCGCAACAGGGACGTTCGATAGAAAAAGATTGGATCGGATCGATACGTCGGAAGAAGATAAAATAATTTATGTAACTATATTTTTTAGTAATTTATACAACAATATTAGCTTTGTTTCTAATAGATCGGATGAATTATTATTTCAATTTCCTTTAGTTGGATGATTATCGACATCGATTTTTTTTCATTTCTTGATAACATCGGCGTAAAACCGTACAGCAAGCAAATTTCATGTTTGTTTACATCGTTAGCTGAAAACATAATTTAATCGTTCTGTTCTGGAGAAACTACGAAATGTATCCGCGCCGTAGTTATCGTCTACCGCAGAAATTGACGAGGAGAGTATCAATTCACCGCCGAAGTTTTACTAGACTTGTTAATTGGTTAGGAATAGCTGCAGTTTCACATCAGATTTCGCTAGATCTTCTACTGAAAGTTAAACTTTGTTTTCGAAAAAGTACAGTCAGTAAATTTGCTGTCTATATTGTCTTTCGTTGAAAAATAACAGGCGTATGCTCAACAAAATAAACAATTAAATTGAGTAAATAATAAAAACGGATTGATATGAAACAAAAAAAAAATATATGGGTTAATTTCGTAAATTTACAGCGCCGGAAAAAATTGATTTATCTTTGTCGAATTGAAGCTTATCATTTCAACAAAGATAAATCAATTTTTAAATAAATCACGTAAAAAAAAATCGACGTTAACGGGTTGGCTGCCAATTACAAGATCCAACATTGGCCTATTTTAAATTCACACTGAAAGAACTTTCTGTATACCATTTTATCTTATGAAGCATCTGACAAGAAGAATAAACATTTATTTTTAAATTTCTTTCCATGCTATTGCAACACCTTCACCACCCATCGGTTATATCGATCCAACACCGAACGCACGCGCCCCATCATCGCTTTCTCTGTGTCTACCATCTAGCCTGCAGCTCGTGTGATACAGTCCGGATCAAGAAGAGTCAGTCATTGTCAACGACCAGCAAACGTCACAACGCAACACAATGTTCTCCGCCCTGATGGACGCTGCTCGTAACTCACCTTTCAAGGCCCCATTCAGCCGGGCTCAGTGTGAAGCTGGTGAGAAGTCGCTGGTACCATCCAGCGGTCGTACGATCCAGGCTGCCGCCACCAAGGAGGTCGAGTTCGGTTCGAACGAATTCTTCGGTCTGTGCGCCGTCGGTGGTATCCTGTCCTGTGGTCTGACACACACGGCTGTCGTACCGCTGGATCTGGTCAAGTGCCGCCTGCAGGTCGACCAGGCCAAGTACAAGAACCTGTTCCATGGCTTCAAGATCACCGTTGCTGAGGAGGGTGCCCGCGGATTGGCCAAGGGATGGGCCCCGACCTTCTTCGGTTACTCGGCACAGGTAAGTTACCTTGGTTGTGTGTGTGTGTGTGGGTATTCTATTTTTGCTATTATTTGTGTTGTTCATAGTCACGTGCTAAAACCTAATATTTTATCATATTTCACCATCAGCTGATGATGGATGTTTTTTCGAGGTATACTATCACATGATGCTGAACTTGATAATGAAATAATCGTGCGCGTCATATTCGTAGCATCACGCAGCAATTATCATACCGAATGGAATTTATCGCTCAATGGAAAGCGTGTACCGTTTCACCTATTTAGATTGGCGCCTTCACAGATTCTGTTCAATTGCCACTCACTCACTACTACCAAGAACGTACATACTACCGATAGCGTTACTATATACTACTGTTATTAGTAACTCTAAGGATGTATAATGTTTTGCATTGTCGGTGGTAGTGAGTGAGTTTAGAGTAGATTAAACTGGCCTTGAAAATTTACCGCCAGTGACGTGATGCGATAAAGACTGCTGCAGACAGGGAGTGTGCGAGTTCTTACTGGATGTTTACGTAATCCGTGCGCAGTTTTCTCCAGTTGAAACTGAACAACAGACTTTTGCAGAATACCTACATAATATGCGTTCATCGGGCATAGCTAGTCGATACGCTGATGATGATGATGAAGTTTTTGAATATTTTAATAACCAAATTAATGTCTTAACTAGTTCGCTTGAATTGTTGTAGCAATTTTACCGATGTCATGGTTCCTACATATAGGTACGGGTATGCCACAACATCCGGGGACAACGACATATGGATTAACGGCATCCAGGAAACATAGTAGTAAACTGAAATGAGTTCCAAAAATGTGATTGAAAATTATGACTTTTATTTGATAAAGCTATGGACAAAATGTAACAACTGTTATTAGCGTCGAATCGATTACTCGGACTTAAACTTGTTTTATTGATCCCGGACATGAGAAAGTATTCAAAATTCTGGGCAAATTTCAATCTCCGGACTTTAGAAAATCATGAAATTTTTTAAAATTGTTTTTGTTTTTAGATCTCAGGCTTCTGAAAAACAATATTCTGCACTTAAAAAATTCTTCACGTCAATGCTTCGTGAAAAATCAAATTACTAACATTTTAATTATGATGAGTAGGACATAGCTTTCGGTTCGTTCGAGGACATTAAGCTGAACATTACATTAGGTCCTAAGTAACATTGATCGATTCTCTTCGTCGACTTTCTCTTTCGTTAATAACTTGAGCATATAACCGTTCCTTGATGTGTTTGTCGTATTAGATGCTTCTTTTATCGATTTGTGTGCTGAAAATACCTGGGAATGTCTTTACATGGCCGTGGGGATGCAAAGAGAAAGTCGACGAAGATAATCTGTCAATGTTACTTAGGAACACTGTCATGAAAAAAACATTATTGTTGTTTTTTATTGTTTATTGAAAAATTCAACTGACAATTATTGTCTAAATGAATAAAACTTAAACTAAAAAGTTACGGTCAACGGTACGGAAAAGGCCAAGTAGCCGATGACGAAACACGTCAGCTGGTACATTGAAGTCGAACATATAAAAAAATTGTTGAATTGCCGGCTGATTGCTCGAATTGGCTCGTGTTGTGTATAATTCCGGCTCCGTGGTTCCAAAAACAGAAAGTCGCGTTGACGAAGAGACCTCTCAGGGGCATACATATTTAGCTGTGACAGCAGTGTTGGACAGTCAATGTCACCCGTAAGCAGCTTTCCAGCGAACATAGCTTGAGCGACCGTCCGTCTCACCTCTAATGGCTCGATTCCCAGGAGACGGCAACGCTCCTCGTACGGTGGCAAGTTTGTTGGGTCACGCCAGTTGAGGAAACGAAGAGCATATCTCACAAACTTGCGTTGAACGGATTCAATTCTAGTGATCCAGTTAGCATGGAAAGGGCACCAAACAACTGAACTTGACTCCAATAAGGATCGCACAAGCGAGCAGTAAAGTAACCTGAGGCATAGCGGGTCACGAAACTCGTCGGCAATTTTGAAAATAAAGCCCAATTGTCGATTAGCTCTGGCGATGATGTCATTGTAGTGGATTCTGAAAGTGAGTCTGCAGTCCAAGGTAACGCCGATATCCTTTATGTGCTCTACACGAGCAAGACAGCGTCCGTAGAGAACATAGTCAAACATGATTGGTTCGATTTTTCAGTGATAGGAAATAATGTTACATTTTTCTATGCTTAGACTCATCAAATTTCTTGAGCACCAGTCAGCAAAAATAGCTAACATATTCTGGAGATCCCAGCAGTCCGAGAGGCTTTTAATAATTTTGTAGATTTTTGTATCGTCTGCATAGAAAACGCGGCATCCTGATGGTATCAGCAAGGCGACGTCATTTAAAAAGATCGAAAATAGTAGCGGTCCTAGGTTACTGCCTTGCGGAACTCCCGAGTTTTGAAAAAACATCCGATTCCGACGCGCCAATCTTGACATGTACATAGGGATTCACGAAGTAAGATCTGAACCAATCCACAGCAGTTGACGAGATGCCAAGAATATCTAGCATGGACAGCAAGATATAATGGTCCACCGTGTCAAATGCAGCTTTTAGATCCATATACGCATCATCGACTTGCTATCCTGAATCCATGCATCGCAGAAAGTTAGAAGTGAACTGCACCATGTTCGTGGACACGGAGCGCTACGGGTAGAAACCGTGTTGTTCTGTTTCGATATAATTTTTGCAGCGTGCGAACAGAGCACCATTTATGATAATCTCGAACAGTTTTGAGCAGGCACACAGGGAGGTGATTCCACGATAATTTATGACATTCCGTTTATCTCCTTTTTTGTACAAACTAAACACATCACGTGGCATCCCAACAGTAGCGTCCAGCACTTGTGTTGGCGAAGCGGAGAAATCGTGGAACACTTGCTTGAAATGACGAGCAAACAAGTCGCATTTTTCTCTTTCGCTATTAACCGAGTCATTCCCGAGAAACATGGAACAAGGCAACCCGGATTCCTTCCGTTTGGAGTTGACAAACGACCAAAAACTTTTCGGATTCGTGCGAAGGTTCGCTTCCGTGCGTCTCACGTGTCGATTATAGAGAAAACGATTTTAATTTCGATAACTACGACTCGCAAAATTGAACAGTCGCGTAGGCGTGGGTTAGACCATGCAGGCTTTAGCGGAGCTCGTCGAGCTGGGACAATGCGGAAAATAGCATCTTCCAGTGCAGCACTGAAGAAATCCACAGCATCATTCACGTTAGCGGCTGTTTCGATAAATTGCCAATCAATTTCCGCATGCAACATAATCGGCCCGGCGAAAGTCCAAAGAGTAGCACTCAGATGACGGTGTAAAAAGAATCGGTGTAGGTAAACTAAATGATACAACGAGAGCGGGATGATCGGCATCTAGATCAATCAGTGGCTCGACCGGCAAGGAAACAGAAGTGCCCGGTAGTGCGGAATCATTTGCCATGACAAGATCTAGCAAACGTCCATTTCGGTTCGGAAAAGTATTCACTTGTGTGAACTCGTAAAAGTTAAAACCGCCCAAAAGAGCACAGCAAACAACCGGCATATGCGAAAGCAGTGGATCAATTAATGGTGTACCACTGTCTGTAAAGCACCACTGCAGACCAGCTTGATTGTAGTCACCAAATACGAAAGCGGGAGAGCAGGGACTTAATTGTGACGAAATTGAGCCTAACGATTCCACATGCTCACGAATGATCGTGCAGTCGTTTTTGCGGTCGGGAGGCAGGTAGATTGCTCCTACACTAAGCTTGCTTTGTGGAAGTTCTACCACAATCCACAGCTGTTCCAGTTGACTGGAAACTGGTGACTTACTTACGTAGCTGGCTAGTCTCGTAGATACTGCAATCAGGACTCCGCCACCGCGTGATTTTTGACAGTTTAGGGCAGACCGGTCAGTTGCGATGAGTAAATTCGGTCGTTCAGCCATGTTTCCGTCAGCACAATCAAATCATATTCGGCCTCCGCAACAGCCAGGAAAAACGAGTCGATTTTAGTCCTCAGCCCACACATGTTTTCGTAGTAGATCCGGAGACCATTCGAGGAGCAATCACGGGAACTAGAAATCGAAAGGACATCAGGACATACGTATGTACAGTACTGACAATAATAAAGTAATCACCGTAATTTTGTTTACCTCAAAAAAAAAAAAAAAACTTCAAATTGCAGTAGGCATCAACATTTCTGGAATTTCGTCTGCAGGTGAATCAAATATTCAAGGTTTATTGGTACAATTTTGAGCTTGAACCGTTGACTTTGTAAGAAGTTAGAGTATTCAGAGTGGCCAGCGAACCGGGAAAACCGGGAAATAACCGGGAATTTCAAAAGTAAATGGGAAAACCCGGGAATCTGACAGGAGAACCGAGAAAAATCAATAAATCTTAATACATGGTGACTTAAATTATAAGCTTTTTGTTGTTGTTAATGAGTTACAAAATTATTCCAACTCATGATGTGTTTTTTTGCACCAACTTATTAAAAAGTAGGGTAAGTGAACCAGTTTTTGGCAAAAAAAGGTTCATAATTGGTCCTATCTTAATTATCATTTTTTTTATAAATGTTTACCAAATGTATTTACAGTCAAATTTCGCTCGTTGGACTAAGTTTTAGTTGGGCTCCCGTTAGTTGGGCCGTAGCTAAACGTCAGTGCTATTTTATTTCTTTTTCGAGGGGCTCATGTATGAACAATTTGGTTATTTGCTAAAGTATTGGGATGATTATAAACAATCGGTGCATCTCCCTAATAAAAATAACCACAAAAAAGAGCTTAACGACGTGTTCGGGGTATCATCCAAACCATTTGTAGGATAGTTTACCCATCCGGGATACAGTTCGTTTATGCTATTTGCTTATTAGGGCTCTCAACCAATTTTCAACTTGGCAGCTTAGCGCAACTGACGAAAGCCTTTCACCAACAATCAATACGAAACTAACGATTTTAAATTGGCTCACCACTTTAGTAGCCTATTGGTCCCAAGCAAACGATTAACGTACCCTATTCTAGTTGAAATTCTATTACTACACTATGTTTGTTTTGATTCGCTATGAAAGTTTGACAGATAACATCAGGGGTGTGTGGATTCATGCAGAACATGCAGGGGTGAGTGAAATAGCTTGGGACTGCTTGGGACCGTTGTTCTGGTACTGAGTGAGCCAAAAATAATAATGATTTTCTTCGGGACCCAGTGGTCTTAGAGTTACCTCTATGCTTTCACTAATTTGGCTACAGGTTTAGCCCAACAGCGAAAGTTGACTGTACATGCAGGGTTAGAACTCAGATTTTGTCATGTCTACTCGAATAAGGCCATGAAAATTTATTTCAAATTTGAGTTAGGCCCTAGGGCCAAAAACTGGAACCCTAGTGCCATAACTGACTCATTTGAAAAATATGTTTCTGAAATCGCCATGATCTCTGAGTCATGCTGATTTGAACAATTGCTGTTGAAATTTTCTAAATGGTTTTATCACAGACAATCAAACAACACTCGCAAGTTGTGCATCGAAAAAGTTTTTAACTGTCAATTTATTTTGTGGTTGACATGTTTATGTACACCGGTGTACCAACAAACTGAACGCAACTGAACATCTCAACATTGTAAACAACGTGAAATATCGTCTAAAGGTGGCCAATAAAGGAATACTGGAGCGTTCCCCTATTACAATCGTCTGTTCAGCTTACTGCCCACCACAGTGTCCTCAACAGATGGCGGAAACGTTTTACCGACGATGGTTTACAGTGAGAAATATTAAATGTGTTATGTCTGTTTGTCTGTGGTTTAATATTAATCTATTTAATAATGAACAGATGTTTTTTTTTCCATAATCACCTTGGAGTTCTGCTCCGAATAATCATGAGATGCTCCTTAAACTAACAAAAAAAACCCTTCGAACTCTTCTCGTGCCTTAGAATTCCCTTAAGAACTCCCCAAAGAATTTCCTCCTAAGAGTTCCTTTAATATTATCCTTAAAATTCAATTCCTTTGAAAATATTCTCAAAATTTTAATCAAACACTCTTTGGAAATCCTAGGATGTGTAGACTAGAATATAAAACTCCCCTCAGGAATCGTCTTGAGTCTATTTCTTTTGAAATTATCCTCAAAACACCCTAAAATTCCGATAATATTAATCATTCATCTTTGTATTCTCACCAAAATCCCATTGGAATTATTCTTAAATTCACTTGATATCCTCCTCACGATCCCTATAAATTTCTACTCAGAATCATCTAGGAATTCTCCGTGATGTTCTTTTTACAACTCCCATGGAATTATTCTAGGGATTACTTAATACAGTCATCTTAGCATTATGGGCCACTTACATTTGATTAACACGTAGCTGTTATAAGCTTTTATTCGCGAGAAATCGACGGCCATTGTTCACAAAAGCCCCTTTGAAATGTTGACAGTTTGACACTAATTCTAGACTAACATTTGAAAAGGGCGTAGCTCCAAAATGACCATATCGAGAAAATCGCATCCGAATTTTAATTACCTAAAAATTAATCCTATTTCACGACTTTCCATTTTCTGGATGATTTTATAAGCTTTACATATAGTTAATAGTATAATCTATCATCATACATCACTAAAAACTCAAAAAATATCATACGCCCAGATCTTCCACCCTTTGAACTGCCAACACTGGTGATACGCCGTGGAAGTGCACCCTCGGGATTTTTCGTTTGTTGTTACGCCTTGGTTCTTCGTTCGCAAATTTTGTGAGAGTGGAATTTTGCCCGGAGATTTTTTTTGGTCTTCTTTTTGTTCGTTGTTTACACGTGAAATATCAATCGGAAGCATTTCAAATGAATCGGGCGTGACTAGATACTACAGAATCAGTACGTTTGGCATATTAAAAAAATATAATTCGTTGTTCTGGTACAACGCGTAACAACAAGATGCATCATAGAGTTGAAAGTTGGAAATACGCCATGTAAGAAGAAACGTTTTGATCATTTGAAGTGATATTTTCTTCTACTTTTTCGTGTTTATCGAGTAGTTTGTGAACTGTTCTCTCTATATGTGGCAAAATGTGGTTTGTTTACATTTTGAATTACGCCCTTTTCAAATGTTAGTCTAGAATTTATGCAAATCGGAGAAGGTCGAGTTTTTCCCATTCGTCATTTGGCGTGGAACTCCTCAGAAAGCAAAATTAGGAACTACCACAACTACTATAAAAAATGGCGCCTATTAATGGATGACGAGCTTAATAATTTACTTTGTAATTAAACCATTAAGTCTGGAATTTTTCATAATAACGACTGGAAAATCAGGGAATTTATTTGTCATCATTGAGTCGACACCCTGTTTTTAAAGAACATAGCAAAATACAACAGCAGTAATATTCATATTACAAGTATGCCAAATGGCCATTGTGACAAATGGGGTAGAGCCGTCCATTATGAAACACCTTTCTTCCGTAAATAGTATCAAAGCACGGTTATGCCAAGTTGTCTTTCATTTGTTCGATCTGTTCATACATTTTATGCTATATGTCTGTTATGCCAAATGGACTAGGGTAGATGTATCAATAATGGCTATACGTCCCTATTATGGTTTGTTCCAGTTACGTCCCATGGCAATTCTATAGGCCATAACTGAAACACACACACGGAACGCCATTACATCAGTGTATATGTCTATTTCGATGTTTAAAGAGCATACTTTCGTTGTCATTAGTAACACTGCTGTTTTCCCCTTGCTTCGATCCCGCAGGGTGCCTTCAAGTTCGGTCTGTATGAAGTGTTCAAAATCCAGTACGCCAACATGATTGGCGAGGAGAATGCCTACCTGTACCGCACCTGGGTGTACCTGGGAGCCTCGGCATCGGCTGAGTTCTTCGCCGACATCGCTCTGTCGCCGCTGGAAGCTGCCAAGGTCAAGATCCAGACCACGCCAGGCTACGCAAACAACTTGCGTCAAGCCATGCCCAAGATGATGGGCGAGGAAGGTATCGCCGCCTTCTACAAGGGTCTGGTACCCCTGTGGTGCCGTCAGATTCCATACACCATGATGAAGTTCGCCTGCTTCGAACGTACCGTCGAGCTGCTGTACAAGTGAGTATTTTGAGGGTGTAGGGGCAGCATGAGCTTCCAAGTAACTAATCAACGCTCTTGATTCGTTTTCACAGGCACGTCGTACCGAAACCACGCTCCGATTGCACCAAGGGTGAACAGTTGGTTGTCACATTCGCTGCCGGTTACATTGCTGGTGTGTTCTGTGCCGTCGTTTCCCATCCAGCTGATGTAGTGGTATCCAAACTGAACCAGGCCAAGGGATCCAGCGCCATCGATGTGGCCAAGAAGCTCGGCTTCATGGGCATGTGGAACGGTCTGACTCCGCGTATTATCATGATCGGTACACTGACGGCCCTGCAGTGGTTCATCTACGATGGTGTCAAGGTAGCCATGAACATCCCCCGCCCACCACCCCCAGAGATGCCAGAGTCGCTGAAGAAGAAGCTCGGAGTCGAATAGATTTCGAGAAACCTAATTCAGTGTGTAGTGTGTGCTCTAAACAAATTGTGATTAAGGAATAAGTTTTAGCCGAAACCGGCAGGCAGGCAAGACCGTGCCGCGACTAACAGTGAAGCGGGAAAACAAAACGTGTATCGCGCGGAAATGAGAGTGCGACCTTAACCTAATCAAGATCAACGTGGTAATAAAACAAATACGGGAAAGTGTATTTAAACAAGTTCTAAACGAAGCATTTGTGTTCCAATAAATTGTTTGTTCGAGTTGAGAATCACCCTACATATTATGTACTGTAGTCAGCTGTTTCCCATGTGGTGGAAAATCGCAGTAAACCTTTCTTCGCGTGAGCGGCATTCGCAATGTCAACTGTCATCTCAGGAAGAGAAAATCCACACTCTCGTCGCGTGCTTATTTTCTGCGGATGGTGAGATTCGCGCTCTTGTTGCTCTTTCGATTCATACATCACGGCTAATAGTACTTACCCTACTCTAGTAATAAGAACATAGAAGCGAGTTACGTGCGTACTCTCTTTCTCCGGAAAGTGGAAAACTGTTGAGGGAAATTCGCGACCGTCTGGCTGGTTTCGGTCGTAGTAAGCTTCGAACCGACACACCGTGAGGCTGCCCGTGTGAGTCCGTGCCGTATTGTGTGCGTGTGTGACAGACAGAGTGGTAAAGAAGAGCGCTCTTAGCTGATCTTAGAGGTAATGCAAGGAGGACGAGGCCACGGGATTTTTATTGGGAGTTTGACAAATTTGGGACGGGTTTTTCTATCGAATTCGGTGGAGTTGGGCTTTGTTTGACAGTGATTCGAATCGGCGGAGATTCGGGGAGTGTCCAGTGGGGTCAATTATGCACGGCATAACATATTTCCAATGTGGATGAGATTTTACTCTCCAATCCGGTTATGTAATGGATGTGGGAAAAATTACGTTACAAAGGAATATTTTCTACAACGGGTGCGCCAACGGGATCAGTTTTGACTGGAAGGGAATTTTTCCTGAAAATTATTAATTTGCCCATAAATTTTCAAAATATTTGTGCGTGACATTCATATGTCAGGAACGTGATTTCCTACGTCATCCCACGTTCAGCGAGAGATTTCCATTTCCTACGTAGAAGTTTGCGTCCTTATCAGTCAACGAATTTTCTTTCGTTTAGGTCACACTATTTTAAAAATAGTCTATCGGACTTGAACTTCACATTGATCGATCGGTTCTTTTCGCTTTCCTTTGTAAACTTAACATAGTGAAAATCCTAGCGAAGATACACGCGACTTTCGGGTTTCGCGTTTTGGCAACTCGCCTTTTGACACTTTCCCTTGTGTTTCGATATCTTCCTCTGTCTATATCCGTTCTTCGCCGTTCGGAGACAAACAGAAACGGAAACTATTTTTAATCGCAATCTCGTGCGATGGTTGTGTGTGAACTTGTGTGCGAAATTACTCCGTACTTGAGAAAAACAACGTCAGGAAGCAAGCAAATTATGCAACGTTGAGGGGAAAATTGATTGTATCATCTTCACTTTTCGGCAGCTGGTGAGACTGAAAGGGGGCAGAATTTCAACTGTCCTTTTAAAACTCGCTATTAGAGGTCCGTTAGTAGGTTTATCTGTTTTGTAATTACCCACAACGAGTAATCAAGCGATATTAGCAGTGATGTTATATAAGTTTTCTCTCCTGAATTTCCTATAATCGTTCCAGAGTACCCATACCAGTTCCAGACCAGGACCGAAATAACCGCCGAAAAAATGTTCTCCGCACTGTTGGACGCCGCCCGCAACTCCCCCTTCAAGACTCCATTCACCAAGGCCCAGTGTGATGCCACCGAAAGCAGCAACAAGTCGGTGGTGAGTGGCCGCACCATCGCTGCTGCCGCCTCCGACGAGGTTGAGTTCGGTTCGAACAAGTTCTTCCTGCTTTGCGGTCTCGGTGGTGTCATCTCGTGCGGTTCGACCCACACTTTCGTGGTTCCGCTGGACTTGGTCAAGTGCCGTCTGCAGGTTGACCAGGCTAAGTACAAGAACCTGTTCCATGGCTTCAAGGTTTCCGTCGCAGAGGAGGGTGCCAAGGGTCTGGTCAAGGGATGGGCACCGACCTTCTTCGGCTACTCAATGCAGGTGAGTGAACTAGAACACAGTGAACAAATAGGAACCACATAACTGTCCTTCGAGTGGTCATGCAACATCTCTTGATCGAAAACTTACAAGTGTTCAAATCATTGAAGATGATTCCCCTTGTATGGCCTCTGTTGTGCTTTTACTATTTTATTGCGCAAACATAGTTTCTAATTTTGAAAACCTTATCTACATGTTTGTTGTCAGGCATATTTTCAACTAGCAATTTAGTCAATTTAGGCTGCGTGATCCATTTGCTGAATCTTCACTAAAAATTTATTTTTGTCAAAATTAATTTTTTTGTGGGTCAGAAATAAGTCTGGGCAATAGAGGGGTTATTCGAAAATTTTCCATCTGTAAAATTTATTTTATTGTCAACATCAACAAACTCAATATACCCCCAATGATTACCTTAAATTAGCATAAATTTCACAAGTTTCTGAATTTTCACTCCAAATTAAAATATCCAAATCCTACAATTTAATTATTTTTTTTATTACATTACACACTTAGAATTTTTTACAGAAATCTGTGAAAAATTCACAGATATTTGTGAAAAATTACAGGAAATCTGCAAAACTGTTTACCAAACGTTCAGCTGAGAAATCTGTAAAATATTCTTAGTGTACATTTTTTTGAATGCTGATGCTGCTGACTTTTGGGCAGAGCAAAATTGGAATACGATCACACAAATTTTGGACTAACAGGTTGGTAGCGAGTCTCTTTTTAGTGACTTGGTCACTTTATTCAAGCAAATCACTAGAATCAAGCAAGTCTCATTTTTTAAGGCCAAGTCACTAAAGTCACTTTTTCTTGTAATCAGTTACTATTTTAAACTTTTGTTTAACGTGAATTTATATCAAGATTGATCATTCTTCTTGCAGTGTGTAGAATAAGCCTACATTTTGTCGAAGACATCATATCAAGAAGACTGGTAACTTTGCCAGAATCCAAGCGACAGATATAGTAGCGCTGCACTTGAGCGAAGGTGGAAGCAAGGCATAGAAAAATGAGCAAATACACAAACCTTTCTTCTGAGGATGTAATCTTTGCCATCAAATTCGTTCGATGCATTTACCTTCGAACGGTAGGTGACATAATTGTACCTGCCTCATAGCGGTCGTACGAGAAAATGGAACAGTTGCCAGTCTTCTTGATATGTTGTCTTAGATTTTGTTCTAATTTTTGAACAATTCAAAGTTGACGACCTTGTATAAAGTTTTTGACGTCTTTCTCTATCTACAGGGTGTCCACTCACGAGGTTAAATAAAGTTCCCTGAGTTTACAGGTCTTTTCCATAACTTTGGCGGATAATTTACAGATTTATAACATGCTTGGCATACCACAGTTTTGGTCACGAACTGCTCATTTGCTAATAACTTTGCACAAGTTGACAAAGCATAGTTCTTTTTGAAGCAGTCGATAGAATAGAGTTTAAGCTTGTTGTAGATACGTAAAAAAAAAGATTTTATTTCTAGTAATAAACTGTATTTATTTTTGCGTTGTAAACATGAAGTGAGAAATGCTCGCTGCACATCTCGAACTTTAAGTGTAAAAATTCATTGGTGTTGATTCACATGTTAAGATTTACCTACTCTTTTACAACTGTGCATGCCAAGCATGGTTTATAATGAGAAAACCATTTATAAAATGCGTTAAAAATATGATTTTTTTTTTGTAAAACAACAACAACAGCAATTAACGCAACCGTTTTGAAGACATGACAATCAGTTTTAAAGAAAGAGCTTCACTTCATTTTAGTAAGTCACAACATTTTTAATGTCTTGAAGTTTCGTACTAGCAAAATTGTGGAAATTTTTAAGAAGTTCTATATATCTCAGAAAAACTAGATCTAGAGATCTTTGGGGAATTACAGAGATCTTAAGCGGAAGTCCCCGAAATTATAGCCCAGACTATTGGATTGGTTTAAAAATCTAAAAGCATGAGCTTAGACAAATTCAGGAGAATTCCATGATGTGCTGAAATAAAATCGAGTACCCTTAAGATGCTCCGAGAGATTCAGTACAGCGACCCTCAGAAAATGTATGAAAACTTCAGAAATATTTCAGGAACTTCACAGAAATCCAGAAAAGTTTAAAGGTATTCACGAGAATTCCATTTATTTTAAAGCTGAAGCGAGATCTTAATTAGAAATGAGAGCTTCAGGGAAGCTCCGAGTACATCAAAACAGATCATAGAATATTTTAGATCATGGAAATTTAAAAATCTAAAAAAAATCGAAAATTTTGAAACTTTTAGCAAGCACCGATATTTTCAAGAAATTCTAAGAAATTTTGATATTTTTAGATTGTTTCGTTATACAGGTATACCTCAAGATAACGTAACTGTCACTTTTTACTTCCGTCGCTGATTTCACTCAAACGATCATTCAAACAAGCAAAGTAATAACAAAGATGAATGCTAAGATGAAACAGTCGGAAGAAAAACTTTCTATTTAGTGTTCTCTTTCACGGTCCCTTTCATCCAATGAATACCCCCCGTATGCAAGGTAATTTTGTGGTTTTGCTGCCCCCTCGGTAGAGATGATTTTTTTTTTTAAACAATCGCACCAAAATCAGAGATGTCCCATTTTTTAAATTATTCGATTAACATCTAATCGATTATTTTTTGTTCGCTGTGCTGTCATTTTTCCACCAATAAGAGTGCAGCATATGTTTGAAACGATGGGTGATGATCCTCTGGTGAGGTTAATGCTTAAATCAGCATGATATAACCGATTAAAAATATTTTAATTTTCGGTTCGTTAATCGATTAATCGGTTATTCGAATGAAAATCGGCCATCACTAGATGAATGTGAAACGTCATTTCAAATTTAAGGTGGTACATAAATAATGATACAATTTGAAAGGGACCGGGGCTAATCACAAATTACGTCCCCATGGTAACTGAAATAAACACGAGTGCGGACTGGTTGGTAATAACTTCATCGGACATTGGTAATATTTATTTTTTATGAATCAATTGTTATTAGGGAGATATTGACGATGGACGTCAAAAGTGACAGTTACGTTATAACGAGGTATACCTGTATTCAGTGAAGTTCCGCGTACTTCGAGGATGATCAGACAACTTCACAAAAATCCCAGTAACGTAAGGAAATCTGCAGCGACTTACAAGTTCCTTGAAATTATGGGATATTCCGAGAATTCTATGATTGATCTGAAAACTTCAGAAGATTCAGGGAGTTATAAATATATATCAGAAAACTTACCGGAACATTTGATCAATTTAGAGAAATTAAGGTAAGCATAGAAAACTTCAGGGCTGGACTTTCCAGAAAAAAAATAGTGATTTAAGGCAAAGTTCCGTGAACGTTTATAAACTTTATAAAACTTGAGTAACATTCTAGGCAATTCAATCACTTCCAGTAAATTGCGGGTTCTTTTAAAAAAATACTAAGCTATTCAGGGCAGTCTATAGAATTTTAAGAAAATTGAAAAATATTTTGGGAAGTTTTAAAAACATCAGGAAACTGTAGACTTTGAAGAAGCTATAAATTTAGCTTCAAAAATCGACAAATCTTGAGAACTTCAGTGAAAATCATAGAACTATATTAATCATTTCGCAGTGGAAGCTTAAAGAAGTTCCTGAAATTTCAGAATAACTTCGAAAACTTCACAGCAGTACAGAGATCATTGCGAGAACTTTATAAAAGTCTATGAAACTTAAGGGAAGATCCGTGAACTTTAGGAACTTTTATAGACATAATAATATAGCTCCAAAAACAAAGTGAATTTCAGGGAGTTCAGTTTCATTAGTTCCACTAAATTAGCGGGAAATTTCAAGAAGTTCCCAGATTTTCAGAAAACTTTAGAGATGTTAAGAAAATTATAGAGGTTTTCACATAAGTCCAGAAGTTCACGCAAGCTTAAACATTTTTAGAACAGTTCAATTAAATTCATAGTAGTGCAACCACCATGAATGACCATAGCAAAAACAATAAAATTTTTGACCAAAGCACACTTCTGACATCTGGCTCCGTTTTCGCGGGAAATATTTAGCTAAGCCATGAACAAGCATGTAAAATGCATGTATGAATTGGTTCGTGTCTGTTCTTATCTGGACAAATTATGTTTATCTAGATCAAAAATCCTATGGCATTGACAGTTTGGATCACTGCACATTTGAATCAGCCGTTCACGATTTTCGGGCATTAGTCAGAATTGAGTGTCATGTCGGTTAGTCGGTGGTACAACATGCTTCATGAAAACAGCAAACACTCAGGAGTAGTTTCGAGAACTTCGAGAAAGATATTGAGCTCGCTAATAAAGCTCTAAACAAAAAAAACTTCAAGCAAAAATGGTTAAATTTCCTGAATAATGATAAGATTCAGTCTTAAGGAAAAATAAAATTCCCTGAGAATTCCCGGTTTTTCAGGTTTTTCCTGGTAGTAGAAGCTTGGAGGTTTAGTCATAAACTTTCTATTGAATCTTTCGCTTTAAAGGTTCCTATCATACATATTTAAGTGTTTATGATAATCTAATTGAATAAGTCTAAACTATCAAACATTCATGTTGCATGCCATCAGAACGACCAATTTTCTACCCTAAGGTCACTTTTTAGTCACTTTTTTTTGACGTAGAACTACGTCTTTGATTTCTATATGGGGGTACACTTTGTGAAAACCGAAAATGGAACATGTAACAAATAAAGAAAGATTTTGAACGTTAATAACTCAGCTGCCCCTGGTCCAATTTCAATAATTTTATCACCAATCGATCAGAAATATGACTACGCATGCGACAATGCTCTCGAATGTTGATTTTCAACAAGAAACTATTGAAAAACTGGTAAATGTCCAGCATTGTCCAAAAGCGTCGAATTAACTAACGAATCCACCAATTACCTACATGCATATGCTGCTTCTCCAGCACAGTCGTCAGAGAGTAGTAACAACAATCAATACGAAACTAACGATTTTAAATTGGCTCACCACTTTAGTAGCCTATTGGTCCCAAGCAAACGATTAACGTACCCTATTCTAGTTGAAATTCTATTACTACACTATGTTTGTTTTGATTCGCTATGAAAGTTTGACAGATAACATCAGGGGTGTGTGGATTCATGCAGAACATGCAGGGGTGAGTGAAATAGCTTGGGACTGCTTGGGACCGTTGTTCTGGTACTGAGTGAGCCAAAAATAATAATGATTTTCTTCGGGACCCAGTGGTCTTAGAGTTACCTCTATGGTAGTAAGAAGACGAAACAAGTCAATGTGTTCCTGAAAAATGAGATCCGTGATGCTGTCACCTACACTAAACACGCCAAGCGTAAGCGGCCATGGATGTCATCAACGTTTTGAAGTGACAGAGATGCACCATAGAGGTAACTCTAAGACCAGAGGGTCCCAAAGAAAATTGCTCAACTTTTTGGCTCAGCTCTGGTACTCTCTTCGATCCCAAGCTAATCGATGCACCCCTCGAAACATGGAAAAATCCACGAACCCCTCATTTTATCTGTCAAACTTTCATAGCGAATCAAAACAAACATTGTGTAGTACTAGAATTTCGACTAGAATGGGGTACGTTAATCGATTTGCTTGGGACCAATAGGCTATTCAAGTAGTGAACCAATTTTAAATCGTTAGTTTCCACCGGTTGGATGCACTCTGTTTGGTTTCGGAGGTTAAATCATCACCAACTTTGGCAACAAAACGGCTCTTTTTAGGGCCACCAGGTTTATTACAGTAAAGAGTAGGAATAGAATTCATCTGCCTGATTGTCCATATTCAGAACCAACGATCACACAAAATGCTAATGAAATCAAACTGGAAGCAGGGGTACACATTATTTTGATCAACCTTGATCAACTTTGAATCGTCAAGGCCGGATATTTTCGATGGAAGAAGCAACAATCTAGCATCTAATTCGACGAAGACGGCAGGAAACATTTGTGAAGCCGAGTTATTTACGAAAGAGAGTGTCGATTAAGAGAATCGATCAATGTAGATAGAACCTATTGAAAAGTGACGCGAGATTTGTTTTCCGTACTGAGCTCCAATGCTACCGACGCCAGGGAGGCAGCTCCCACACCTGGACCCTACCAATCGACCCATCAACTCAACCGGGGACCAACGGCATTACTTCCCGAAGGAAGGCGTGATCAGAGATGCTATGCCTTAGAACATGCCGGTGGCGCAGACTGAGATTGGACCCAGGCCTGCTGGGGTGAGAGGTAATCACGCTAACCACCGGCGCCGATATCTTTCAAGGTGATATCGCGGTGAATGAGAACGACCCAAATTTGAGTTTAGTTATCTCAGAAATAAGATATAAAAAAAGGAACTCAACGATGAATAAATTTGCCTCATGTTTTCCCAGGATTTTCCAGGGAAAAATTCCCGAATTTGAGAAAAGTAAAGATTGGATTCACTCAGTCTAATGGTACTACTCCGAGACTGAAGAAAATGTTCGTCAATTTCCTCATTTTCTGGCAGATTTTTTAGGTTTTTCCATAGGAAACCATGAGACAAATTTATTCATCGCTGAGTTCCTGCACTTTTGGCGATTATGAGTGAACTAAACTCAAATTTGGGTCGTTCTCATTCGCTGTGTACGCAAAAGGAAAAGAGCCAGTATCGCTACTTGATAGCAAACTACTCATAATGGGAGGAGTCTTTGTAGCTTTTATACCACTTGGTTGTACATCATTCTGCTTTAACCTGAAAAGATATAAAAGAGTGGTGCTGTATGGCATTAGCTCTTTTTCACTTCGGACGGCGTGGTGAACAGCAATAGCAGCAGTAGGAAGGTGGTGGCTAGTCCACTCCCTCACATCTTACAAGTAACAATTGACTGGTCGTGACAAAGGAGGAAAAGGTGTGGTAAAGGAGGCGCCAAGCGTCATCGCAAAGCTCTTCGAGATAACCGCCATCGGTCGTCTGGCTCGCCGTGGTGGTGTCAAACGTATCTCCGGTCTGATCTACGAGGTGTGCTGAAGGTGTTTCTGGAAACTGAGATCCGTGATGCTGTCACCTAAACTAAACACGCCAAGCGTAAGTGGCCATGGATGTCCTCTTCAATAAAACGGCCCTTTTCAGGGCCATCAAGCTTACATCAGTAAAGAGTTGAAATAGAATTTATCTGTGCTTATTTGTCCAGAATCACAAGCCACCAACGACCACACAAAATGCTTTCCAGAGTTGTAATCTTGTAACCAAACTTGGAAGCAGGGGTGCAAGTGATTTTGATTGATTCTCTTAATCAACTTTCTCTTTGAAAAAAATTACTACAAATTTGGTACGCCTATAATTCAAAAACGGAAAGAGTTGAGATAATAGATAATTGATAAATTAAAAGAACTAAATGCTCTTCACATTTATTCCGTCCACTAGCGGTCCTACGTCAAGCATCCGTTCGTGCCCCTAGGTACAGACCCTTCTACTTTTTACAATTATAAGTCACATTAAGTGTTATATTTAAGGTCACTTATTTCTTCAATATGGTCACTAAAATCACTTTTTTTGACGGCATTGATCGCTACCAGCCCTGTAATTATATGACGAGATTTTGCTTGCATTTCAAGGTGTTTAGATCCTTGCTTCGAAATTTTAAGTGTACAAATATCAGCTTCTACGATACGTACCACTGTTAAGGCCCACGCACATTAGATCCGAATCGGACGCGTTGCGGCAAACTGACAGCTAAATCTATTGTCTAACTGTCACATTTACGTCAACGCAACGCAAACGGATCTAATGTGGGTGGCCCTTTACTGCACTCCAGGTGAAATGAAGCATTAATTTCCGAGATGTGTGTAATTGAAAATTCAAAGTGGAAGTGCATGTATAGCCTACGTGGTGGCCATTTGTGGACTCTACAAGGAATCACCTTAACTACGACGCACTGGTCCAGTGCATCCTTATTTTTTTTTTAAATTAGTGGAAATTGATTCCCAGTATTGTCAGTGGTATTTCAATAAAAAATAGGTTTAATTTTATCACTATGGACTTTCATATACACATGAGACAATTATGCTTACTCCGGGAATATAGCGGAAATGTAAAATTCATCAAGATGAGAGTTGTTGCAGAGCCAACCGTTGTTCCTATACCTAAGTAGTTCAGCAGCTAATCTAATTGATCAACTAAACACATGTGTTTTCGATACTCGCAGGGTGCCTTCAAGTTCGGTCTGTACGAGGTATTCAAGGTGCAGTATGCCAACATGCTGGGCGAGGAGAATGCCTACCTGTACCGTACCTGGTTGTACCTGGGTGCATCCGCTTCGGCTGAGTTCTTCGCCGATATCGCTCTGTCTCCGATGGAAGCTGCCAAGGTCAAGATCCAAACCATGCCCGGCTTCGCTGGTACGCTGCGTGAAGCTATGCCCAAGATGATGGGCGATGAGGGTATCATGGCCTTCTACAAGGGTCTGGTTCCACTATGGTGCCGTCAAATCCCGTACACCATGATGAAGTTCGCCTGCTTTGAAAAGACTGTCGAACTGCTATACGCGTAAGTTGCAACACTTAACCCGCATGTCGATGGATTGATAGCAATATTTCGCTTTTATCTTATTTTACAGTTATGTTGTACCGAAGCCACGCGACCAGTGCTCCAAGGGTGAGCAACTGTTGGTTACCTTTGCTGCCGGTTACATTGCTGGTGTGTTCTGCGCTATCGTTTCTCACCCGGCTGACGTCGTCGTGTCCAAGCTGAACCAGGCCAAGGGAGCCAGTGCATTCGATGTGGCCAAGCAGCTCGGCTTCATGGGTATGTGGAACGGTCTGATGCCACGTATCATCATGATCGGTACTCTGACTGCCCTGCAGTGGTTCATCTACGATGGTGTCAAGGTCGCCCTGAACATCCCGCGTCCACCACCCCCAGAGATGCCAGAATCGCTGAAGAAGAAGCTGGGAGTTCAGTAAATACGTCACAATATCCTTCGTTATTAAACCCCTTCTCCCTTGTACTTCTTTCACTGATAAGCTAAAATTAATTTATAAGTGCAAACCAAATTCTCAAGTAAAACTTTCACGGTACGGACGCTAGCAGTCATCGATAATAAATTGGAGGAATCTAAACAAAAAAACATTCAAGTGCAACATTAGTAGGTGCTATTATAGTGCGATAGCATCTTGGAATAGTAGAAACAACTTCGGGTACGCGATTCAGTATTTGAGCACTTATTACGATTATTTTGCACAAAATTAAAATAAAAACAAGTTGTTCGGAATTTGCCGTACTGCCACTCTTCCAGGATGGATCGATTGTACTGTTTATTTAGTATAGTTCTGCTATGTTACCATGGGTAGCCCAAAGAACATTAAAGTGAATGCGTTTCTTCATGGAAGAACGAAAGGAAACTCGTTTGCAGGGGAAGGATGTTTTCACACGAGTAGGTATTTATCACATTGCCATCTTGCAAATAGGTACACCGAGCTTCTGGTACAAGTTCCTGTTTTTTCCTTGATTTGTATTCCGTACTGAATACCAATGCTACCGACGCCTGGGAGGCAGCTCCCACACCTGGATCCTACCTATCGACCCATCAACTCATTGACCGGAGACAAACGGTTTTACTTCCCTTGATCAGATTTTTATGCCTCAGAAAATCCCGGCGGCGCCGACAGGGAATGAACCCAGGCCTTGTGGGGTGAGAGGTTATATCAACATTAGCAGTTTTACGGCTTTTATCTTGAGGATACCATTTTGTTTCTGGTATTGTTGCCCTGGATTTTTTTTTATTGAAACGACGGTGGTCATTTGCTTTTTTACGACTAATTTTTTCCGACCATAGCGCCTCAGATAGGGTTTAATCCTTTTGTTTGCACCATTATCGAACGACCAGATTTATGGCGACATTTCACTTACGCTTCTGGAAGTGAGGCTGAACGTAAGTGTGAGACGACAGTAGCGCTCGACGCTCGTCCCTTTGCTTGTACGACGCTCAGATTAGCAAGCGGAGAAGTTTAACCGTCATTTGGAGTATTATACCTATATTGGATGTCGCTGGATTTGACTGCTGCTGTTGTTGTACTGTTGGATTGCGATTGCTATTGCTGCTGCGAGCAGTTTTGAGCGGAATTGTTCAGGATGTTGCAGACTGTAACTGAGCCGTTTTGCAATTAGAATGGTTGTTCTTGCGCAATAATATAAAAGAAGAACAGTACAATATGTACTTCATTTTGGCGGTATGTGGACGTAAAGTCTATACCAAATTGAAACCATTGTTTCCGGGAAAAGATTTGAAATCTGAGGAGTTAACGTTGAGAAATTAGCAAAGCGCCATGACACAAAGGACTCAGATGTCATTCATAGTTATAGATTTTGAACTAGACGTAAAGAGCAGTATGAAAAGGCAATAGATTTTGTTCTAGCGGTGAAACAGTTAGCAGTGTAGGAGTGTAATTTTGGTAACTTTAAAGATCGTGCGGTTCGTGATGTTTTAGTTATCGGGGTTCTTGATCGACAATTACAAAAACGATTATTTGGTGGAGACGATCTTACAGCTTCTCAGGCAGAGCGCATAATAGTGAATCAAGAAATTTCTAGCGATAGGACGCGTTATTTAAAAGACGACGATGACAAAAGCGGAAATTCAAGAAAAAAAATCTAATTGCTCGGCTTGGTACTAGGGTTGACCGGTCTCGAGTTAGCTTGGACCGAAGAAACAGAAGCAGAAGTAGAAGCTATAGCAGTGATAGATTGTTTTCAAGAGAAAATGAAGAAATCGTAGGTTCGTGTAGGTTTTTGTACACGGTATTGTAACTAATCTTATATGTGCTTCATTTTGGTTTGGGATATGTGTTTGAACTATGGTTCGGGATTTCCACTGTTGCGTGCTTCTATTGTGACACATCCATACGTAATTTTGTGGGACGACATAGTGGCAACGTGTGAGCGTAGTTGGAGCATATACGCTATATAATTTAAAAATCAGCTAGGAAACTAACTTCAAAGTGGAGCATTTTAGTCACTTGAAGGTGTCACCGGGGACGAACTAATATATAATAAATATGTATAGGTCAAAGTCAAAAACAACTTGAAACACGTTAAATTTTAGATTACAGGCACAAGTGCAGGTACTTAATAAAGCATGGGTATAATTGAGTAGGTAGATTAGAGATTTCAATTATTTATTAAATTAGGCTAATGAGATATCATAATCATCGAATGAACTTAAATAAGAAAATTCAGAAAGTCTAATAACATTGAGTAGATTAACAAAAGAATTAGGATGCGGGGGGTCCGCTTAGGGAGGAAACCTTTAGCCTTTGATGATTGCTTTAAAATATCAATTTGGTATATATGCGAAAGGATTAATCATTGGGAGATGGATATTTCTTTACATTTTGCAGCACAAATCTAGTTCTAAATTTCCTCAAAACCCCCCAACGACCGACCTCTTCAATCTCTTCATTTTCCCATGGCGTGTAAGTGGTCCGCATAGACTATTCAGCCATTACCCTTCCTTTATCCTCGGCTTTGGATTGACTTGCGCTCCCATTGGCCCACCAAACGTTGCAAAATGCTAATGAAAATGAAAAATATACCGATTTTCAGACATCATCTGATAGAGCTTCGTCTGAGCACAACGATATTTTTATCGATCCCGTAGACATTCATCTCGATTTTTAAATCAAGATTTAAATTTTTATTCTGACACTTAGGCTCTGAACCATTTGGTGGATTATTTTAACTTTTGGTTAAAATTTGACAGATGAAAAGTTATCGATTAACCCTGCTATCCGAGCATGGTTATTTCTGACAGACAAGAAGTTAAATTTTGACAACCGTGGCTCGAAAACCGGTCGATCGACAGCACGGGGATTTTCGAACATAGAAAATAACTTTCGAAATGTCACTTTTAACCACGAGTTAAATTTAACTTGGCAAATGGTTCACAGCCTTAATCTATTCGCTCCCATACAAAGTCCCACCAAGGGGCGCTAAGATGGAGATTTTTGATAATGTAATCGTACTTATTTAAAATAGTTCCAGTGTCTCAAAATTGATGAAATTTTGGATTTCGGTGCAGATAATGAATATGTATTTACCACAATACCCATTAACAACCCAATTGTCACCTCAGGTGAGGTGAGTCTCCGTGCAAATCAAATGGAGAGTCATCTCACCGAGGTGACAATAATTGTCACTTCACTAGTAACAGTTAAAGAGACTGAATTGGATAAAGAGGCGACATGTCGACTCTTTATAAATTCAGCTTCTTTAGTAACAGCGAGTCACATCACAGGTCGCGCAGAATAGGCCTATTGGTATTATTAGCGATGATTTTGCAGGATGGAAAAACTGTCCACTTTCCCCTAAACATTCATACAGGGATCCCCCGAATGGTGTGGTGGGTGGTGCCGTTTACCCGGTCTACCCACCGCAATTTCTCGACTCCTTTTCAACAAACTGAGCAAATTTTGATTAGGTGCAGCATTTGATTTCAATAGCGCCTAGATGTAGGCTAGGCATCAGGCATGCAACACGATATGTTATGAATCTGACACGGCCACTGAATCTCACTCATATTCGAGTTGTGTTCACTCAAATTCGCAAAAACGTACAAAGTAAGCATTCTCGAGGGAAACTGGGACTACCCATTTTGACGTAGGATTACGTCACAGACAAACAGACATAACACCCGCAAGTTGTTCATCGAACAAGCATTTAACGGACAATTTAAAAGTATCGTAGTTGGTAGTACCGCCACCTGTGGCGCGCATAGTCAATTCCCTTGCGTTTGACGTTTACACACTACCGCCATCTTTTCAGCGTAGTGCCCACCACAGTGTACTCAACAGATGGCGGTAATGTTTTAGCGACGATGTTTTACAGTGAGAAATGTTCAATGTGTTATGTCTGTTTGTCTGTGATTACGTCTTTAGGCAACATATTGGGGATGCAATTTCAAAATTGACCGTTTTTCGAAAAGTGGTCAGGTGTTGACCACATATAACTCTGTCAATAGCGGATGGATTTTAATTCTAAACAAGCCAATCGATTCGAAATTTTGCTACAAATCTACTTAATTGAACACTTTATTAATTTTCAATAGGTCACTACTGAAAATTGTACAAATGTCCAACTGTTGCAATGGTGATCAAAATTATCACAGAATGCCTGCAAACAGCGCTTTCCCTAACACAGATTTCAAAATCGAATTCCAGCCGGGCTCACTGAATGGTGCTTATTCAATCACCGTGTGTGTGTGGTGCTGTCCGGTCAGTCGTCAGTAGCAGCAGTGCTTTCGACGTGTGGCGTTGAACATTGTACACAACGAAAGGCTCCGAAGAAGGAGGAAGAAGCCTCACAGCTACTGATCGGGATCCATCCTCGTGATTCTCTGTGGGTTACGAATTTTGGGTGACATAATTTATGAAGGGCGCCTTATTACTTTCATACGATATGCCATACAAAACTGTTTGGAAAATACTATAAAATTTGTTTTCCATCGATTTTGTTTTCCGTACTGAGTACCAATGCTACCGACGCCAGGACCTGGACCCTACCTATCGATCCATCAACTGATGATGAACCGGGGACCAACGGCTTTAATTCCCGTGGATCCGAGATTTTTTTCCTTGATTAGTTTTCCGTCGATCTTGTTTTCCGTGCTGAGTACCAATGCTACCAACGGCAGGGAGGCAGCTTCCAGACCTGGACCCTACCTATCGACCCATCGACTCATGAACCGGAAACCAACGGCTTTACTTCCCTTCCGAAGGCGTGATCAGAGATGTTATTCCTCAGAAAATCCCGGCGGTGCCGACTGGGATTGAACCCAGTCCTGCTGGGATTAGAGGTAATCCCGCTTACCACTACACCACCGGCGCCTACTTTTGGGTACAAATAAGGGCCTGTTCATAAACTACGTAGACAGTTTTTTTGGGATTCTTGACCCCCCCCCCCCCTCCCCCTGCGTAGACAATTGTCCATACAAATTTTTTAAAATTTGTATGGGCCGTGGATAATTGTCAACCCCCCCCCCCCCCCCTAAACTGTCTACGTAGTTTATGGACAGCCCCTAACTTACTTTGGGTAGAAATCTAGCGGAAAATTCCATAAGTATTGCACACAAGTTAATGAAAACTACTTTGACCCGCTGAACCTACTTTTGGGTTCCTGCATCGTGCGGAGATGAGTGAAAAGAACTTTCTTTTGGGAACTTTTTTCTTACCGTGTACGTTTTTGTGAATTTGAGTGAACGCAACTCAAATATGAGACACGACATTCATACGACTAATGATGTGCAACAAAACGAGCTGAAATATTTCAACAACTTCACCACCCGACCCACCACGATCGTGTACGGGAAATGTCAAATGAGGTGGTGCGCTGTTCCACATAACAATCAACCAAGCGTCTCCTCTGAATTTGCATTTCCGCTTCGCTTGAAGATACACGGCCAATGAAAGTAACTCATTACGTGAGTCGAATTCGACTCAAAAATGCAAAAAGTGGGGTACGTTCAGACTACAGAGTTATAACATGTTATAGCGCTATCTTGATGGTGGTTTCTGTGTTGCAATTATTTGACAACCGTTATAACATGTTATAACTCTCCAGTCTGGACAGCGTTTTACTCAAGGCTACTCAGTGAATGAGTGAAATTTGTCTCGCTTTTACGGGAAAAACAGCTCGAATATGAGGAAAATTTGACTAAGTCTAGGAATACACGGCGCTTGAGAACGACCCAAATTTGAGTTTAGTTTCCTCATAAATCACATAAAGTGCAGCGATGAGTAAATTTGCCTCATGGGCCTATGTCTCGATTTTTCTCATATTAATGAAGTTTTGTTTTTTGAAAATCGAGGAAAATTAAACTCTACTACTGAACAACCCTACTTTTTGTACTTTTGAGTCGAATTCGACTCAGTTACTGAGTTACTCTGATTGGCCGTGTGCGGCTGTGATACACACTTTTCCGGGATTAAAGAGAGATTTTTTTTATTATAAAATTATTCTTCTTCACTGAGTGTTGCTTCCACGAAAGCTACGCCTATATACATAGCCACTTAGACCATAGGAAATTATAATTAATAATAAAACTAATATCATCAAATTATTTTGCTTTGCTGATTTCCGAAAAATATCTATATATGTTTGTATTTTATTGCTTTTACAACACATACCACAACAGGCTTTCAAAACTATATTTTGCATATATATCTTGTTTGTTGTATTATTATCGCTTCCATTTCTTCATCTTGTATTTTTTTTGTTTTGTTTTTTCATTTGTTGTGTTTGAAACGTGCACGCTCCGGCAGATCAATGTTCCTATCAGTGCGATACAACTATACTACGAATATACCTCCGACGTAAATGTATAACTGTATATATGTGTATAAAGATAGATAAGCGTTTCTATTGTAGACATAAAGTTGTAGTTTTCTCATCATTTGTGTGTAAACTTTAAATTATGTACAGCGAGCAAGAAAAAAGCGCGGTTCTGTTTTTGTAATTTTTTTTTGAGAACCGCTTTTTGTTTGCATCATTGTCTTAGCAATTATTTTGATTAGATTTTTCGATTGTGCTTTGCTTATTTCTTAGTAATTGCAGACCCTCTCTCGGTAGAAAGTACAAGATTCAGCTCACGTAAGCAGTGAATAATTTAGCAACTTGACTATAAATGTACATATGTAAATAGATATATTTGAGCTATTGCAGACAGGTAAGAGGGACCTATCGTTTTCAGAAAGATGAAAGTATTAATATCTACACAAGTTGAGTTGAAAACACAGGTCTGCTTTTTAGTTTGCTGGATGTTTCATATCTCAGGTTGACGGGTTATGAGTTGTTTGTAGTTGGTAATGCGATCCCGGTTGGGTTGTGTTATTGGATCGCATCATTCGACATTTATCAGTTCATATTTTAACTAGTCTTTCACATTACCGTTCGATTGTTTTGAAACCTTCGCTGAGCAGAAAGTTTTTTGCCTTTTCTCATTCACCTACTTTTGTTCTTGTTGTCCTACAATTAGATATGGCCATTGCATCTCTGAGCAGTTTTCATACATTTTATTATCTCCTTAATTCGACAATTAACATTCTTTTTTACGTTTGCATAATAAAAAAAATAAAATAATGGGAGACTTTTCGCTGTGTTGTTGTAAACTCCTGAACCTGTTCATAATCTTTTTTTTTTCCATTTTCATCAATCTTTCTTTCGTTAAAACTCTGACTCTCTCTTTCTATCAATCTCTCTCTCTCTCTCTTTCTCGCATGCAAATTAATGTAATTTGTGGACACAATCAGTCTTTTGGTTTCCATTTTTTCATCTCCCCTGCTCCTACTGCTTCTTTTGCTGCTGCTTTTTCTTCATTTGCTAGTTGAGTTTTATTTTTCATCTGATTTTGATTCATCCCTTTTGTTTTGCTTTAAATTACTAGTTCCTTCCGTTCTCCATTTTTGGCTGTCCCATCTCTGTTCATTCGAAGGTTATGTTATGTTCTCAACTGCAAGCCAGGCTGCTGGTCACAGTAACCATGGTTTCCGCCAACATTACCGAAAGCAAATAAAATAAAATAAAACGAAAAACGGCCACCACGATTGCTTCGATAGTGTATGATGTGTCAAAAAAGAAATAAATAAATAGTACAATTATTGGTAGCGTTGCGCTTTCGGTTTCAGCACAATCCACAATTACCGTTCCAGCATGATATTGGCCATCAGGTAGTATTCGAAAAACCTCCTACTTCTGCCCCATTCCCTTGGGATGCTTGTTTCCCGTTCCAACAATGATCTCCGGTGGGTAGAGGTCTGTCGATTTTCCGTTGTTACAAATATTTCAACAAGAATTGCTACACACAAAATAACTTACACAGATAGATAAAAACGAAGAGCTTGCTATATAGAACCCCATTGAGAGTAGTACGAGACAAAACTGTTTGTTTTATGCTGTATGTATGACCTAATCCCTAACATTTATCAGATACCTCCTGCGTCTGCTGGTTACGGACACTTGCACGAAAATTCACAATAGAAAAAAAAGTAGCAAAGGAAAAACACCCGTGGTTCCTATGGTTACACGGATGCTTGTTATCCGCACGCAATTGCCAGCCTACTAAAAGTGAGCTCTAGTCTGCTACACATTAAAACAGTATATCACACGTGTACGTTTTGGTTCAGCAAGAGGTCCCGTAGGTTGAGTAGGTTGGCTAGTAGATCCTCGCTGTCCTTGCGCTCGTGAACGTAGTACCGACGGCCAGTGTCGCGCGGGTAGCTGACCGTATGGTTGCGGTACAGCTGTTGCTGACGGTTGGCAAACTGATCACCGCACGAGCTACGTCGGATCGGGGAGGAGGAGATGGCGGGTGTGATGGAGGAGGATTTGGTGCTGGGAATTTTCAGAGACTCGGATCGAGTCACCGTCGTTGAGAAAACGTCCGCTGACTGTCTGGAGGGTGCTGACTGTTGGCTGTTGGCGGAGGACTGCAGCGATGGAGCAGCAACGGGTGCTAGCTGCAGGTCCGGGGTCGATGCTCGGGAGTCGGAAGTCTCTGAGTCGTAGTCCTCTTGGGGGGAGTGGTTGTCCGTACTATAATTGGAGAGGAGGAACAAGAACAGAAACGGAAGGGCATTATAAGTGGGGTGCGTTCGATCGGTAAGGTTTGGCGGCGGCTTTGTCTGAGGTCCCAGGTTGGTTTGAGATGAAGTACTGCACAACTGATGTGATCCCAGGTGTAAAGTGCGATTTATTGAATCAAAAGTTGCTTTGTGTTCGGGGGATTAGTATTACGGACTCAACGATAGTCAAAACTTCCGACCCGTTTCCGGACGGCGATGGGAAACGCTGCCTCCAGCATTTCTCAATATCAATAAGCTCAAATGGAGTAAGTTGAGAATCTAGAATTACACCCAGATCATTTACACATGACTCACACATTCGATTTTAGTGCCCAGAATGCGATCGGTTCTTTCTTCTTGATATCGTATCCGTGAGTATCAACGAAGTTCTCTAAAATTCTACTATAGGAAGCTTGCTGAACTTCTTCGAAGGTTCCTGAATTTCCACACATAGCTCAGTTGTATGGACTCAAACAAAACTCTCTGAACTTATTTTATCCTCTGTAAAGTTTCACGAACTCCTGAGATGTTCGGTAAACTTCTACGAAGTTCCTTCAACTTTTAAGATTTTCCATAGCTTATACAAACTACAACTGAATTTCTGCCAAGTTTGCTGAACTTGAACGAATTTCCTATAACACATCTACAAAGTTCCTTTAACTTCTACAACAAAATTATACTTTTACGAACATCCCTGAACTTCTTCCAAGTTCACCAATATATTTTTTCCATGCTATCTTAATTTATCCAATATCTATGAACATCCATGAACTTCTCCAAACTTCCAGTTAAACTCTTAAGTTTTTTTTTAAATAAGTTCTCTGACAAACTGTTATGTTGACCATCGGCCTAATGACCATCGGTTTAATGGCCTTCAGCCTAATGGCTCAGCATCGACCTTCGTAGTAGTTTATCAGAGAACTTATTTAAAAAAAAAGTTCCTCCATAATTGTGGGAAGAGTGCACATCTACAACGACCCTGAAGTTTTACAAAGTTCAATGACGTTATTATTATGAAAACCGTTGATTTCTCCCGAAGAGTAATAATTGATAAGTGTCCATTTTCCGTTTATTACTAATAAGATTCTTTATCAGTTCATGTGTAATTATTCTTCTGTTAGAAAATATTTCAAACTAACTCTTACTTTGAAAATTGTGGTGGCCCTTTCGATGGTTTGTGGCTCTGAAAAAAGCCGGTTTGATGTGGAAATAGTTCAAGATCTCAGGAATGACTATAGCAACCATTATTCAAGGTAATTTTTAACGATCATTTAGCCATGATCGGCATAATAAATTGAGCATTGTGTGTCCGGTGTATGAGCTCATATTTTGACATACGATTGAATTCACGACTCCAAAACACTGTACAATTACAGGAATCCCTGAATAGCGTGGTGGGTGGTACCTTCTATCCAACACAATTTCTCGACTGTCATCCATCCAACTAGGCTTATTTTATTGTATGTGATTGGGTCAACCCTAAACTTGTCACCTACAGAAAATCAGCCCAATTGGCTAGCAAACAGCAGATAAATTGCGGTGGGTGGACGACACCTCCCACCGGGCTTTTCGGGAGATTCTTATAATGGTTCATTATTGCAGTTCCAAAGAAAATTCGGCTTCGGCTTGTTTCGTTTGGGACCAACTACATATGTGATGGCTGTGTTAGAAAAGACACCTTGTGGTCTAAGCATATGTATGGGAAATTATGATGCTACCAATTTTCGTTAAATTTCTTAGCTGTTTAACTATTTTCATTATTTGTACTATATGCCACAAATTTGCTGAATGAAGCCCCCGTCGAATGGCATATTGCATGACATATTTCACATTAATACTTTGGAGAAATATGCGTTCAAAATCTTTCATAATTTCGTTACATGTTCCATTTTCGGTTTTCACAAATTGTACCGCTATATAGAAATCTTTAAAGAATCACCAGCGTTGGCAAACTTGCGGTGGAACTTCTTAATCTCTGGAAAGGCAATATTAATTTCCAAAACATTCTGGAAAAGGCCTAGATCATTCTCTGAAGGTGCCTAGATAATTCTTGAGCGGACCCATTAACTACGCCAATGATAACAACCATCTGCTGCCAATCAGTGAGATTTGAGCTAAATCATCGAAGGAGGCTGCCGCCAACCCCAAGTTTATGTAACGTGGCAATTGCAATGGTATGGTTCAGCTAGATCATCGAAGGCTGCTGACAGTTTGAGCCCTTCCTGTCATGATTCCCGTGATATAAGATGTGGGACACAGCAGTGGTAGCAAGCGGCAAGACAGCTCCTACTTATGAGCAATTTCAGAGTTGCTTTCGAGGCACCTTGGGTAACGGCCCAAGCGCAACGATTTGCCATCTTGATGTCATTTGTCATTTGGGCTGGCTCAGTTTTACCAAGCGGTGGAAACTTACGATTTTAAATTGGCTCACTACTTGACTAGCCTATTGGTCCCAAGCAAACCGATTTACGAACCCCATTCCAGTCTAAATTCTAGTACTGCACTATCTTTGGTTTGATTCGCTATGAAAGTTTGACTGATGAAATGAGGAGTTCGTGGATTTTCCTATGTTTCGAGGGGTGAATCGATTAGCTTGGGACCGAAGATAGTACCAGAGCTGAGCCAAAAAGTTGAGCACGTTATTTCGGGACCTTCTAGTCTTAGAGTTACCTCTGTGATAAATAAAATCAAAACAAACATTGTGTAGTACTAGAATTTCTACTAGAATGGGGTACGTTAATCGTTTGCTTGGGACCAATGGGCTAGTCAAGTAGTGAGCCAATTTAAAATCGTTAGTTTCGTATTGATTGTTGGTAAAACTGTCCATGCGACACCTAGTTTTCAGATTTGCAATTACAAAACTGATGATGTACAAAAAAATATTCCATACGATTTGACAGGTAGCAAAACGTCATTATCATTTTCACATCATTTCCATATGCTGTTCGACCGCAACGTAAATTCATCAATCGAAAATACAATCATTTTTAACAATCGACACGTGAGACACACGGAAGCGAATCTTCGCACGAACCCGAAAAGTTAGTCGATTGTTAACTCCAACCGGAAGGAATCCGGGTTGCCAAAAAGCACTTGCAAAACAGTAACAGCAGCTACAATAACCAATCGGCACAGAGAAGCCCTTTGAAAGCTTTCCCAGTATCGTTTGAGCCGTTTTCTGTACAAAGTCTGGAATTAAACGATGTGAGCAATTCTCGTGTCACTTTTCAAATAGACCAATCTACATTGATCGATTTTCTTCATCGACTCTCTCTTTCGTAAATAACTCGGCTACAAATACGTTTCCTGCCATCTTTGTTGTGTTAGATACTAGATTGTTGCTTTTTCCATCAATCTCTGTGTCGAAAATACCCGGAAATATCTTAACACGGCCGTGGTGATTCAAAGAGAAAGCCAATGAAGAGAATCGATGAATGTAGAAAGGACCTATTGAAAAGTGACCACTCCTTTCTTATACTAGACCCTCTCTAGTTGGAATCTAAGATGAAGAGGTGACAATTGGCTTCTTCCTCTTTTATTTCTATCTCTATCTCTATCTTACGCACATGAAATCGGCCATTCAGGAGCTGGTTCACGTTTGACAGAAAAGTGGTTAATTTTCGCCCCCGTATTGTCACCTCTTCTCTTAGGTTGGAATGGATGTGCAGCTGTCAAACTGTACATCCCACTAGATAATTTCCTACACGGTGTTTCGCGAAAACCCATTAATGGGTATAAAAATACCCATTTCCGCTAAAAGTGCCCCTCCTCATTTAATGGGTAAACTATGGTTTACTCATAAATGGGTAAATGGGTGGTCTGTCAATAAATGGGTGTTTTTTCACCCATTTTCTTATATTGTGTTTACCGTAAAATGGGTGAAAAAATACCCATTTTTACAAATGGAGGATGCAAGCGATCGTTGATGTAAAAATGTGTTTAAAACATTGAAAATAAATGCAGGTGTTCCGATCAAATTTTTCACGAAACATTATAATACAAATTATCCATTGTATTGACTTATCCGTAAGCCTCTCCAACGTTTTGGGTTCTAACATTTTCCGGAGATCGTTGCTGCGGACAGTAACTGTTTGCATCGAGGTTTGCATTCCCAATGAGCCGGTGACGGAAATGAGACGTTAAAATTTCGAAGTGTTTTTTCACCCATTAATGGGTAAAAAATATACCCATTATTCAACCGTGAACTGATTCTTTAAATGGGTATTTTTTCACCCATTTTATGATTTCAAAATTCCCCCATTTTTTGACAGCTGCATACATGGTTTGAAAATGGGTATTTTTTTTACCCATTAATGGGTTTTCACGAAACACCGTGTAGTACAATCATCATTCACTCGTTGGGAATTTTCTCGTTTGATTACAGCTTGATTATTAACTCCAAAATAGGAGCCTGTGCAAAAAATGGTAAAGATTTATTGAAGAATCAAAGTGACGATTGTCTCATAGATGGCGAGTGGGTGAAAATAGTAATGCCGTTTTGCTACCTGTCAAATCGTATGGAATAATTTTTAGTGCATCTTCATTTTTGTAATTGCGGATCTAAAAACTAGGTGTCGCATGACCAGTTTTGGCTTTGCTTTGATTCGCCAATTAAGGTTTAGAGGCCGCGTAAATGCTTTGAAGTTTGTATGAAGAGTGGAGATTATGGCGAATTACCATGGGAAATTTTTGAATTTCACTAAAATCGCTCTATCTTTGGTCCAACGATAAACAAGCAGTCGTTATTGTGATGAAAGAGGCATTGTCAGCCACTAAAATCAACTATCAGTTTTCCATATTATGTATTTTTTCACATTTTTATCTTTCTTGAATTGCTATAAAACTGACAACCGCAACAACAACAGTTATTATCATAACAGCCACAAATTCAAAATTTACAGCATTTAGACAACTACAACCAAAGTTAGAGGAATATTTGTGAAATTTAAACTTCTTCCATATGGTTATTTA